CAGGACCCCCGCCCTAGCTACGCCCATGGTCATCATTCAACAGCATAATATGACGAAAGGACAAATGATTTACATGTCAACATATTAAATATTTCTAAAGTATTTTATTCGTCCCCTTGAAGCTCCGATGATCCAAAAGTAATTACTGGTATTTCAAAAAGCTATTTTATAGCAAGTAAATTTCAAAGTTTAAAGTAAATTCCTGGTCTTCGACGTAAATAGCCTGGTTGCTGATCGTCGTAATAAATTAACTAAGTAGCTATTTTATTTGTCAAGTGATTTTCTCTTTGCTTGTACTCATTCTTATGTTATTCAATCTGCTTAACATATAGTTTATTCGGGAAGACTTATGCTAATAATTGGTTTAATTATTTGGATAAGTCTCTGCCCTTTTCATTTTTAGGTAATTTCTATTTTTAACCAACTTTATTTGTTTTCTTTAAATATCTTATGTAGTTTAATAAAGTCAATTGTAGTTGATGTACATCACGCATTTAAAAAAGGGAGGAAGAGGGATATTTTAGTTTAAATCTCATTTCTGCGCGAGATAGATGATAATCAGCCATGTTTACTTTTTTTCCTGAGATTGAATTTTTTCCAAAATTTCAATGAGGACTTTTTTGAGGGGGTGTCTTTACGAAGAGCTTTTGTCACACACCAATTTAATGTTTTCCTTGTTTTGTGCGGTATTCCCGGTCCCTGAAAATGAGAGACATTGGTGAAAATTAGTTTGTCCCTGAAAGAAGGGACATTCGTATTGAAAAAATAAAAATTGTTGTTACTGCTATGGGGAGTACTCTCTGAAAATGTCACCACAAACACAACTACATTTTAAACCAAACCGGGACAGTGATGAAACGCAAACGCAAACTCAAATGCCGATTTCTTCACCTCACTTGAGCCTAATTTTGCAATTGAACCACAATAACTGGCTCAGATTAAAAACAACGTATGTACCATTAGTTTCCCTATAGACATATGTGTTTTTACGATTGATCTGGAAATCGTAGCTCCTAATTTTTGCAAACTTCAGCTAGAGCCAAAAGAAGGGTTTTTTCTTGTAGAACATGGCTCAAATATTGTGATAAGCGCATCGAGAAACTCTGGAATATTTAGTTTACCGCTTCAAAAACGATACTACGGCACAGGTGAAAAGGGGTGTATGCAAAATCGACAAAATTTCCCCCCTCATGGATGTTGACCAAATTTCAATATGTCATTCCTCACTATGGGATACGCCTTTTCCCAAAATTTCAAGGCCTGAAACGAATTTCTCTCCACGTAACAGCGTTGCCAAGTTGAAAACCGTCGAGTTGCATATCTTTTGAACGAAAAGAGATATTGAGGTGCGGTTTGCTTTAAAATTCTCAAAAAATTGCGTTCTTTTGAAATATGTACTCAATTGGATCGTTTAGGTAATTTAAGATTGCAATGTTGCCATTTTTCACACTTTCTTAAGGGTCAATTTTTTTTCAACTCTAGTACATCGTCAAATGCCGGATTCTCGATTCGAAAAAAAAACTGTTCATTGTATTATTCGTGTTTTTCCATTTCTTTTGATATATTATAGCTCCCAGGGAAACGATTAGTAACGGAGATATGAGCAATCTAAGTTTACGCTCCGCGCGCGCCGACTGGAATCCGGGCGCCGCTCGCCGCTCGGAGTCGTTTGCACACTCCCTCCCTTAAGCTTTACGAGGTCATTCCTACGTATTTTTTTGCGAACTTTTCATTTCTGGGCTTTAAAAAGGCCTCCGATGAATTTTTCGGGGCCTCGCGGAACATTGTTGCCATTTTTGGCTCGTATTTAGGGTTTTTTTCCAATTTTACTCTCAATTCTACTGTAAAACCTAATAAACCTAAAAAAAGTGCGCCTCGCGCACTGGGGTGCCACGCAATATTCAACATGACTGACGCTTCCGCAAGCAAATCGTGAGAAAGCGCCATGGTCTTTATCTGAAGTAAAATTTAAGTACGAACAAGCTCAGTGGATCGAGTCAATCAGAGAGGTTGGATATGCAATTGTTTAGTAAAATCGCAAATTTTGGTGTTTATTTCGTCACAATTTACATTTCAGGGGGTTCTTCGTGTAGAAATTTTTGCGAGAAAACAAATGAAACAAATTTTAGAGCCTCAAAGCTTTGTATAAACGTAGTTAAAAGCGTTTAAAGTTTTCGAATTTTGCCCGATCTCTCCTATTGGCGCGATCCACTGTGCGCAGGTCGATAACATCCTACCTCGTCACGTGCGTGTTTTGGCGAGTCGACTTCGGCCATGTTGAATATTGCGCAGCACCCTAAAGCTCAAGGAGTGGGTGGGGCGACTCCTTTTATTGTGCTCATCTGTGTTGTAATATCGTTCTTGAAGTGGAAAGCTTAAAAATTGCGTATTTCTTACGCAAATTGTGAAACTGAAAAAATTCTCGGCGTTTTTACCAAGGTCCGTTGGTACCTTTACCATCTCACTTTTTTTAACAATTATTGGTAATTTTACCAAGACAGACTGGTAAGCTTACCTAAAAACCGGTATTTATACTGTTTTTTCAGGTAAGAATACCACTTTTATTGGTAATCGATTCCCGGTAACTTTGCCATTTTATCTCAGAAATTCTACCACAGTCGACAAAAAATATTGGCGTTTTTACCAAGGCACCGTAAAATTACCGAGAAAGTTCAATAATTTTACCGAGATTTCTCGGTAAAATTACCAATTCTATAAATGGTAATTTTACCAAGAAAAAACTGGGATCAAATAGAACCCTGAATTCTTGGTAATTTTACCCTTTTCTTAGTAAATACACCGAGATTTTTTTTTTCAGTGTAGGAATGTATTTAGGACTTTCCCGATGCGCTCATTGTGATTTTTGTGCCATTTCCTATAAATTACTCTTATTTTTGCTCTAGCTGAAGTTTGCAACAGGACCAGTCTAATTCTGTTATTATAATGTCTGACTAATGTGTATCGATGGTGTTATACGCCGCGAAACACATATCGACGGTCTAAGTCCGTGACCACGTATCTCGGTTTGCGACGTCGGAAGACTTCCTGTCATACTTTATTTTTTAAATGAAATTACACTCAACGGCAATGCTTAAAACTGCCTTGATTTCTCTTTTCGATGCCGAAAAAATTCTGTGAAAACTTCAAGGAACGTCGTCGATTTGTTCTTCTGTAAAAAATAAAATAGGAGCGGAGATTCTTTAAACACCGCAAACGAGAAACATGGTTGCGGACTTACGCCGTCGATATCTCGTTCGCTACTTAAGTATCCGGGTCTCTCTCTTTTTTTTTTTTTTTTTTTTGCCTACATGACTTTCCAAGGGGCGATGGGCATTTCGAAACTTTAGTGTTCCATCCTCAGGTCTTAAAAATGTCTGCGTTTACGAATCGCAAACGCCTCTATAAATAAAGATGAAAAATTGCACAAATAACCGTATAAATAAACTACTGGTCTAATAAATTGTCTCGCCCTAACGGATAAATCGGTGCCAGAAACTCCAAAAACCTGAGGATGGAACATTTTCCCGAAAAAACCATAGGCGCACAGAGGAACAAGCTGAAAGAAGAGGTCGGCCATGAAATTGTTGGCTAAAATTTCTAAGTTATACGTTTATTTCGTCACAAATTCAATTTCCAAGGGTGTTTTTGAAAGCCAATTTCACGAAATACCCAATGGATCCACTCTTTAACTTCTTCGTTTTATATTTTCAAAAATATGAGCTTTCAAAGTTTCCAGATTTTGTCCAACTTCTCTCATTGACTTGCTCTAGTGTGTGGCGCGTGAAAAGTCGTACGGACGAAACACAGGAGATCGAGATACGAAGCTATTATGAAACACCCTGTTTCCTCGCATGGTAATGATTTTGTGGAGACTTGCGGATACATATTTGAATCTTTTGAAGGGTATAGAAAGCTAACGCATTCACATATTTGCTATAGAGGAAAACGACCCAAGATAGCTGTGATGGCTCTTGAAGGATGGCAACACTGTTTTCCCTCCATTTAAATGCACTTATGTAAAAAAATCGATTCTTGGTGAGATAGCCTGCCTCACCTAAGATCGATATTTTTAATGTATTTAAATACAAGAAAAACGCTGCCAACTTGCAAAATTACCACCGTAAGATAGCTAGGGAGTTCTTCAAAGTTCTCTTAAGATAAATCACATATGCTTGATGCGTCTGAACGTCTACTTGCCGTGACCCACACTCGACAGTTATCGAACTCAAAAAACTTAGAATGACATTCGTATCTATGAATTGTTTTACAGGGACCACGATCATTTTCAGGGATTTGCTTAAACTTGCCAACGGATTGGGAACAGTCTTCAGCATTTCGGTTGAGACCCATACGATGGCACGGATTATAAGTCATATACGTATGCAGTTCTCCTCGCAGTTGGGGACTAATCTACAAGGGAGCAAATAATTAAATAGATAAAAATTATTCCTCGAAGTAACAAGATCGTATGGAGCTCAAAAGATTGATGTGAATTCATTCGTCTTACATTATCGGTATCATACCTCATTGGAATATTGTTCAAATACTAAGCGCTCAGCCAATAGAAAGCGTTCTTTTACTTCAACCTGCCCCCAGAATGGACCACTAGACAAGGTACGAATTTCAGCATTCTGATTTATGTTTCTTAACCAAAATTTCACGTAAAACACGATGCGCCTAAAAATAATTACCGAAATCGACTCTTTACGAAGATATTTAATGATTCTTGATGCGTGAATTCAAACCACCCGCTCATGAAAACTCAATGCTCTACGTGATTCACATCGCGCACTAAACGTTTCAGTGCTGGCGTGGTGTGAATAGCGATAAATCGATTGTTATGCCATTTAAACCTATGGAAAAGGATCAATAAGCAGGGTGTTCGCAGCGAACACCTAAATAATCGATTCTTTACCATAGGTTTAAATGTCATTATAGCAATTCACGCCACGCCACTGATACGTTATCATGATAGTCTTTGCGATATAAAAATCTGGCAACGTCGATCTTGACGCTTTGGCTCAGCTATAGCAAATTGCTTATAGTTTGAACAACATGGTGGGAAATGAACATTGCTCGATTGAGAAGCTTGCTGAGACCGTTGTAGTGCGCGATTTGACTCACGTAGAGCTTTGAGTTTCTTGTGAGCGGGCAGTTCAAATTCCTCGTAACCAGTGTGAAATAAAAACGTTAATATCTTGGTTAGGAGTTGCTTTCATTAATTTTCGTTGCGCGAATCGTGTTTTACGTAAAATTTTGATCAAGGAACATGTATCAGATTGCTTAAATTCGTACCTTGTCTGGTGGTCCACTCTAATATACCTACAAGTCAGTGGCGTGGCGTGCTTTGCGATTTATCGATCGATACGCCACTCAAACCTATGAAAAAAGATCGATTATTAGGGTGTTCGCAGCGAACACCTTAGTAATCGATTCTTTACCATAGCTACAAATGGCGATTTATCGATAATCGATCATTCACGCCACGCCACTGCTACAAGTGGCAATACGTTCAAATGGCGCACCGGCTCGCAACAACAAGATGGCGGAGAGGGCCTTACATATTTAGAATAGATTAATCTGGGATACTTTATTTAATGCCTCTAATGTCAAAGCACGGAGGATGATAGGTAGTTGTTTTCTATAATTTATTTTTTCAACGGCAGCGTAATTTTCTTAGAATTGATAGTATCACGGAGAAAAAAACTCCGTGCATGAGACCCGAAGTTGAGGTCATATGGATCTCTGAAGTTTTCGGATCACGCATCCGAAAACTTGAGGTCCAACTGCCGAAGTTCGGGTCAGACTTCTGAAGGACTTCGGTATATACCGAAGGGTCCAGGTCACACATCTGAAGTACTCCGGTACATACCGAGAGCCTCAGATGTCTGACCCGAACTTCGACAGTTGGACCTTAAATTTTCGGATGCGTGATCCGAAAACTTCAGAGATCCATATGACCTCAACTACGGGACCCATGCACGAAGTTTTTCTCTCCTTGATAGATTGAGCGAGTTCTTCTCATCCTAACGATACGCTCATCTTCTTCGTGGAACTTAAAATTGCGTTTACACAAAAAACATCTGGGGACGCTTCTCTAAGACGAACGTATTACAGCTTTCCCGCTTGTGAGTGTATTTTCCGAAGGAAATACACTATTTTTTTCATTTCATTTTAACCGTTTTTACGTAACTTTAAATTTTCATGCTCACCTCTCCTGCGATTGATGGAAAGTTGGTGCCTGAAAGACACCAGATCCAAAATCCAAGTAGCCGGACTCTCATTTCACACGACTGTCTCCAATCGAATGAAGCTGGGCGTATACTGTTCTAAAATGTGCAGGAAAAACACTTTAGTCGGTGAAACTTTAATTGAAAACCTCTAAAAAAACACCTGTCTCTTTTTATAACTATGAAATTAAGGTTGGTATGACACTATACTGCCGTGCTAAGGAAGAACGCCGTATGAACATTCGAGAGTTGCCAAATTTCCTCCGATAAAAGGCTCATTTCTGAGGAAAGTTGTGAAAATATTTCCTCAGTTTTTTCAGGATCTTTTTCGTGAAATTGCGAATAAAATTATCCGGAAAATTAGAAGGAATATATTTATAAGTTTACTAGGAAATTTTTGTTTAATTAAAGGAAATTTGGCGACGCCAGAAGGTTCATACGGCGTTTTTCTTTAACACGACAGTATAGGTAGCACTGCACGCAACTGCTTGCATCGTCAGCGTCAAGTCGAAACCTAAAAAAAAAATTTACCTCTCACGGCAATGACGTGCACCGTGTTTCGTCGTGCACCGGACAAAGAAACGTAACTCCATTCCAAGGTTGCCAAATGGACTCAATTCATTCAAACCGAGGCAACCACTGGCAACAAATATTTGACAAAATGTTCTATGACCTCCGCAAATTTTGTGTACCTAATTTCCATTACTTTTCAGACAGAGCGGAGTGAATGAAAAAAATATATATCGACGGTGTAAGTCGGCAACCACATAACTCGTTTGCGGTGTCTGAAAATCTCCGCCTCTATGTTATTTTTTTAAAGGAGAACGAATTGACATCATTCCTTGAAGTTAATGCAGAATTTTCTTCGGACAAAGAATAAAAATCATGGCAGTTTTAAAGAATTGCTGATGAGTAGTTTTCCGTTTAAAAAATAAAGTGTGACAGGAAGTCTGCGACGTCGCAAACCGAGTTATGTGACAGCCGACTCACACCGTCGATATGTATTACGATTTTTAGATGCAGTTGGGAGAAAAGATGTCGTAGGTGTATTAAATTCGCGACTTAGGTGAACGGCATTCTTTCTGAGTTTTGGATCATTTTGCTCTATTTACATACTGTGACCAGAATCTCCCTGGCTCATTGATTTTCTCCTAGCGGAAAAAAGTCTCTTGTATTCAGATTCAAGGGTCTAAAAAAATTGGACGAGGAAAAATACTCTTAATTCAATCGAATTTTTGCTTGAATCTAAAGTAAATCCGCGCTAAATTAAGAAGATCGCGGCTCTTGATTCAAACGAAAATCCGATTGAATCAAGGGTATTTTCTCTTGTCAAATTCATTAAGGTTTCTGGATCCAAGAAAATCTTTTCCAGTGCTGATCTATTCCCGATTGTCGGGTTGATTTTTATCCGAAACTTGAGGCTGATCATTTTAATTTTCCTCAAATTTCTTGCATTCTCACGTAATTCCTCGGAAACTAACGCTAGGTTCCCCCGACAAAGCAACAAAAATATTCACCGAAAACCCTATTTTGAAAAGTAGGTATAGGTGTGTCTTTCTAAGGTGTGTTTTTTCTAGGTGTGTTTCATCTGCTCCATCGCACAGTCGATCGTCAATTATTAAGAGAGGTCGGACACTAAATTTTGGACTAAAACTGCAAATTTTAATGTCTACTTCGTCACATTTTAAACTATAAGGAGTGGTACAAGAAGGAAATTTCACGAGGAAACCAATGGAACCACTTTTAGAACCTCAAAGTCTTGTGTGAACGGGAGTTATAAGCGTTTAAAGTTTCCAAATTTTATCCGACCTCTCCTATTGACTCGATCCACTGTGTGGCGCGGCGGGCAGCCGGCCAGCGCCTACAAACCTAAGTGGATACTTCAAACATTGCGCAATGCGTGAAGTATCCCTGTAGATTTGTAGACGCCAAAGCGCGTGCCGCGCTTGCATGACAGTACGCCCAGCGTAATTCCTTAGAACAGTGGATCAAGTCAATCATGGAGGTCGGACAGGAATTTTTTGACTAAAACTGCAAAATTTGATGTTTATTTCTTCACATTTTAAATTTCAAGGGATGCTGCTGACAGAAAATTTCACGAGGAAACCAATGGAACCACTTTTAGAACCTCAAAGTCTTGTGTGAACGGAGTTATAAGCGTTTAAAGTTTCCAAATTTTGTCCGACCTGCTCTCCTAATGACTCAATCCACTGCGCGTCGCATAAGAAACTTATATAAATAACATTCGAACTTGTATAAAAAAATGACTAATGATTTTCACGCAAGGAAGCGGCCGCTCATGGGGTCAGAGTTCCTTAGAACGAAGAGAATTGGCCTCGGGTGAGGTGAGTGTGTGCACTTGAGCAAAGTCCCCTCCCAATTAGTCTCAACAATGGAGTGCATTGTGCTTGCTCAAGTGTGTCTTGCATCATGGAGCCGTAGGTTACTAAGTTTGTCGTTCCATCCCTCGCATCCAGTGTGACGGTGCTCAGCAGATCGAGTTCACAGGAGAGGTCGGACAAAATTTGGAAACTTTGAATGCTTGTAACTCCGTTTACACAAATCTTCGAGGTTCTAAAAGTGGTTCCATTGGTTTTCTCGTAAAATTTTCTTCTGTAGGTACCCCTTGAAATTTAAAATGGGACGAAATAAACATCAAAATTTGCGGTTTCAGTCAAAAATTTCATGTCCGACCTCTAATTGAGTCGATCCACTGTGCGATGAAAGAAGCGGCTCCATGGCGAGGGTTGGGAAAAAAGAAGATGAAGAAGTTCTCTATTGAAGCCTCTAGTGAGTATGTAACATATATTTGTAATTTTGAGAGAAACGAATTTTTAAAATTAAGTACCTTAAGTTGCCTGGAGTAAACAATAATGAATTGATCGAATATCTTGGTAAGTATCATGCTTAAGTTTAAATTTAAAAGATCTAGGTATAAATATAATCCTTGTTTTTTTATATCCTAAGACATGGAAACTTATCAAAATCAATCGAAAAATTACAAACACAATTTCCAAGACTACTGATATCATTATGTTACATATATATTTATTGTCCCCATAATTTCAACTATTATTAATCCATGAAAAATAAAAATATTTAACTTATGTTGCAAACATTAAAATTGAGTTCCCGGGGCTACAAAATAATTTTTTTTCCTCTTCTCTTTTTGCTCGTGCAATCTTCACTTAGAGGTGAGGTTCCGTTCAAAAGCACCAAAACTATTTTTTTTCCTCTCTCTTTTTTTTAATTTTTTTAAAATTTTTTTGAAATGTAATCCATCTCTCTTATTTGCTGATTTCATCTGCGAATCATCATAATTTTTTTAAAAACATTATTTTTCCATCCGTTAACGATACTTGAGATTACGATAATATTGTAGCATCAATTCGATATGAAAAACAAATTGAACGTTAAATCTCAATATTACGCTGACATTTAAACGTCAAACTTACTCGGCCAAGATTATGGTCAGTCTAATTAGGTTTCAAAAGGCAGAATTGATCCGCCAACTTCCTGTTCTTTTAATGTTAACTTTCAAAGTTTTGATTATATACGGCCCAGGGCCGGATTTTCCTACTTGCCGCCCATGGGCCGCCTGTATTTTGCCGCCCCCTTCTCATTCGTTTTGAAACATCAATAAAAACCATCAAGTGAACGTGCCAACGGGTGAGGGGTGCATAAGACGCGTTTACGCGTGTTGAACACATTTTTTGGGAAAGCCCTGTCAATACTACTAGCAAAAGGTCACGGAACTTTGCGCGAAAGTCAAGTTTCGTAAACCAATCTCTAATGGACAAGGCCTTCTAATCATAAGAAATGAACGAAAAAATTATGAAAGAACAAACACAAAATTTGGTTCAATGATTTTAACTTCCGCCGCCGCGCCGCGCTGACCGCACTGTGTTTGGCGCAATGCGTGAAGTATTCATGCATTCTTGTAGGCGCTATCCGTTTTACGCTGACCACAATAACCGCACTGTGTTTGATGCAATGCGTGAAGTATTCGTGCAGACTTGTAGGCGCTAATATGTGTTACATGCTAATTGCCGCGCCGAGGGCCTCTCCTTTTCATCTCAAGTCCTCGTCATCATTTCTCCCTGAGTCGCGCCGTTCCGGACCAAATTGTGTGTTTGGTTTCTCTCTTAACTCGCGACTAATTATAGGTGCTGTCTCTTGTATTACTGAAAGACGACAAAATTAGAAATTACTGTACTCTCAGGAAATGAGAGACTTTGTAGCCGTTTCTCGTTCGTAATTTTTTTTTTTTTTCTAAATCCGATTTTTTAATACCTACATTTTAAAAAATTGCAAAATTTGCCGCCATGGGCCACGGCCAATGTGGCCATCCCCGTAATCCGGCCCTGATACGGCCAGAAACACGGTCACGATAATTATGAGGCAGCCTTTTAAACGTTCGCATTAACAGGTTCCAACGACTATTTTTACATACCTATCTCTATTAGCATTAAAAAAACACTATTTTAAGAGGCACAGAAAGTTTGGAATTGAAATACTTCCTATAGGGTTAAGATAATTAAAAAAAAGAAATAGAATAAAATTGAAAGATCATTCATTTATGTTTATTGAAATAAGTGTTGCACCGCTAATTAACGCACTTCGTATCTATCTGAGTGCAATCATCTTTTTCACGCGACTGCGCAACAGTGTTTAAATGTGCGCAAGCCATCAGTAAGTGAGTTTTTTTTTCCTGTCTATAGATGGCTGTAGATGGCCGGGATATAAAGGAATAGAAGCCAAAAAAAAACTAAAAAAAAAAAAAAAAAAAAAAAAAAAAAAAAAAAAAAACAGTAAGTGAGGTTATGTTTACACATTTCCTAACAAAACTGCTCAACTGGTATGAAAGCAGCTGCCTCTTTACTTGTGTCTTTCTGCTAGCCATTGAGTTTTTGACAGTGTCTGTGTATTAAATCAAGTCAGGAATATTCTAGTGATTGATTATTTCTGTATAACTTCTCCTTTCATTGTGTTGATTGTGTAAAGGTAAAGAATGGAGGATTCTATGAACGAGGACAATATCCACCTTGGTTGTGCTCTGGAATTTTTCTCGGAGTATGAAGAAGTAACTTCCATGGTGGAGAACCTTCATCACATTTATGCAGATGCTAGAAAATTCGAAAGCAGCTATGACAAGTTTCGGTACATCATGAATACCTATCAGGAACAACCTCACCTTTTAGATTCACATCTCGATTCGTTACTTCAGCAGATATTCCAGATAGTGCGGAACAAAGATCATCCAGTAGAGCTGAAGCACAAAGCATTCAAGTACCTTTATTCCATCATTAAAGTCAGAGGCTTCAAAATAGTCGTTAATCACCTGCCACATGAGGTTTGTACCCTCTTAAATTATTCGTTATCAAATTGTCGAAAACATTGTTTTGATGTTTTGATACAACTCAAGAAGGTCAATAGTTAAACTATTTTATTGACATGATAAGACAAAGCATTATCTGTTCCATATTATGTATTGATATTAATGTTTACTGTCCCAAAATTAATTTTAAGATTAATTGATGGCTGCAGTAGGGACTGGTAGAGGCTACCTTGCCGCAAGTATTGAGCTTGGATACCAGATCCCGGCTGCTGAGCTTTGCTCAAAGCTGCTGGATCTCAGGGTATGCGTATAGTATCCGATTCAGTTAGGTCAAAAGCTCCGATCCTTAGCATTCCATTATTGGCGTATGTATCGTGAGATTCTCAGGTAGCTAGCTACAGTAAGAGTCTACAGATCTCGGCATCTGCATAGTAGCTGGATCGTTAATGAGCCCTTGAGCACTGGATATATTGAAATTTGGCCCGACGTTCATCCTGTAAATCCTGTGCGCCAGATAATAGAGACAATGCCCTGAATAAGCGTGCCTCAATGGAAATCCTGCGAACTGTGGCGGCCGATCTTGGTGCATTCGGTAGCTGGCTAGCAACGGATATGTGGTGGATATTAGCATCCATCCATGTAGCAATCCACCCTTGTATGCTCGGACCCTTCACCACGAGGGATGCCACCATGCCTGGAGATGCGGTTACCAAGGTATGCTCGCGGATCCGGCTACCTGGGCATCCTGCATCTTTGTGTATGCTGCATCTTGATGTATGGCAAGGGGTCAACCTCCGCTATCAGTCCCTGGGCTGGAGGTTTACAAGACAGAACATCATGTGATGTATTGTAACGATTGGTTTTAAGTTGTTGCTCAAATTTAGTGTAATTAAGGCAGGGTTTTTTTCAGGAAAATTGTTGAATTAAGCTGATTATAGCCAAGGACATTGGATTTTACCTCTCTTGATAATTTACTTCCTGGAAGCTAAATTTTTATTGATATGTTGGAATTTTTTAGCCAACGTGCGTTAAAAATTCAGCATAAAGCTGATATCTCAATACATAGGGAAAAAGCTCACACACAAGCACAATTTTCCCTCAAAGAGATATGCTGTTTGGTGCAACACCAGTAACACTGTTTGGTGCGTCCACCGCAATCAGTTTGTCTGATCTTTTTTTCTTTATTTTTTAAGGTGGCTGATCTCGAGCCAGTTTTATCGTTACTTGAGGAGCAAGATCCGACCGACAAGAACAGCTGGGAGACTAGATACTGTTTATTATTGTGGCTCTCTATCATTGTAATGATTCCTTTCAATATGTCCTGCTTTGACTCTGGTGAAGGTAGCGAATCAACATCAATGACAGAAAGGTAAGTTGAGACTTCATGCCTGTCGTGACAGACCATGAGAAAGGGCAATAATTGGACTACATTTTGCAATTCGGAAATACAATTTCTGGCTCACTTGTAAAACACTAATGTGCATTAACAAATGGCGCATAACTTCTGGCGCATAAGTTGTTTCCAAACTGAGTCAGAAATCATAGTTCCCAATTGCAAAATGTGGTCCAATTTAAACCTGAAGCAGACATTTTTTACGCATTTTTATCATTCTGAGGGCATGAAAGATAACGGAAAATACATGTTTTCAACTAGCTGAAGAGAGTGCAGGGTTTCCTGGGGTCTGGAAAATCTGGAAAGTTGGGAAATTTTGCAAGTAGCCAGTGCCATTTGAAAGGCACGGACAACTTCCAAGTGACTTTCTTCCTAATTTCAATCTCCTTAAGTTGAAATTTTGTCCAAAGTATAGTTAAAGTTAGCATGAGTAGTTAGATAAAAGAAAAAAATCTTAGTGGGATAGAAATTATGGAAACCCTGGAGCCTCAACAGCTAGTTAAAGGGTCTCCACTCCCTAGACCTTCTTGTCATATCACATCACAGTTGATGTGTAACTTGCTGTGTAAGCCTTCAACTTTATAATCTGTTGACATTTTTAAGGAGCGAAATATTTTTTGTCAAAACTGAATTATCAGGCTTCCAAATGACATAACTCGCAATCACATGTCAAGAATTATGAAGGTTCTCTCAGAACCCATTACTTAATGGACCACGAGACGAGGTACAAAGTTAAGTATTCTGATATATGTTTCTTAACCAAAATTTAATGTAGAACACCATTTGCACAACAAAAATTACTGAAAATGACTCCTAACCAAAATATTTAATGTTCCTTGACGTGTGATTTCAAACCTCCCGCTCATGAAAACTCAATGGTCTTTGTGAGTCAAACTAAACGTTACCCTGGCAGTCTTTGCGATATGAAACTATGGCTCAGCTATAGCAAATTGTTTACACTTTGGCCAATAAAAGGTGGGAAATGAACAATGTTTGATTGAGAAGCCTGCCAAAACCGTTTTAGTGTGCGATTTAACTCATGTAGAGTATTGTGTTCCTTGTGACCAGGCAATTCAAATATCCTGCAACCAATGTAAAATAGAAACGTTAATATCTTAGTTAGAAGTTAATTTCAGTAAGTTTTGATGCAAGAATCGTGCTCTGAATGAAATCCTGGCTAAGAAACACGTATCAGAATGCTTAAATTCGAACCTTGTCTAGTGATCCATTAAAAGCAAGTACTTTAGAAGACACTGCTGCTCTCGTTTTTAGCAATGTGATACTTATGAAATTTGTGTTATGTGTTCTCTTCAGGATTTTAAAAATCATCAAGCAGTATTTAATGGTATCTGACAAGTGCTGTGATGGAGCCGTTTTTCTGAGCACAAAGTTTATCAATCGAGCTGACATAAAGACCACGCATCTCGCCGATTTTTTGGATTGGGCCATGAGTTTAATGACTGCTAGCGTAAGTCCTGTAGTTATCACACTACTTCTGCACCCTGCTCTTGTCTTTAAAAAGAATTTTGTAGGCACATTTGAGATGATTCCGAAAATTATGTGCATGTCATCGCCTATGAGAAATGAAGCTGTAATCCTCAGAAACTCAAAATTGAATTACTGATACCAGAGTCTATAAAACATTTTGAATGCAAGAAACAGTCAGAATATGGCATTTGGAAAATGTTTGCCTTCCTACCATAAGCCGCTGAGCAAATATTGAAAGGAGGCAGCTTTTTGAGTTTGTGGATTGACCATAAGTTAAACCTTTATGGCATGAATTAATTATGGATCTGAGATTCTGGGGGACACTTGTCTATTTTGTAGCTTGCTTAAAAACCATAGAGTACCACTTTTTTTTCAAAATTAAAAATTTTTGGGAATTACTTATCAAAGAAGAGAAACACTATTGAAAACTTGCAAAATTATGCCACACAGGAAAGATTCAATTTTTAAAAAACCCAAAAATACGTTGTTATCAATTCGTAACGCTATGCCTTAGCGGGTTAAGAGACTGCCATAAGATCTGAAATGATTGCTTATTTTTTCAAATCTCTCTTACCTTAATAATAGAATGATCCCTTTAATAACAACATATTGTTTTCTTCAGGAACATCGTTTTTTAATATTTACTGTATACCTCCAAAAAAGTTGGTATTTTATGATGAATTTTTTACCAACAATTTTATGCTGTGCTTTAATTGATTCTCAATTTTTTACCCTGAATGGCAAGAATAACCATACCTACTGAGTTTTTTTAAAATAATCTTTCCTCTCATTTCAGAACCAGGAGGGCAAAAATTCTCAAGACACAGCAGCTGTCTGGAAGAGAATTGGTCCTCTATCTGCTGTTGCAGCCATTCTGAAGCATGGGAAACGTGAAGATCTTCTCCCTTTTGCCGTACCAATCATTAATCGAATGGAACAAGCTAATTACAAGAATGATAACTATCGTTTAACTCAAAAACATTGCATCAAGATTATTCAGAGAGCAGGTAAAATATTTGTCTATTCTATGCTGAATTGATAAGCAAGTACAGGTAGGTATCCTATTATTTTCAATAGAACAGCACAGGTAGTAAATGAATGATTGTTTACTGTCAATGTGATTTGCCAGTTGTCCATGAAACTTATTCAAAAAACCTATTCAAAAAGCCTCAAGCACTGGAATAAGAAGTTTTAAAAATGTGTTGTATGAATGCCCCATAGAATCGTTCCTTGCCAACATGAAAAAACTATGAAAAGTGAAAAGATCTCAATCTTTTTTAGCGATGATTGCCATGAAACCAGAGCTGTGTCCTCTCAGCTGTGTCCTTAATACGACTTGGTCACCCTCCGGCCAATGTAGTGTCCAAGCGCTATTGCATTTAGAAGCTATGTTGCCAGACATCTTAATACTGTTTTAATTTCTCTTTAAAACGTTTGCACATACTTTCACAAAATTTTCTTGAAATCTTGATGACAAAAAAATATCAGGTAAAATTTTTAAGCGATTCTGTTCATTAGTTTTTCCATAAAAAATTGCAAGAGTTTAAGAAATTTAGCGTTATGGTGCTTACAATACTTTGGCTGGATGGTGATATAGGATTACTTCCAGGATATATATACTGGTAGAATTTTCATTGCTTGGCGATGCAACTGAAAAAAAGACAGGGTCACTATGACCACTTTTCCCTTGATGGATACAAGAAAACAATGGTAATTATAACCAGCTTGGCAGTGAAAGCGCCAAAGCCAAGTTTTGAATGTAATAAGGCTCCATTTCCATATATGTGCTTTAAGAAATTTTAATTTTGTGTTGTAGGTTTAACTATGCTTCCGATTCAAATTGCTGTTTGGCGGTATAAACGAGGATGTCGATCTTTAGCTGTCAATTTAAGTGGGGGTGACCCCGGAGCAAGTTTGACGAACAATGAAATAGATTCAAATGAAAGTGAAGGTGACAGTAATATTCATATTCCAGATGAAATCGAGCAAGTTATAGATACACTCCTTGGAGGCCTCACAGATTCGGATATTACCGTCAGGTGAGCTAGATTTAATTTTTTCACTTGGCTTTTGTCTTTTGCTACAATATAAGGAACAAGCAGACTCTGCGGTATTGCAATGAACCACCACTGTCTGGACCCCAGCTTTATGAGTTTATCAACGATCTAGAAACTATAGATAGGGTGATCCTATGCTACGCCAACAGTGAAATTCGTGACACACCAGGAGCAACAATTAGGTTAGGACGAAGATAGTCGGTTCCTATGGCTTCTTATTGTTGGCTTCTATTGGCTTCCTGTTGCTGAATACGGACTTATATCAAATTTAGAACCAGCTGTTTGAAAATCTGTGTCCAGATATGGCATTCAGCCATTCATTAAGTGAGTTTCCGATGAAAATTTCAACGCTAATTCATGTATCGTAAAAACTCCTGTAAGATCCCATGTATTTGAGGTTATGACAAAGATAGCAATTGGCCATTTCCACTCCCCGCCCGCTCCATGTGCGTCATGTTTTTTCGTAGGCCACAACCAATCTACAGTTTCTATATCGTTGGAGTTTATCATGAATGTGGGAGCTGATTTTAAACGAAAACAATAGCACAAGCAAGTTTCTTAAGAATTCTCTCCATGCACCAATCGGAGCTTTCAAACTGACAGTAATTCTTTGATTGCTTGACACGTTCTACGCCAAATTCTTTGATAAGCCCAAGATTTGGTCCATGATATTTTTCTTCAGGCCAACGATCTTTGAAAGGCAACAGTCGAAAATTACATTGATGAGCCCTATGAAGCCTCTAGTTTGTACACAGGTAGAAGCCTTCACCAAATTGATTCAGATCCTAAATTCTCTCTCTCGGAGGAATTCTGTTCTTTTCCTTTTTTAAGGTGCTGGATATTCCATTGAAGACATAGTTCCAGGAGTTGGATTAGCCTTTGCATCATTCCTTCTCTTGTAAAAGCGCTGTTTATGCTTAAGCTAAAGCATCATTCAATATCTTACTTAAGTTGAACTCCTTAATAAAACGCCTTGGTACTAACTTTAGTTTTTGTCGTGACTGCCATTGAAAATCACCAAGAAGTCATTTCAAAGACTTTATCTGTATTCATATTATTATTTTCTTATCTTTTTAATAATCTCAAAATTGCCCTCTTGATTTTAAACTTAAATTCCTATCCATTATTTTGTAGGTGGTCAGCGGCGAAAGGTGTGGGACGCATCACAAACCGACTGCCAAAATATTTTGCTGATGAAGTTGTAGCAACCATATTGGATCTCCTGAATCCCAAAAAATCAAACACAGCATGGCATGGCGCTTGCCTTGCTCTAGCAGAATTAGGTACTGTGTAATTTCATTTTGAAGAATAAATCCCTTGTGAATGCTTTTTTTTGTTTAAAATCGCATCAATGTGATAATAGTGATCTATTCGTTCATATAAGTGAAGATGGATTTATAATTGAATCAGTGAGAACGAATACACACCAACTCGAAAAAGTGAAAGTAATCAAGACACACACAAAACTGCACAGCAGGTGAAGAAGTTAGTCTTAGAAAAAGATTTCTGGTCAAGTACTAAAGGCCTCTTGAAATGTCTAAATTGGAACAGATGCGCTAACTTCAATTACTTTTGTAAAAATAGCCTGTCTTTAATGAAAATAAAGCATTTCCGAGTTACAGAGTTGGTGTGTTTTCGTTCTCACTGATTCAAATAAAGAAAGATGTTTATAATATTCAGGAGTGTGCGGTCTGAATAAACCAGGCAAGCACCGCTGGAATTTATGCATAGTCAAAGTACTTCCACCAAAAAATGAGGGTAATCAAACTAGTACTCTTACGCACTTAATTTCTTTAAACAAAAGACGGCGAATCCCAATATTCCTGTTCTTCTAGATAATCTGTATTAACGTCACTTTCTTTCTTAATACTATTGTAACTTTCATTTAATTTTTGTAGATAGATACAAAGTATTAAATGAAAATTCTCAAAAAAAAGCGGAAGAATTCATTGCCGAACTTTGATCTTGTGAAGTTGTAGGTGGAGAACTGAGTCACTAAATCTCCGCAGCATTGCAAGCCTTAAACGTCAATTTATCAGAAGATTCATTAATTACTTGTCAAATTCAGTTTAGCATTAGAAACTTTGATTTTCTTTCTTTCTTCGAATCTTTCTGCAGAAAAACGTACATTAAAACGTCGACTTCAGAAATATTATAAGACCTGAGATTTTAAAAAGTCTGCAATTGGAATAAGTGTCTCCCAAGAACCTAAGATTCAACATTGATGAAAAATGTCATTTATGCTATTGTATGTACTTCCATTTCTCATTCGTATTTTTTAGAAAACAATCTGTCAGGGTTTGATTTTATTTTTACAGGAAAAAGAGGTCTGCTGTTACCTGAACGACTAAAGGAGGTGGTGCCTTTGATAGTAAAAGCTTTAGTTTACGATGAGCCTCACGGTGCGATAACCGTCGGTTCGTCAGTCCGCGATGCTGCATGCTATGTTGCTTGGTCATTTGCTCGAGCGTATGATGTGGAACTTCTCCGACCGTACATCAATCAAATAGCCAGTGCCTTACTAGTCGTAACTTGTTTTGATAGAGAGGTAAGAAGGACAGTTTACAGTTCATCAAATTGATCTACCGATAAATTTTGAAGAGCTGAACCCCTCCTTGTAAAGCAGGGCCAGAACCAAAGTAACAAGCTTTACTCAACCTGAAACTTTATTTTATAATTTTTTTAGAGGTGTTGTTTCTCAACACACATGTGAGCAATGCCTCCCTTAATTTAAAAATCTAAATTTTTGTATGTACACCCATATTCCAAATCCTTTGTAAAGACGTTAATAGCCTAGGATGCTGAATGTCTATAAATGAAATAACTAAGTCACCAATTTATGTTCAATAACTTACTAATTCTGGCGTGAGGGAATGCAATTAACAAGACAGTTGGTTAACTTATAGTTGTCATTCTCTTTAAAAGTATCCATAATTTTATTTTATTAAAAATAGCATATTGCTTCCCTGTTCTCTGAAAATTAATTCCGTTTTAAAAAAAACGGACCCAGAATTCTTAGCTGTAGGCTATGAACTATGTTCTCCATTACGTGAGAACTCTTTACGTGAGAACTGAAAACTGAAAAAAATCAACCATGAGAGTGACAAATTTAATTCAGAAAACTGTATTTTTACTTCTAAAGTTCAGGGGAGCTCTTTCCAAAAATTAAAAAAAAAGCTTACTTTTAATTGTTACCAAAAATTGACTTTAATTTGCAAAAATTGACTTAAATCAAAGTCTTGTTTCTACTGTCCTAATCAAACCTTTTAATAGTGCGCTTAAATTTTTAAAATCTTGAGAATCCTTGACCATTGTCTATGTTTTCCAGATAAACTGTCGGAGAGCAGCCTCCGCAGCTTTTCAAGAACACGTCGGAAGACAGGGCACATTCCCTCATGGAATCGATATTCTAACCAATGCGGATTACTTTGCAGTTGGTGTTCGGAACAATGCTTATCTGAAAATAAGGTTAGTCCTACTCGTTCTCCCAGGGCTCAACGATTCCTTCCAACTTTCCTTTTCAGGAAAGTTCATTGCAATCTTGGACCATTTGAAAAATCTGTAAATACAATGATCTTGGTTTCATTTTAAATTTCAATACTATCATTTTACCCTCTATGGCAGGAATTAATTTTGGATCTCAGATTCTAGAGCACACTAATCTAATTTGTAGCTTGCATAAAAAAAATAGTACTAAATTTTTTTTCAAAATTTAAAGTTAAGGGAATCAATTTTTCAAAATAAGAAAAAACGAATGAAATTTTGCAAAATCATGGCACAGGAAAAGATTCAATTTTTATAAACCCTGAACATACGTTGTTACGAATTCGTAACGCTATGGCATAGAGGGTTAATTAAGTGCAGATTTCGTATTCTATTGAGACTATTCTAAAAAAATTGGATCAAGTAAGGGGAAGTAGATAACTGCCCCAAAACTTAACATTACTTCGCTTAAAGAATATTCTATTCAGGGCTCAAGTATTTTTTTGTCAGTTTCTTTTCTTCAAAAAGTAAAAATTGAGGAAGAATTAGACAGAGACTCTTTTTAAGACTTCAAACTTGGATATCCTGTCATCCAGCATAGACGAAGAACATCAAATCGCTCTTAAACTAACTTCTTGTTTTTATCATTATTTTAGTGTTTATACTGCCCAGTTTGAGGAATACACCTTTACCTTGATAGATCACCTAGTCGAAAAGAAGCTGAACCATGTTGATATTGCCATCAGAGAACTCGCTGCCAAGGTGAGGACGATTATCCTACTAGCCGTTTAATTTTTTGTACAACATTTCCGTCATTATTTGCTCCGATACTTGATGTTATTTTGCGTCTTGGTTTCATCAAATGGATGGCTCATTAATCTTGCCAGTTAATATATGAAAAATGAGGTGGAATTGGTTTCTCGTCATATCAACCATATCCAACATTGTTAGGAATCGATCCAATTAGGAAGGATAAAGGCAAGAAAAAGTGACTTATTGTAGAGGTCTATTTAATTTAGATGCTCATTGTAATCACTCTCTGGCATTAAATAATTTTAACCGATTTCTCATCCAATTTTCACCAATTTTTCAATTTCTCATTTTTCATAATCTTAGACTTCATCATTTTGATTGATGTATTTCATTGAATTTTTACCGTGATGCTAATTCTCTAACAACTCTTGTAATATTATGTGTCTCAAAATCAAATTAATCTTCCCATGTTAATTGGAAAACCAAGGATGCCTTTTCCATTTTCGTTAGCCTTAATGAGCTTTCTTTGAACTTATCTGTTTCTTAAATTGTTGGTGCATAAGGCATTTTTAAATCGTTTAGGAAAGTATAAGAAACCACCTGTAAGAAAAATATCTGAGAATGCAATTTGAAATGAATGATTTTATTTTTTATCTGTATTTACCAGGCTCTTCATAACCTAACCTCCAAAGCTCCTGAGTATATGAGCAAGCAAGTTCTTCCGCAGGTTTTTAAGAAGGTAGATTCTATCAATTTGAACGAACGACACGGAGCTATCCTGGCTGCAGGAGAAATATTTCTTGGACTTGCGTTGGAGGATCCTACGTTGAGTCTTGTGGGTGAGTTTCAATTATTGCCTTTTTTCTTTTCGTCCTACTTTGATGCAGTTTTAAAATTAAACAATAAATCTAGTAAAATAACTATGAATGAACTAAACTGTGATCAAAATTATTTCAATAAAAGGTACACTAACAGGCCCTAAAGAAGAGTCATTTGGGGGTTTCCACATTTTTTTCATGCATAATATTTCATAACCTCTGACAAATAGCCAAATTAACACTCTTCTAATGGTTAAACTCAAGAAACACCAAACGCACTTTTCAGTGTGATCAAGCTTTTGTCTTTATGCGTTTTTTTGAATGGTAACCTATTATTATTGTTTCTTGTTATCATGGTGCTTTATCAAGAAGTAATTAAAGTATTGATTTTTTTTTTTCTCTCTCTCAAATTGGAATTTTTAATTTTCAAATGAATATTAAGCTGTTTTGAAAAAAAAAAAGTAAGTTAAATATAGTCAGTGAGTTTAAATTTTTTTTTTTTTATTATTATTATTTTTAAAAAGTCTCCGTCTATTTTAAGTGTAAAGTTTGTATCTTAACTTTTGAGTAATTGTCAAATCAAAATTCGTTTTCTCTGTTTCAGCACCAGAATTGATCAGCAAAGCAGGGCAGTTAGTTCGCTCAATCGAAGAAAAACAGCAGTTTAAAGGCTACAGCGGAGAGTTGATGAAACAATCTTGTTGCTGTTTCATTCAAAGGTGTTCTCAGGCAAAACTTCAATTTCAGTCCCTTGAAACGATAAGTAAGTTGAAAGCTACGTTTTTACTTAATAGATTTGGCTAGATTTGATCCAACAAGAAGCAGATACAATTTGCCGTTTGTGGCGAAACCCATGGACTTGGATTTCTACGTTCAACCTCACTTGATATGAATGCAATTGTGACTTTGAGAATCAAACCAAAGCATATCGCATGGTGTACGCTCACTCTGCGTTCTAATTTAGTGGGCTAGACTTGATAGTTTCTTTATTTAGTGCTCCACTAGCATTAATGCGCACTTGATGTTGCTGGTTTCTCTGATGAACTGAGTGAATTTGATGCGTAATATTAATTGGATTACATTTTGCAATAAGGAACTACTATTTCTAGCTCATTTTCGAAACAACATAAATATGCCATTGATTTCCCTATGCAGACACGTGCTTTTATGGAAGAGCCTGAGATAGTGGTTCCTCATTGCAAAATATAATCCAACTCTCCTCTAGACTTGATTTGATTAGACTTTAACTCCAGAGCGTTTTCCGTCCCTGAACGTTTGTAGAATACCTCTGCATGCTTAGGCATCAGTAACTCAATTTCGAGTTTTTGTGGACCGTGCCTATTTTCCAGCAGACAAACACATATGTTCCCAGCAGTGACTCAGTTTATAATTTCAGAACTGCAAAAAGTGGCCGATTCCTTGATCTTTAGATAACAGTCAACAAATTGGAATAAGGAAAGAATGAATTTTTGCAGAAAAATTATAAGCATATGAAAAAGGAGCGTGAAATTTGAACGCTGTTGGATAGCACTATCATGCATTCTATGAGTGAGTTTGTGTGAAGTAAACGCACGACAACAACAAAATTCAGCGTTCTTTAATTGATGAACCTTTTCTTTTCATTCATCTATTTCGTTTTTCCAGGTGACTGGCAGCGGTTGATCAATGAATGTTTGTCTCACGAAGTCCCACTCATCCGCACACATGCCACTGAGGCCTTGGCAGCTCTCATGTCCGAATATTATGTCAACGATTCTACAAAAATCAATACGATCACCGAAGAGTATACGAAAAAACTGTCCGACTCTCATGAAGTCACAAGGATGGGTTACGCTCAAGCCCTAGGTAATCATTGTTCATGTTCTTAATCAGCTAATTGATTTACAAAGCAAAGCTCATGATGCTTTGGAAAATGCTTGAATGTTTTTAAATTTTTTTTCACTTACGAATTTACATGCCTTTGTATATTCTTGAATTCTGAGAAATCGCCCAATATACTCGGAAGTCCTTGAATTTTGCCCGAGCCGGTTATTGATATATGTTGAATGAGAAAGAATCATCAATTTGGGCGTTGATATCTGTGTGCATTGATTTCTGCATAGAATCATGAAGTAAGAATATTCATGGTAAAACTAAACGTGCTTTTCAGTTTGCAACTTTGCAGTTTTCTTGTCTTACTTTACTTACTTGGTCTTACTCTACTTTAGAGTCTACACAAATAAGTTCATGAACTTATTGAGTGCCACAAAAGATCCGCTATTTTGATTCTTGCATTTATTTTCAATGCTTATAAACTGAGGACAGCTGATCTTCTGCCTTACTCCAAAAGTTTGTAAATTTTTTAAGGTGGATTCCACTATCTCCCAAAGAACAACTGATCATCATTACGCTGCAAAGTTTTTTGACCCTTTAAAAAATATCAGGTGTTTTCTCAAGAATTTTAAAATTAGCTAAAACTTCTAAATACCGTCTTTTAGTTTCCTGATCAATGAGTAACAACACACTACCTTGTTCTATTCCTTGTTCATCAGCTCGGATCTCATTAAAGTTTTCTTCATTGTTTTAATTTTTCCCCAGCACTTTTGCTGCACGGAAACCTTTTATAACTTTAGAAACGGGATTTTGTTGAGAAACAGAATTATTTTTAGGGCATCTTGATTAACAATCCCTTATATTCTTCTCCACAGCCTCACAAAATTCTTTTTGTCAACAGGTACATTTGATGCTCGGTTTTTGAAGGATAACGAATCATTAATCATAAATGCGCTGATGGATAGTTTGATAATCACTCCAATCACCTCAAAATGGTCAGAAAGTAGGCGTGATACCATCAAAGCATTGACATCACTGTGGAATCGAACCGTCACGACTGAAGAAAAAGGTAGTCAATCATACGTTTCAACAAAAAAAAAATCGAATTACCGTAAATTATTTTCTAAAAAAAGCACATAAATGCGCAACTTTCATACGCAGAATTTGAGGCAAGGAATAAATTTCATTCTTTGCCAATGCACATGCATTGGATTATTGAACCATTTTACTTGAGAAATAAAAATTTTTTGTTCTCTTTCTTGCTCAAATTTGCAACAGACCATTGTTTGAGACAGTTGAAGTCTGAACATTTGGCAGTCTGGGAAAGACAATGTTTTCAAAGCCATTCAGTTGGAGAACTGATGGAAATTAGATGTATCTCCTCAGTGTCACAAGATTCCCACAGGGAGGGCATATCGTCACCTTCCAGGCAAAGTATCACAAGCGCCATGCGACGTTTAAAAATTTCCGCCGCCATTATATTTTTTTACAGAGAAATTGTTCAACGAAGCTGTCCGAAAATTACACCGAATTTTCTTTGTGCTGCCGATAAAATTTAGTGAAATTTTCGAACAGATTCAACCAACAATTTCTCAGTAAAAAAATAAAATGGCGGCGGAAATTTTTAAAAGTCGCATGGCGCTTGTGATACTTTGCCTGGAAGGTGACGATATATTGATGGTGAAACTACCAAATCACGTATCTTGTTTGGGGTTTTTTAAAATCCCCGCTCTTATGCTACTTTTTTTAGGGAGGACAAATTAGCATCATTCATTGTAATTTTCCTAGAATTTTCTTTGCATGGAGTGATGAAAAATCACGCAAGTTTTTAGAAATTAGTGGGAAGTAACTTTCCATTTAAAAAGGAAGTCTGCAATGTTGCCGACCAAGATACATGGTTTGGGAGTTTCACTGTTGCTTTGTAGCGGGCAATTTGCAAGTGGTTCAAGTGTTTTTTAGAAAAAGCGCAATAATACGTATTGGCATAATGGAGGTTTAATGAGTAAGAGTCTTCAAAGTCATGATCTCGGCTTGGAGCACCTTCATTTTTTGCGATACTCTAAGCTTTGTTACTGAGTTAGTTTAGTTGCCTGTCTGATCTAAACCCAACTAAGACAACAGATTTCACCTTGCACTCTCCTAAGTATGTTACTACCATGTTTTTACAGAGGAAAATATGTCTATTCAAATTAAAGGCATAATAATTAGTTCTCTAATCTTGTTCCCTAATTTTTGAATTTTATGACTTTCCAACTACTCACCTATGGCATGCGAATTGCCAGCACTTGATGCTTGCGACAGATTTATAATAACGGTGCACTAAGAGGGGAGTCAAATGAAAAAAAAATTCTTTTCGTCGCATTCTTTTTCCAGTAACCTCTCATTTTTGTTTGCTGTCTTTTTTTCATGTATGTTTGTGTTTTGTTTCTTTGTAGATTGTCCGTCCAGAGAGGTTTTTTTATCGTTGACCGACAAGTTTTTAGAATGTTATCTAGTTGGTTGTCAAGAATACACAATAGAGAGCAGGGGAGATATCGGGGCATGGGTGAGAGAGGCGTCCATGTCTGGCTTGCAGTCAGTTCTGGTGAATCTAGCGTCCATCAAACCAGAGCTCATCAAAGAGACCCATGTAGCAAGAGCGATGAAAGCCCTTGCTCAACAGTCAGTCGAGAGAATAGAAAGGACTCGTGCACATGCTGGAAAAATCTTCTTCTCTTTACTTCACAAGTATGATTTATGTATACCAAAATAATTTTTCTTGCAGAAGAAATACAGCGTACTGTTTTTTTGTTTTTTCTTAAAAAAGGAGGGGATTATTTTGCATCAGACTATTTATGAATGTAGATAGTTTGTTTAATTTTTGTTGCAAACTGATTTAATGCATTGAAGCCATATTAGTATCTCGGCTGTTCGGCTTTTTCTTCTAAGAAAGTGTGCGTTTATAATGTGCACAACTGTTAAGGAAGAGTTAGGAATCAACATATTATTCAGATCAATGCTTTTTGTCCAAGTTCTTTTATTTGTTTTTCAACTCTATTTCTCTATAAATTCTCCTCTAAGGACGTTCAAGCATTTCAGCTTTTTCTGAAATGAAAGATTTTCCTGTGATTCTAGTAAGGTTTCTAGGCAGAACTCCCCAGAATTATTGCAAGGCTCATTCATGAATTCATTTTGAATCTACAGGTGTTTTTTTTTTTTTTTTTTTTTTTTTTTTTTTTTTTTTTTTTTTTTTGATTTCAGTGTGCCTAGAATTCCCCACATTCCGAACCATGAAGACTTACTGGAAATCTTTGATGCGGAGAGATGCGCCAACATGGAATGGCTCAAAGTGGAGGATGTTTTTCGTTGTTTCATAAAACTTCTCTCCTTCAGCAGTTATCAATACCATGTCATGTTAGGTCTTATCATGAGTGTAGGAGGTCTCACTGAACAACTGGTCAGTAATTATGCTTTTTTAGGTGATAATATCTCAGTGTTTAAACATTCAAAAACTTTTGGCGCGTATACGTAGTATACCGCCTTTGCGATCGTTTCGACCCCCCCCTCGATACAATAACCGAGTCCCCTAGTTCCTTACCGAAAAGTGACTACCGCGAACTTCTGAGATTTTCCAAAGCGTGTAAAAAGTTTACTAATCCGTCAATAACAATGATTAAAATTTGTTTCTCATTCTGGGGCTCGCTAGTTTATGTGTAATGAATACCAAGAGTCTACGTTTCTTGGTTTTTTTTAAAAAAACCTTTGAATGGGGCGCGCTGATTTAAAATATGCATATATAAGCGGAAGCAAGCGAACTGATTCGAGGATGGCTGACCAGTTCGGCACTCCTTGAATGAGAATTTCACTCACTCCGTTTTGTTCACAACGTTGCTTTGACATATCTCCACAACACTGTTATCCTTTTCAAAAGTTGGTACTCCTTGCTCTGATAGCCGGGGCCACCAGGATAGTGGTAAGTGCAATCTGTGATGAGCCTCGAGACTCATTAGACCATTTGCTAAACGTGGCTCATACAGGAGTCCACTAAGCCCTCTCGTCCCCACGCTCCTGATCACTGCGTCGGCGTCACGAAGAACAATGGGCCTTGGGTCCCAACGCGGCCGATACCCGTACCCCAATTACTCACGCTTCATTAACCATTTCACCGTCACGCTAGGATTCATCCAATTTTCAAAAAAAATTGTTTCGCATGTATTTAGCAATTTTTTCCTTACTCTCCGTTAAAACACAAATAAAAAGAGACCTCATTCATAAAAATCGGCCGAATAGAAGAGAAGTTACAGTAATCGAAATCCGAAGAAATCAACAAAACCTCGACTCCTCGATACGAAAAATAAAATGAAGGGGAAAAAAAGAAAGTATAAATTACAATTAAATATAATTGACCTCAAAATTTGACAAACAATTCATTTATATACCTAACGCTGAAAAAACTGGGAGAAATTACAAAAAATTTGCCTCTTGCAAGGGGCTTCTTTGTAAGAATTTTGACCTGAAGACAACGGTCGAATAACAGCAGTACTCCATACAATACACGGTGTGCCTGAACGAGTTAAACATTTTTCATACGTCCAAATCGAAAAATCTTTATATTTTTAACTACAATGTTTCTTGAATCGTTTAAGCAAAAAAAAAAAAAAAAAAAATTCCGTCGAGATTCTGGAACGCAAAGGCGCTTTAAAAGTATTCTGGGGCTATAATAGCTAAATCACCGGTAGTAAATTCGTTATATTATTAAAAAGAAATTGACTCCATAGTTTAATTCCTTAGTTTCTTGAATACGATTATTTTAAGCACTTAAACATTTATACCACCAATTTTAGCCATGGGGTGATTTCCTGAGAGCCGATAATATCACGAATTTCTCATAGAACCCCTCAACAGTGGCTTGCTTTTTTGGCAGCCGATTCGGCCATCGAACCGGAGTTTAAATGGAAGCTGATAATAACCCAAAGCTCTGAGAAAAATTTTGAGATGAGTATAAGAACGGTTTGTTGTAAGTAGCGAGGAGAGGCGGGCAAAGCGGCTAAAATCCTATCTAATTTTTACAGTTTTTCTGTTGAATTAATGTTGCCGCGGGCTTCTGACTGTCCACACATAGTTCTGTTCAGCATATCGATACATAAGTATTTACATTTTACATACGTAGAATCTAATTTTCACGTCGGGGAGTTGACATATTTTGATTTTTTCGATTTTATACGGAAAATTGATGGTTTTTCGGGATTGAAATTATTATTGTTTCATGAAAAATAAATGCACCCAAAATGACTATAGCATATTGATTCTTACACATTTGCACTCACAAAATTGGTTGGTAAATTCAACGAGTGGGTGCATCGACCTGGTATATCAAGTTTCTGCAATTTTTTACGGCAAATCAGTAGATTTTCGGGATGTAGATTGCTTACTTTCAATTCATGAATGAATAAAGCAACGACATGGTTGAACTTCTTTGCATGGAAAGACGTTTAAAATAACAAAATCAAGACGTATTTAATGCAATTGCATTTATATCGAGTCAATTTCTTTTCAATAATATAACGGGATTTTTACTACCGGTGATTTGGGTATTTTAGCCCCAAAATACCTTTAAATCGACTTTATCTTCTAGGAGTTCGACAGAATTTTTCCTTTCTTCGCTTAAATTATTCCGTAGCACTTTTCTTCAAGAATCTGATAAGATTTTGCTTGAGGCAGATCAAAAAACTTAAATTCGATCGAATAGCTTTCTACTTTCACAATACACGGTCTCGTCAAGGTGCGTCTTTGACCTCGCAGTGTTGGATCGTGAATTCTCTTTTTATGCTGTTTGCCTATTTTGAAATCTCTGTAAATGAAAACTAAAGGGGTTGATATGTGCGAGTTAATGACGCGCCTTATCAAAAGATTGTGTTGGAGTTCACTGCTTGTTTTACTATGCATACGATTTACCTCGTCGTTATTTGTTAAAAGTTTGCATGGCTTCAAATTTTCTGATTTACTGAATTTTATGTAACTTTGATCGGTGCATTTCCCCCTTGTTTTTATTGAGGAAAATTATTTTATTTACATGGATGACCTCATCCAAGATGACAGATGCAAATACAAGTTTCAAATTGGGGGAGTTTTTGCAGTTGCTATTTACTCTGTTAATCCATTCATGTGCTTAATTATTTATTTAATCTAAGATTGCATTGGAAGAACTTCAGCAGCCTGATTGTTGAAAATGTTTGTTTGTGGGGACGACATAGATGAAATAGGTTAAAAGGCAAAGCGTGATTGGTCGGGTTGACCTCTTGACAAGCTAATGGGACCTCTCGACAAGCTAACGGGACCTCTTAAGTCTCCGACAGTATGTCGTCCATTCCACCTGACAAAGGCACGATAAAGTAGCGATAAGACATAGCCGACCAATCACGCTCCGCCTTTTAACCTATGTCATCTTTGTCGTCCCGACAAACAAAAATTTCAACAATCAGGCTGCAGGAGAATTAAAAAAAGGAAACAACTAGGTAAATTTAAACTTTTTAACATTCTTCCTTGACAGTAAAACTGAAAAAATGTATACCTATCTTGGTTGTGGTGTTTCAAAATCTCCGCTCCTATTTTATTTCTTAAAAGGAGACCAGACTAATAACATGCCTCAAAATTTCCACAGAATATTCCTCACCTAATTATAAAAAGAAATATCATCAAAGTTTTCAAGAAATAATGGTCCGTAGTTCTCCATGTAGAAAGTGAAACATGGCAGGAAGTCTTCAACACCTCGTCACCTTCCAGGCAAAGTATCACAAGCGCCATGCGACGTTTAAAAATTTCCGCCGCCATTTTATTTTTTTACAGAGAAATTGTTCAACGAAGCTGTCCGAAAATTTCACTGAATTTTCTTTGTGCTGCCGATAAAATTTAGTGAAATTTCCAAACAGATTCAACCAACAATTTCTCAGTAAAGAAATAAAATGGCGTCGGAAATTTTTAAACGTCGCATGGCGCTTGTGATACTTTGCCTGGAAGGTGACGACCTCAAATCGAGATACTTGTCTTCACCACCCACCATCGTTTTTTCCTTTGCGCGCACACTTACATTTTGCGTAGCAAATGAGTATCTTGGATTTGGCGCTCCACAAGTTCAGTTCTAACTTTATTTTCTCATGCGAACATCATGCGATAATTTGCAAAAGCTCTTTACGAAAATGTTCTCGAAAGGGCAAAAACAAATTAAAAGAAACTAGAAACTAATCATGTACTTCCCAATATTTTTGTACGGTGCTTAATACCTTTTGCATGTCTGTTACAGGTGAAATTCTCCACCGAAAGTCTTCTTGAATTCCTACAACTTCAGTCGAAAGAAAAATTGACTGAGCTAGCCAGTACAATCATTGCCATATTTAGGAATAATGTTTCTGAGGAACGGATAACTACGCCCATGATGATATTTTTGGACCGAGTTCTCAGCTCCAATTACTTTAGGGCTGTTTTAGAGGATGAAAGCTCTACGTTTGCCCGGGATCTGTTGGAGCTAACCAAAGCCGAGATGGGCAACTCAAAAACTGTTCCTAGGTTAAATAATGTTGGCGCAGTTTTTTGTCAACTCATTCAGGTTTGTTTTGTTTCCACCTCTATTTATTTATACACGAAAATAAATTTTTAAGTAAGTTTACCTACTTTACTTCAAGCGCTATTAATACTAGAAATAAAATCTCACAATGTTCTCTGAGCTTTCTAAAATGCTACCATTTTCATACAAGGCCAAAGTATAGCAGAAGAATTGCTTGTTTATCACACCCATCTCTCTTCCAAGCATGTTCACTTCTTGCTTACTGCGAAATTTCACAAGAATGATAAAGGAAAAAAAAGGTCACAAAGTAAATGAGAACAGTAGTATGATTATTCTGAGGCACTTTTACATATTTCTCGACCAGATTCTACCATTTTTCACGAAGTTTCAGTAACTCCCGAAAGTTTACTCCCCCTCTTTAGTTTTAAAGTAAGGATTGGCGCAGAACCATCACCTTAAGAGTTATTTTTGAATTGCATCGTTCATAGGTAAAGGTGGGGTTTCCAGAAACAAAAGTTGGAGTGTACAATGATTTTAATTTTTTTTTTTAATCTCCAAACTTTTCAGGAATTATGAGTGAAAATTACCTGAACCCAGACTTTCAATGTTCATATTTTTGCATGATTTCTTTAAATAATTTTAAGCTGCAAGTGTCTTGAATCTGAAATGCTGAAAAAGTTGACTTTTGGCTCCAGCCAAAAAAGTCCAAGTTTTGCAGGAAAACTCCTCGACTTTTCTATGTTTTCCCTAACTTTCCAAGAATTTGTCATCAGGGGAAAAAATGATACGCTGAAAATGCTGAATTTATCGAAGCCACTACTTTCAGTACACTCAGCCAGCCCTAGAATCACCTCAACATTGCTCCTGTAAGCCATCCTAGCCACCTCTAATCTTTTTTACTTCTGTCAGAATGTTGTTAATTAATATTTCTGTGTGCTTATTTTTTACAGGTTAGAGGCCCTGTTTCAAAACAGGCTTTAACGAGACTCTCAATGCTTCTATGCCACCGATTTCTTAGCCTCCGCAAAACTGTTTCCACTAGATTTTACGAATCATTAGTCATTTTCTCCGAAGAATGTAACCTTTCAGAAGAGAAACTCGAAGAAGCCCTGACTGTACTGAGCGAAACAGAGTGGGACAAGCTGTCGATCAATGAAGTGCGTGAGATCAGAAATAAATTATGTTCAATTTTAGATATTCCTGTTCCAAAGGTCGTTCAAAAAGTGCAATAGATTGTGATGTTTGTATTTCCCCGCGAACAAACTTTACCTCATGAGTCTTGGCAAAAATATAACTCCGCCATAACTAACCAGTTTCCTCAAAACTGTCTGCGGAAGTCACAGGTCCCTTTATATGGGTAGACGAAGCATATGTTTGACAGGAGTTTTTAGACGAGCTAAAGTTTTATTGCTTTGTCATTGATAAACTAGTGGATACCTGGTAAATCAATGTGCTGGGCTCTAGAATTGAAGTACCAGCAAGGGCAAATAATCCGTCAGATCACGGAATACTGAGGGTGAGGACAGAGAGAGAGAGAGAGAGAGAGAGAGAGAGCTTGTTTCTCTTTTCCTCAAGAAATCTGACCTTTTTTTACTGTCATCAATGTTGACTTATCACCAAAAATGTGGTGTGTTTGATCATTTGGTCGTATCCTGTTTGAAGGAATTCATCCTGAGCATTTTAGTAATTCAACAAAAATTGTGTGAAGAAAAGTTGCCGAAAATTTCTGGAAAATTCTTGCAGCGGTTCTCCCATATAAATCAAATGTTAGCAAGAAACAATGAAACAAAGCAATTGAGATATGTTCCTTCCTATGGAGACAATATGTAAAGAGGGGTCTACGGAAGTGGCATTGCAATATATCTTAATGACAGGCAACTTAATTACCCGTGGAAACACAGAAAGTTTCCTAATAAAAATGCAAATTGACGGTGAAACTACTGAACGTCGTATCTCGGTTTGCAACTTTGCAGACTTCCTGCCATACTATATTTTTTCAATTAAGAACTTCTCAACATCAATTTTGAAAAACTTCCATGATTCTTAATCTCTCTGCAAGGCAAATCCTGGAAAATCTCCAAGGAATGCCATTGATTTTTTTTCCTTTAATAAAATAAAACCAGGAGCAGAAATGTGTAAACGGTTTAAACGAGATTTGTGGTTGAGGAGTTTCACCGTCGAAATGCTTAAGAAAAGACAGCCACCACTTGTGAAATGCGTAGAACTGAGAAAGAAGTTCTGATTTGAATAGGGATTGAAAAGGAGACAGGAACTATCCAGGAAGTTCCAGACCAAAATCTACTTATCCAGGGGATTTTGGAAAAAATGTACCTGACCCTCCTGTGAGACTCTCTTCAAACTCGAATTTAAGCTCATTTTGAGTAAGAATATTCGTGTAACGGCTGTTGTTTTTTATTTAAAAAAGTGAGCATGTCTCACATGAAATAAAAATAATACTACACTGTAGCTGTTTTTTTTATATTTTGATGCACTTTCAAAGCTTTTACTAAATTAATTTTTATAACTAACTCTGTGATAAATTGTTCGGTACCTACCTACTTCTAGTGTTTTTACCCAAATTTTGTATCTCTCTTTTTTACACGTTTTCCTAATATAACACTCTAAAAGAGCACATTTATTTTTATTTTGGCTCCATGATTCTCCTAGGAGCTCGTTTAAGGCAATTTAAAATTCATTCAATAAATGTGTATCTCGATCCCTAACTCAGAGCTCGCACATCAGAGTAGAAGAAACATTTTTTTAGAAGAGAGTATTGAGATTAACGGCTACCACGACTTTCTTTGGTCTTAATAATTAAAAAACAAGCCAATTCTTACACTTGTATTACCACGCAGGTACCCTCAGAAAATATAACAAAATTACAACAGGTCTTTCCTAAAAAGTAAATTTATTTTTGGAACTGGAACAAGCAAATCGATCAATCGCAAAGCGATCATGTAAAAAAGAATATACAAAATTAAGAAAGACTGTTGTATCAAAACCGAAACAGCATTCTCTAGAAAATTAAAATATTAACCACCAGCTTGAGGCACAATACAAAAAAGAATTCTTCCTATTTGAAGCAAAATGCAGGAAACAAAATAAAATATATGTAGTAAATAAACTCATGTATGATATATTTAAAAAAATGAAATGATGACAACTTGAGTTGATTTATCACATAGGGAAGCAGATTTTAGATTAGAGGAAAATTCTGAGATTCCAGCATACTCAGCTTGATCTTGTTGTCCAAAGTGTAATCAACAAGCCTTTTAAGCTAATTCTGTGATTATTATTCATACATTGAGTCAGGTAAATGACTCCCTTTCCAACCAGATTTACTGCAGAATGCTAATAAAATTCTTCTTGCACAAAGGAAGTACATTGATCGCTTCACCCGAATATTACATACTTTTCCTAAAACTAAGCGAAAATACGCACACAACTCTGAACTTCAATTTTTGCAAATTAATGCATTCAGAATAATCTTTCAAATTCGTCTGCTAGTTTTAGCCTTTCAACTTTTTCTCGGAAGATTTTTAAAAAGGGAAAGCATAAGAAATGTTGCAAAATTCTATGAGTATTTCTTCTCAGTTTAGCGAAGAAACTATACAAAATCGAGGTATATTTCAAATACCTTTATAACCAAGTTTATAAAAATTAATGTAGCCTGTACAGAGTTTTTTAAATTCTTCAGTAAAAAAATAATTAGCGAAAATGCAACTCATACTGTCTGAATAGTTTTACATTTTCTTTTCTTCAGAATTTTTTTATTGTGTTAAAAAAAAGTAACTGATCTTGGCTTCCTATGACCAATTTCACCGAAATCATTTCTGCTTTGAAATTAAAATCCCAAAATTAATCTTCAAATTTCAGTGAAAATACTAAAACATAACTACTGCTATAAATTTAAACCTAAGTATGCGATTCCAAACAAAATCATTACATGACACGACACATACATGACATATAAAGGGGAGAACAAGGCAGAATTTTCACCATCCTTTTAGATGATACAATTTGATTAAGTCACTGCAACAGGGATCTCCGCCGAAAATCTTTCAGGTCAGCAGGGCAAGGCGACTGAATCTTTCAGTTTAGTTGGGTCGTGCCATTTGTTTGAATCAAGGATTTCAGTCCAGCTTTAGCTTATCAGGAGGGCTCACTGAGGCCTGACAACAGAAGAAAATAAATTCTAATCCTTTAGAGGCCTCAGATAAATTCGACACAAAATTTGGATCAAATCTCCTTGAAAAGCATAGCTACTGATCCGGCACTTACTCGAGCTTTTCCGTTCACACTTAAAACATCTCATTGATTTTGGCCCTCTGGAAATTTAAAATTTAAATCTCCCTCTGGGCGATGAGCCATTAGAATTTTCAGCTCAAAAATCTAACTTACTTTTTTTTTGGTCCCTTTTGACTGGGACAGTCCACGGATGGAGTTTAACCTGAAGTTTAAGACAATTTAAACCAAAATAAAGGTTTGGTAGTTTCATCATTGTCGCACACAGGCAGACAATAAAGCTCTTCAATGTGATGGCATGAGTCAATCAAAATGTTAAATTTCAAAAAATTTCCCAGAGCCTAATAACATGCCATAACAAGTAAGTGCAAGTACCTAAGTCCCTGGAATCTGAGCAGTGAGAGATGTTAAACGAGAATTGGAGTAGTCATGAATAAGGATTTTTCTTGAAATGTGACTGAAAAAGGCATAAAAATCGACAGTGAGGGATAATTTTTCGAATTTTCCTTGCCGCTTCCCGTCTTTTTTGTGCTCTAGTTGGCTTCTTTCAGGGAAATTTTCTTTATAAGAGCACATTAAGATGTGTTCTGGTCCAGGCCAAAAGAGTTACATGGATACTTGAAATTTTTCACAAACCCAACGTTCAGTCTAAAGTTGAGCTACAATTACATTAACACCAGAAATCTATCATGATGCTTTGACGAAAACCTGCCCTTTCCAGTTTAGTGTCATAATTTCAAAATAGTTATTAACTAGAGCGGTGCGGAGAATATTAGAGTACTCACTTTTTGACTAGCTTGAATGGACAGAAAATATCAGTAAGACCGCAGTGGATAGCTTGAGAAACCTTGCCACCGGTTACCACACCATCTCACCCACAAAAATTCATGCTCCAATCACAGCTTTCCGAAACCTGACGGCTGGTAAAATGTGCAATTTCAGTACACAAGTCAAGAATAATTGAGTCTCTGCATGAAAAATAAAACCCTGGGTGAACAATAATGTGAGGGACTTGAATTGAAAGCACGCGGTTTTGCTTTAAAACAGATGAAAATAGACAGTAAACCAAATCTGATTCTCATAAATATCCACTGTCCTTCACAGACATTCGATCGAAATTATTCCGTCTCAAAATCGGACGGAACAAATGAGATTTTTTGTGAGGTGTCGATGATTTTTCACTGAACCAAAAATGGCAACAATTTAAAATAGATAAAAACGCAAAAAAGAGAAAGGATGGAATGTCTTTACGGTGAGTCAATTATGCGCATCCAAGTATAGCATAGAGAAAAATGAACTCTATAAAGTAAGGAAAATTAGAAAAATCTGTAGAGAATCTCTGCGCTTCGGATCAATAGACTCATTGCTTTTCGAAAAACACAGTGGATGATGTTATCTATTTCCGTAGGACATACCATGGTTACTTCTGACTTGATCACACATATCTGTGATGGTACCAAGTTGAAAGAAACCATGTTATGCACTCTCACTGCAAATGATGTCAATCACTGTATTTACTTGAGGACAATATGATCCTTAACATTGAATTGATGAACAGCCCTATATCCTCAAGATTTGCTGAGATGATAAATTTTTAGTACAGCTACCTAGACAATTTTGACAACAAAACGTAGGGATACAGGGTAAACGAATTATACCATTTGGGGAGAAGAGGAACTAAAGACAAAAAAAATAAAATAAACTAAAAATAAAAGATCAAATAGGATTGACTACAGTTCACTTTCTTGGGTGAAACTGAACACCTTCGACAACACAACAAAACACACAATTCCAAACAGCCCAAAAAGATGAGAATAAGGTACACACCTGAAATCTATCGAAAAGCAGACAAATTTTCATACAGAGATATGGAAAACAAATTGAAAAATTTACCATTGGCACAAAAAAAATTAGTGATAGGAACCAAGGCAACATTTTCCATGACAAGAATTAACATTTTTCAGCGACAATCCATGTAATATTCTTAATCACCGAGGTAGGTAAAAACTTTAACTGCATCATACATGGCTAAAGAACTTAGCCAATTTGCACGCACTTTGTATCAAGAGATTAATGGCCCAGATAAGCAGGTAGCGGTGGAGTTTCCTCTTGGTTAGTCACCACTGTACAAAGGAGAACCACTCTCCCTCCATCAAAATTATTAGTAATCGCCAAATATGCTTTTTCCATGAACTTGCAATAAACTTAAACTAATAACCCACACAAGAATGTTAAAATCAACATTAATAAAGGCAAATGAGACAGAATTGGGAGATCCACACCGATTGCAACGAGTAAGATTCGAATGAAAAAACCGCAATAGAAAATGATTAAACAAACCAAGTGTCCTCAATTGAAAAGCGGAGACTTTTAATGGTCAGTTCCTTAGACCGAAATAGAACTTTTGAGCTACATGAAATTTTTTCCCCTGAGCTCTTTGTAGGAGTGATACAGCAGACTGATCGTTGAAATTGATAGACACAGCAATAGACAAAGAAGACATAGGGAGTATGGAGCGGTCCTATTGGTTGAAATGAGCGGATCTTGTGGACTAGAGGGGTAAATGATGGACACACTATAGGGTCTCTCGTTAGCAGCTGTTAGTTAATCTATTACCTACCTCCTTGTTCGTTGCAACCACCCGCTTCCACCAATAGGATCCCTCCATATCCATTTTTCTTCTTTGAGTATAGCTTTGTCTATCAATTTCAACAAGCAGCCAGCAGCCTCTCCAAGTTTAGTACTTAAAATTGATATTTTTAAATTGAAGCATTATTCGTCATTCAAATGGTAAATCATTTAGATCACAAAATTTTTTTCACGCATTCTACCTGCTGTTAATCTCAACAAAAAAAGACACTGAAAAGAAGAGGATCACTAACTCTCCCCGTTCTTTTAAGTTTTTACTGTCTTTATGGCTAAGAAGGATAAAAACCCATGAAAACTCGCGTATAGATTTTTAATTTCAAATGGATAAGATTTTAATAGTTTCTGCTTTAAGCGATTCAGTTTCTTTAATTTTCAAAAGGACCTATACTTCCTAAAAATCAATAGAGGAAAAACATATCAAGAAGCAAAAACAGTCCTATCTTGGGCTAAACAATCGATCCCTAGAAAATCTGAGATTCCAATTAGGACACCTTGTGAATGAAGCCTTATAAATAAAAACAATGGATGATCCATTTGAAATACATTGCACATCTGTCGTTTTTGCAAATAAGGGTTCAAGTGCATAAAGGAAGACAGGCATGAAAATGATGAGCTGATATAAGAGACACCTTCAGCGATGGCAGAAACCAAAAACGCTTATGTCGAATTGAAATATTGCATGTTGCCTGATCATATTTTAGTTTCTGAAAGAAAACTTATTATTTTAATTCCTAAAAACTTCCAGGATATTTCTTCTCTATTGAGGAAACACAGTGTGAAAAACAGGGATGTTCACATCACTTCATACCCATCAATGCTTCTTTCTGGGAACAGAAATACTTGTTACAAAGGGACTTTCGAAAATTTGCACTGAATTATTTTATTCGTAAATTGTACTGAATACATATTTCTGTTTGACAGAAAAAAGTACCTACAGTGTAATGTCAACATCTCTGTCGATTAACTGAGAGTTTTTAACATATATTCCCCTTCATTGCAACGCCATGGAAGTTTCTAGAAATATAGCATGTTCAGTTCTCTTTAAGAAACAATAAATAACAGCAAAAATTAGGAACCACCGCAACTGAAATAAGTGTTCTCGGAGTTATCCACCATGATTACATACAAAAATACAGTCTAAATTAGTGATCAAGGCAAAAATAGTGAAATGGAGACAGAACCACATAGAAAATCAGAAAAGTCTGCTGAAATAAATAAGTCAACGGAACAGGAAATGACAGGAGGAAATCGCCAAAAATTAAATTGTACAAAATACAGTCAAGAGTGAAAGAAGAACACAATTCAAAATCATAGGGATGAAATGAAAAAAAAAAAGACCTGAAAATCAACTAAAAGAAAATGGTTAATCATGAAAAACCAACAATAAATAGAATGAGCGAAGGAGCAGAGGAAAAAAGTAAAGGGAAAAACAAAAATTGTGGACATGATCGAAAAAATCTAATAGGCAACTGGCCGAGAAAGCAGTTGTATTATCTCTAAATTTGAAAAAAGAAGTGACACTTACCTCCTTTCAATATTCAGTTTGCTTCCTGTAAATAAAATCTTCAGAGCTCTAAATAACAAAGATGAACAGAGCGGTTAAGAAGTCAAGACCCAGAGACTAGTACTAAACTTCTTCGGAAGAAGTGAACACAGGGCTGCCACAGAGTTTAGAAAATGTATTACCCTGGCACAATTTGGTAAAATTCCTTGACAGTAGAGGATATGATAGATGGTTAAAAAGACAGATTTGAAATAGCTTTCAGGTAAAAGGACCCCAAACACTCCTATGGAAAAGTGCACCGCAATCGATTTTTAATTTTTTTAATGCATTCAATTCTCCTCAAGATGCTGATCGAAAGACATCATTGCACCAACTTTCTGCGTTGCACCGTTTTCGCACAATACGCCCGGAACGCTTCAATTATTCGGCGATGAAGAGTCAAAAAGAACAATGCATTTGAGAACAGCTCTGATGTGAATAAAGAAAGATGTAGCGAGTGTCTGTCTACTAAGCTATTCCCCGGTCTGGTCCATTTGACGTTCACTGTTTTTCTCTGACTTTCCTGTTCTTATGCTCCTCGCGAAGGCGTGCAGAATCCGAGACAAGACTGCCGCTTGGTGCTGGAGTTCTCCAGATTTCCTTGTTGACAAACAGTCGGCCGTTCACTCGAGTGCTGAAATAAGGAATCTTTCTGACTCTTAATCGCCGAATAATTGAAGCGTTCCGGGCGTATTGTGCGAAAACGGTGCATCGCAGAAAGTTGGCGCAATGGTGCCTTTTGATCATCATCTTGAGATGAATTTAATGCAATAAAAAAATTAAACATCTAACGTAGTGCACTTCCCCATAAGGAATGTGCGGGGTCCTTTGTTGTTTGTAACAACAAACCCATTCTTGAAAGCACATAAAAGTGACTTAACAACTTTTTCGTGACACTAGCGTCATTTTCTCTGATACTCTCCAGTGCTCTTTATCTGTGGTAACCCTGCAGGATATTTTCATCAATGATAGAAAAAGGCAGCTGTGAATCATAGATAACTAAATTTCAAATACACACGTCTCAACCACAGCAACTCAAAATTGTTACTTTAAGAGTCGTTATTAAATTAAGTGAACGAACTTAACTGCTTAAAATTGTCTTCGATTGATTTCAATGAGGAATATTGTAGAAATTACCAAAAACTGGTGATGATTTATTATTGTAAAGTTGTAATGTCAAAAAAATAAGACATAGATTCAAAATTACGTCACTAAGATGCACTCAACAATAAAAGTTTCTTTGAAATGATATTTGTATATTGATGGCTGGAGTTAAATGAGTACCTCAGGGGACACGGTGAGTATCTGGTCATAATATGAATTTTTGAAGAAAAAACTAACTGATGATTTCGAAAGAAATTTTCTCCTCTCACTCGACAGATTCACACAAAATTGCAAGACCAAATAATTATTTATTTTCCTCAACGAAAATAAGACATGATCAAAGATTTTTAAAGATGGCAATTAAGATGAATAATTAATTGACAACTTAGTTAGTTTCTCGATTCATTTTCCTGATTATTTGCATCATCGCATTTGGCATGACCTCTAGGAGGTTCACATGTTTCTTTCAAAGATGACTTTTCCAAAGTAGTTTGGTTAACCTCATTCGATGGTTATGGTTTTAAAGTATTAAGCAAAATTAGAACTTGGGTCTTTTTCAGATTGATTAAATTGAACATTATTCATGTTAGAAGAATCGTCGAAGAACTTCCCTCCAAGAAATAAAAAAGTACTGAAAAAGTACAAGACTCTGTCACGAGTTTAACACAGGCAGAAATGCTTGCAAGAACCAAAGAAAAAATCCCTGACTCATGATATTTTTTCTGAACATCCTAAGTAAGGACTTCGAATAAATATTCGGGCCATGAAATTCAATCCAACATCAGGTTCCTGATCTAATTTTGAAACTGAATATCACATTTAAAGAATACTCATGTTTCCTTCACCTCATTTGACGGCTTTGGTTGTCACACTCTACACTCTTACACTCTATCAATTGAAAATCTAGCATTGACCCTTTGAGATGATTATGTACCACATTTCATTGTTGTTCCCAGGGGCGACGAACTTAATCAATTCATTACTGCGCCTGAGTAAATTTGTGTTTTTGATTTGACGTAGAGGCTGATCATTTCACATGAAATTTAGGATGCTTAAACACTGTCACATCAAGTCACTGTCATATTGGAGGCTGGAAAGAGAACAGCTGAGATTTTTTTATGAACAGAACCGTACGTACACAATGCAACACAAAAAATACTGACAAGATCATAAATGATTGATTATTGATTAGAAGCATGATCTCTTTCAGAATTAAAATCATACCAGATCTTCAAAATCAAAGATGAGAGATAACAATATAAATGAAATCTTTCAAAAAAAGAGGATAGCACAAGTGCTCTCTCAGCCAGTACGAACAACATCTCCAACATTATAGACATTGAGAAACATGGACAGTGTTTTCATTGAAAATTGATACACACAAGAACAGACGGCAAGGCATTTAAAATCAAAGTGGATTGGCGCAACTGAAGTTACCATGACAAAGGTACGTAAAGGTCATAGATTAGTTTCACTTTCAAGAGGACATTTGCAGATGCAGAAAAATTTTACGATTTACGAGAAAGAATTTTATGATTTTAAGATTTTTATGATCCTTTAAAATGACAATTGCAGATAAGAATTCGGAACTTCCCATGTTTTTCCTATGATCATGCGGAGGCAGAGAGGCAGAAGAGGGTTTCAAAACCTTCCACCCAGCCACAATTTTTGACTTGCGCAACTCGATTTCCAGACTAACTCAATTCTCTGTGTCATCCAAATAGCAAAGCACCCTAAAATTCCAATGCTGGAACTGCTTTCACTCTCATTCATTAGAACTTGGCATTTCCTCAATAGCATTGATCACACTTCTAAATGGGTCAGTTGCCCTGGTCACGGAATCCTGTTTGGGTACTTTATTTGTGTAGATCAGCTAAAAATAATGAGATCTGTTCAAACAACAACTTTCTACGTTGAATATTAACCAAGATATCGCATCTTGCAAAACTTGATTTATGCATATCATGTTATGCACAACTGCGGTGGATAACGTCCAAAATCCGACTTTCATGAGGATGATATCTCGGTTAATATTCAACGTATAAAGTTGCTGTTTAGACAGATCTTATTATTTTTAGCTGATTCATAAGAAAAAAGCATCAAAACACGATTCAGTGACCAGCGCAACTGAACCTTTCTGCATCATCAATTACGAACAATTCATTTGTTAGTGTAATTACTCCTCACATGGCAAACTCTGTGCAGTATGGAAACGCCTCAAAATTTTTACACACACTCCATCTGAGTTTCAAAACGGAAGGAAACACAAATACCACATTATTACAAAATTCCACCTGTGAACTTACAGTGAAACTAGAGAGCCCTGATCTCTGTAAATTACCATCGCAATTTTTTAATAAGGAAAACCAACTGCTTGAAAGGTGTGTAGTTTTGTGCGTTTCTCTCTGACTCTGAGGAAAATATTTTTTAGTAATGTCTTGCAACATTATTCTGTTAGTCTTCTTTAGAAAATAGGGCAGACATGAAACAACTGAACTCAAGTTCATGGTTTTCAATTTTCACAATTCCACAAGGGTCTAATGACTATAGCTCCAGCAACTTTTTTTTTTTTTTTCACACAGCAAGTCGAGAAGGGTACAGGATACCTTCTCATGAGTAACTAGTAGCACCAAGGGTAATTGGTTATGTATGACACCATTTCAATTAATCGGTCTTTTTGGCTAGAATTCACGCTGGGGCGTGTTTTTTGTGAGGCAAAATTTCAACTTTGGCTGTCATGCTTAAAAACGAGAGATGTTTTGAGTAAATTTTTTCCTTGAAAAACTCAACATACGGCAAGTTTTGAGATCTGATTTGAAATAACTGTCAAAAACCTGGAAAGCACAAATTTCTCCAAAAATTCGATGGATTTGAAAATTCGACTTGGAACAAATTTGAGTTAAGGTGACATCATTCACAGAATGATACCAAAGATGAAGTGGAGCAAGCTAGATAAAATGTTCATAAAAGAGACAAAACAATCATTGAATAGTAATGAGATTTATTCATACAACTACATGTACACAGGGGTTGAACAGAATCTTAAAGAGATGTTCTTATCGTACAGCAAAATTCGACAGGGAAAAAAGGGGGAAGATAAAAGTAAAAATACATAATTGAGATGGGACGAGCCTGTCCTTTGAAGTTAAAACCATTAATCAGATAGAGACATGAAAATAAAAAGTTGGACAAAGAAAATTATGCTTTGCGCTACGAGAAACGTTCAATTCAAGACTTTTCATGAAGGCAAAAATAAAATAAAAGAGCAAAAAAAGACACACAGTTACAACTGAAACAAAAACCCGGAGAGAGGGTGGGTATCATTAAAATACTGACTCTTCTGACCCTAACCTCAGAGAAATAAAAAACAGATTACCCGATCTAAAATAAGGCCCAAATAATTCATACAACACTACCCGATCGAGTACTGTGCTTAATACAATTAAAAATTTTGAGAGCTTTGAAAATAAACAAACTGCTTCTTGGGTACTTCTCTGGCATCAGGGCTACTACAACATTTTGGTACGAAACTATAGATACACAATCTTCTATAGATAGAGAAAGAAATTAAGTATAGAAAATAATTAGTCACAGTTGAAAATGCTGGTCAAAGGTGACTTCGATGAATTGACTACCGTGGGTGAACAAAGATATAATGGGATCTTTAAAGTGAGGTATATTGAAAACGTTTATTAATCAACAGATGAAGAGAAGAAAATAGGCCTCATCTGTAAAAATGATGGATATTCCATTTAAAATACATCAAGGTTGGTCATTTTTGAAACGAGGCTTCCAATTCTCTTCTGTTCAAAGCTCTCACAGAAATTAAATCTTACAAATTAGGAGGGAATAAACTTACACATCAGAATGAGGCTCCTGTCTACTCGAGGATCAAACCTGCGATGAGACTTTTGAAAACTATGCGAGCAAATAAAATTTGGATTCATCATTCAGAAGTGAGCTACATCGGTTGGAGTGATCTCGACTACCAGCATAAAAAATTAAGAATGGGTAATTTTCCTTCACATCCGAACAATGAGCGACAAGTCGAGAGTAAGATGGAGAGCCTTTTCTTGCATTCTCTTGAAAATAAACGGAGACAAAATGGCTTGAACACTGTTAAACACACGGCAAAAATAATAATAATAAGAGTTACAAATAGACAAAGGAAATCAATGTTATTCATGAGAAGAAACTACGAAATCAAGACAACTTTTAAATATTTTACGTTTCACAGCCTCACTGATTTGGAAAAAACTAACAAAAAAGAGAAAACCACATACACAAAATTTAAAATTTGCACACTTTAAATGATACATTTTAATGCCTATATTATCTATTTAAAAAAGGACAAAATATAATAAAAGCTATGAAAAGTCAACGACTTAAACAAACAACACTGATGAGACAGGTGACATATGAAACTTCAAGGACAGGCTCGTAACAAATCCCTCGAGAAAAAAAGAACAAAAAAATTGAAAATAAAGGGGAGAAAAGACCCTTCCTCATGTTTGAAGAACAGCTAACAACTTTTCAATGGTAAGATGGGCGGTCGTAAACTTAGACGAAACAAAATACTTACGTAGTCGAGGGATTAAAAGATACCAAGTTATCGGTAAAGCTTACCTATAAAGAGGATACATCGATTGCATGGAGAACAAATATAAAAGGAGCCTGACTTTCAACTTAGGTAGATGTGTATTTATATTCGTGTGTATTTATAAAAATCTTACGAGTAGTAAAACAACTTACGTCTAAAGAGATTGAGGAAAAAAAATAAAGTGGACTGGCGGAGAGTAGACATACATAAAAAATTATCAGAGGAGACGACAAAATAGGGCATAACTTTGAAAAAAAAAAGGTTTTTAAAGAGCAGAAACAAGTCCTGCTAGCGAACTTGTTCGAGCTCTAGCAGACAAACAAACTCAGCAGATGAGAGCAACGGATTCAGGCTGGTTGCAGAGGCAGCGCAAAAATAGTGAGATAATTACGGCATCAATTTTAGACCAATACGAATGAATGAGTTAGAAATTTAGATACATACAAAAAATGGATTCAGTATTACAAGTCAACGAAGAGGCTTAGTTCGACTGGAGTCAGCAGCTTGCTAACGCATTATGGCGACACCTGTCAGAGGAACATAAAACAAAACAATTCCGCTTTGCGGTGACATATGCTAGGCAATCTGTGGAAGGCTTAATTTAACGCTTAAACTACTTACACCTAAACGCCTACAAGTGTTCTCTGCTCAAAGGAGCAGAAATGAAATTCATGACGCAATACAACACTCTTGCATAGCAATATTAAGATAAAAAGTGCCCGAATCAAAAGAAAAATTGAAACAAGACTGGTTGCGTGTGGAATCGTACAAAACCGTGCTTGCTTAGCTGAGAAATTCATACCTATTCAAATACTGAACACAGGGGTTGATATATTATTTCTATTCATGATTTAGCGGATTGCAGGTGGCTGACGGATATATACCATCTAATTCTACCAATTTATTTTCAATTTTTCTGATACTGAAAAGTTAATTCTTAGCGTATTTCTGTTAAAAAACAGTAGAAAACATGGCCGAGTGTTCACAAGAGCGAAAAAACAAAAACTTATAGATTCAGATGGAAATTTTTTAGGTGGACCGAGTAAAATGTTACATTACCTCAAAGTACGAATATGTTAATGTAAAGGACTATCAACCCCTGCCAAAGATAAGCGAGCCTTTCTCTCGGGCGTACGAATGATTGAAAAAAAAAAAAATTAAATAAAATAAAAAAACAAAGAAACAGAATCCCTTTACAACCCCTCAAAGTATATAAAGAATAAGACATGACAAATTGAAACCCTGAGCAGATTTCTTAAACTTCAGTACCATGTGATTACAAAAATCTCATTTCGAAAAATAATTAAATGCGATTACATATTGATGAAATAGTATGATTGCAGACCAGTTGATAAATCAAAAACGGTAATCTCAAAGGAGGACAGAAAAAGTTAATTTAAACTTCAAAACCCACAATTGCAAATACGTAGTGAGAAACATCAGTCGAGATTTCAGAAAAATCAGGTTGAAATAAAAATCTAACTGTTGGAAACACTAATGCAAGGGTGCAGCTTGCTTAAAAGAAATAATTTCGGCAGCTTGACCGAAATCTGCGTTTTGAAACCACTTGGCTGATAAGATATCAATGGCAAATTCTGGCAGAGCTTTGAATCAGTAGTCATAAAGCCAGAAAAAAGGGTGGCCGATTGGTTATATACTCTGCAACCGTTGTTAAAAACCACAAATTAGCCAATATTTGTTGTTGTTTCAAAACGTTTCTTTGAAAAGAAGCTGGTGCCCTTGCGGAAGTGTGAATAACAGAGAATAAAAGCGATTCTACTCACCAGTTCATGAGCTATCAGCCTGCGGATAGTTAGGGTAGCTTGAATAGGGGAACTGCGGTGGGCCAGGTTGTTGTTGCGCCTGAGGATTGCTGTAGAATGATGGTTGGTAGCTCATTCCGTACTGCGGCTGACCGTAAGCACCCATCTGTGGCTGAGGGGCTGCGGCCGCTGGCTGCGTGCTGACTACTGGAGCAGTTGCAGCGGCGGCTTGTTGCTGGAAAAGGCAACGACAAGCATAACTACGGATGTCTTGCAAAATTTCCAATACTGACACTTCAACTCTTTGGGTCTCTTTCAAATTATTCATTCAAGTCCTCAAATTTTCTAGATTTAGTTGATCCAGATTACACAGCATTCTATCTATGATACTGTCTCTCAACAGTTAAGAACTCAACCGATTTGCTCTGGTTTGGATTCTTTGTAGCCAGATATGGATGACCAAAATGTAAAAGAACGTATCTTCGTTTGCAAAGTTGCAGACTTTCTACTGTACTTCATTTTTTCTTTGAATAACTAGTCAACGTAATTTCTTAAGAGCTACCTTGATTTTTCTTCTCTTGAGTTTTAAGAAATAAAGTTCCCTACTTTCTCTTAAAAAAAAAAAAAAAAGCGGAAATTTTGAATCACTGCGATATAGATCCAAATGTGTGCACTTCGGCCATCGATATGTAAGACCAAAGATAAAAACATGTAAAGAGTTTCCATGGATTCCAAAATTTGTGGTCTTTTCCATGGCTTGTCAATGTTGTTTGGGACATGTATCTCATGAAAATGCTGAGATGAATGCTGTGGAAGGTAGGTAATGACATTTTTTGGTTGAAAGAGAGAATTTCAATGTTTTGCAGGTAACTTTTAAGGGCTGGACAAAAAATCTAAACTTGTCTAGGTTATCAATGACTTCTCAAGAATTTGCCATTGTGAAAAATGAAGCATGCAAGGATGGAGATTGAGGCTTGCTGGAGGATTATCTTATGTTGCAGAGGAGCCTAAAATGACGATTATTATTTTAACAGAAAACTCACCTTAGCTTTAATTTGAGCTTCGATAACTTCAGCTTCCTTGATTTTGCCTATAGATCTGTAGTATTCAGCCCATTGGACACTGTAATCCGCTTGTCCATTTTGACTTTGGAATCCAGATGACTGTTGCACCTGCTGTTGAGGTTGAGCGGCAGGCGTGTCTGAACTTCCACCCATAGCCGCCTAAATAGAAAAAGGAAGCAAGATAACAGGATTTTAATACACATTTTAAAATACGATTTGTTTTAAGTAGAGATTAATTTCTAGGATGAAAAATTTTGAGGCTATATCAGCTTAGTTTGCAGCTGACAAAGTCATCTGAACTAAATAAATAAAGCTCTGGAAGAAGTGTTTTTGCTTTCTTTCCTTACTTCCCCTTTTCATAATTGATTGGCAAGTCAAAATATTGCTCTCAGAACGTTAGAGGTGATAAGTTCAAACTTTCATCAAAAAAAATCAGCAGGTGTTTTCATCATGTAAGCAAATATCCAATTGTTAACTCAAAAATAACTCTCTGATTTAGTGAGAGCTGTCGCAAAAAGGTATTAACTGGAGGGCAAGGGCTGTCAACTTTGCACTAAAAGATTCAAACTTGATTTTCCCTTTGAACATCACAGAAGGGATTCACCACTTCATTTAATTCGATCAAATGGTAAAAATTACATTGTCCCTATTACAGTACGACCTCGATTTATTGGATTTCATGGGACCGGAGGATCGACCCGTTAAATCCCGGAATCCGTTAAATCGCGATCCGATAATTCAAGGTCTTACTGTAATACTAATAATCAGGAAAAATTTCCATCTGTCGCTTTGGAGTGAAGTGTCCATGCCCCCAAAAAATACAATTTGGACTAAAAAAAAAGGAGAAAAAAACCGAGCTAAAACTAAAATATTCTTTGTATTACAAGAGGGTGCCTACTAAAATTTCATTTTGGATTTTCCTGAAATTTAAAATTAAGTGTCCTTAATTTTTCTGCAAACAAATTGACACTTGCTGGATTCCGTGAACCAAAATATTCAGATAATGGAATCACTTGTTTCATTTTTGCGTGCGCTTGCATGCAGCTGAAAAATACTCGATGAAAACGGAATTTCCTGATGCAAGACAGAATGTCCTGGTGACAACTTCCTGTTATAATCCACTTTATAGTAACAGTAGACACCCTGCACATTAAACATACTGCCCAAGTGCTACAGCCTTCACAGCCAAATAACAGGAAATTACAAAAGCAGAGACACATTTAAAGAAAGAGAGCAATGTATGATCTACGGTAGGATCCATCACTCTCACCTTATTATGTTTAGCCTGCATTTCAACCATCTCAGCCTCTTTGATGAGTCCGACCGAGCGATAGTACATGGCCCACTGTTGGCTGTAGTCGGGCGTGCCGGTCGCAGGGTTGACTGGGACATTTGAGTTCGACGACTGGTCACCGGTACCGCCTTGCCATGGTTGCTGCTGTTGTTGCTGTTGCTGTCCGGGGAATCCGGGCGCCCCCCAGCTCCCTTGGTTGAACTGAGGGCCACCGGGACCACCGCCTATCGGGTAACCGGTGGGTGGACCGCCGTTCATTGCGCCGCTGTTCGGTGCGCTACCCATTCCGTTGAAACTGCCAGGAGGCTGAAAAAAAATAACGTGAAAATTAATGCAAGTGAAAGAGAAGAGAGTGAATTATCGAATGGTCTGACAGCTTACCGTAAAATTCGATCTTTCTAAATGGCATGGGGATTGAATTCAGATTCAGGGGATTGATTCAGATTTGAAAAAGACTTCTGTTGAGAACAGACATGATTCACAATGCTAGAGGAAACAGTTATCCTTGAACTATTTGTCTCTCATAATTTAGCTATATCAGCAGAAAAATAGAATGAATAAATGGGGGGGAAAAAAAAAAGAAGGTCTTCGAAGCATTGCACCGAGATGGGTACAAAAGTGCTAATTAAAAGTTAATGTGATACCGTATACACGGCACTCCAGATTTTGAGAGGGTCCAAAAATCAAAAACAAATTCCCGTGTAACCAATACGTGCCCCAGTGGTTTGTTTCGCTGGCATTGTTGATTAGTACCTGGTGGGTATGCAATTTCCATAAGTTTCACAGATAAACCGCAAAATATTGCAAACCAAATTCATTCCAGTTGGTGGACTTGAGAGGGACTTGCCAAGAAAAAGAGATTAGATACTTACCATTCCAAGTTTTTCCGCGATGACATTCTTTGCTCTCTCGATTTGTTCTGGTGTTCCTCGGATGATGAAGGTTTTTTCATTAGGGTTAGGCTGGTTTCTGCGATCGATCTCACAATGAGCTCCAGTTTGCTGGTTGATCTGCCTAATCGTTTCTCCACCTACACGACAACAAAAAATTACATTTGATGAGTTACCATGATTGTTCAAGATGAAAGCAAGGCGAAATACATGATCAACAAAAATGGTGAAAATAAAACGAAGAGAGGAAGACATATCGACGGTGAAAGTCAGCAATCACATAACTCGGTTTGCGACGTTGCAGACTTCCTGTCATACTTTATTTTTTAGATGGAAAACTACTCAACGGCAATTCTTTAAAACTGTCATGATTTTTCTTCTCAATGCGAAGAAAATTCTGCAAAAACTTCAAGAAATAATATCAATTTGTTCTCCTTAGAGAAAATGACGTAGAGGCGGAGATTTTCAGACACCGCAAACGAGTTATGTGATTGCCGACTTTCACCGTCGATATTTCATATCTCAGCAGAACTCCATACTCTATCAGATGTTTCAAAATTTTCTCTAATTTTTTGAACTGTGGAATCCCTCCATTTTTTTTTCACAGGTGGAACAAGGACTCAAACGTGTGATTTTCAGAGACTGAGCTCTTGTCTTCTGATTTTTTAACTAATTCCTTGGACCACTGCAAATCCCTGATTGTTGGGCATAAAAGTAACATTTCCTGTGATAAAAATATCTTCCGACATTCGAAATTTCGAGGAAAGAAGATAAACAGCGAATTTTTTATCCTTCTTTCTTTCTTCTTTCAAAGGAAACACCACGGAGAATGTTAAAACATCAGTCACGAAAAATTTCTGCTTGCTTCACCATACATTTCATGTACCTCTGTATGTTTTGATCTCCACTAGAGCCGTAGTTAGTGCTGCACTGAAGAACATAGATATGTCACTTGAATACATCGCTTTGAAAAAATTTTATTAGAACTCAGAACAACTGCTAAAATGGAATGCTAGTAATAAATACCTTTTCCGATGATGACACCACATTTGGAAGCAGGAACAGAAAGAGTAGTTTCTTGTTTGTCGCCACCACCTCTACCGTCCCAGTCTCGGCTGTTGCGATCACGATCCCGGCCCCCGCCGCGCTGATCGTTCCTGCCACCTCGGCCTCGTCCACCTTCACTATCCCTTCGCTGAAACAGTGATCTCACAAATGAGAATCATACATCTTGCATTTCATGCAATAACACAGGTGTATCTCCTTCAAAGTGATGAGGAATAATTTTAAAAAATTTAAATCTTACTACAGTCAGTTCAGCCTGCCTATAATAAACTCGAACATGGCGATAAAATTTCAGTTTCCCTAGAACTCCAATAAAGAGTTTCATACAACGATTAGAGTCTTTGCTTCCCCCAAATTCGCCACAAGCGAGTTGAACAGTAACGAGGAATGGGTCATTTGACAAAAAGTAAGCTTATCACTCCACGGTGACAAGTTTTCTTGAATTTCTAAAATTCCCTGATATTTCCATAAATTACCAGGATTTTTGAACAAAGAATTCTCTGATTTTTCAATGACTTCTCATTCCTCAGTTATTCCTTTCTCTTTTTTTTGTGGCAAGATTTCATATGAAAATAAGCCTCGCGCATATATTTTATAGTAAAGATTTTTTGAAAATGAAGATAATAGAACATTTCGGCCTGCAGACAAGATTTCATTTCTGCAGCGAAATTCCCTGCCTTTTCAGGGTTCGGCAAGATTTCCGGACTTTCCCAGGATATAATTAAATGACTTCAAGAACTTGTCACCCAAACTCAATCATTCGAAGCTAATTCTAGATATTGTAAACCTTGAGGGTTAGTGTTATACAGCAATGGATAAGTGGGTAAGGACATGGATGACGTCTTAAAGTCATTGTTCGAACAAGCTGTGAATTATACTAACAACAAAATTATTTTAAAAAAAACTCCCGAAACCCAGTTGTACTACAGAGTAATTAAAACAACGAACGAGAAATACAGAAAGAGAATTGGGTGAGGATAATTTAAATTAAGTCAAAAATCTAAGTAAAATTGTGCCTCATTGTAAATGACAGACCTTAATTTTTTATGAAATTAAATGTTGGCGTTGAATTCAACACAACATGAAAACAAGGGCTGAATCTTGGCCTTAATATAAAATTCCAAGAAGATAATTTACTTAATAGGATGAGGTTCGGAGCTTCCTCTTTGCTCAGTTGATAAAAACTTTCTCTTCACGACCTTCAGAGATATTTGCGGAAATTACTGCTGATCACATGTCCTACAATAGAAATATTTCACTAGACTATCTACAGGGCTTACTGGAGATGAAGTGGTGGCTATTACTTCAAGGAACAATTAAACAATTTTTAGTATGTAAGTATTATACACAATTCGCTGCGGAAATTTTTGTAGGGCTGGAAGAGATCGCCACGATGCATTTGTTGTGGTATGAATGATTGAATTTTATACTGCTGCGCACGGAGAGAGAGATGAAAGGGCAGGAGAGACATTCAGAAAAAGGAATTTATAAAGTTTGCTGACCATCCTCACCATTACGCTTTCTATCAAGTCTTCAATACGTTGGCGAGCTTCTTCGATTTGACTTGGGGTGCCTTGCAATATACATCGTCTCTCTCCGGGGCCTTCCTCGCGATTTTGCTGGAACTGAACTTTGGCACCCGTCTCTTGTTGGATCTTCTTAATCATCTCACCACCTTTGCCGATAACTACACCAACGGCTGGCTGAGGCACTAAAACCTTGGGGTGGAAACATAAATGATAATTCAATGTTTGATAGATTTCACTAGCATGGAAGTATCTCTTTAGATACTGAATTCGATGATCCAATTGCGCAAATCACAGAATCGTCATGAAGTGGTTATTTCTTCATGCTCAACAAAAAATGTCCCAATGCTAAGATTCTACGTCCAATATTTATGAAACACTCATGTTTTAAAAAGCCTAACATCCTCATGGCGTGGTTATTCCTTCATAGGCAACAAAAAATGTCCCAATACTGCGATTCTACGTCCAATATTGATGAAACACTCATGATTTAAAAAGCCTAACTGACGACAGCATCTGATCAATTATTTAAAAGTTGATTATTCAGCTGCTACTGGAAGAGTATAGAAAATGTTCAAAAATTACATCTCCACAAGAGTGATTTTACCGTAGAATGGAAGTCAAATCATCTAAACATCATCTTAACGCCTTGAAAGTTGACCTATTTACTGCTGGTCATCATTTAAAAAATTAAAAATAAGTACATACTGAGAGAAAAATGCTCAAGCCACCTGGAGTTACTTAACTACAGTATTAAATGGAATTGAAGTTTTTTCAGGCATTTACAATAATGTCAGCCCAGTGATTAAGAATGCGTGACATATTGAGAGAGTTGTTTTGCAAAATAATCTCCTGTTTAATAAACTTTTAAAAGACTTACAATACATTGGTTAACAACAGATGAGGGCTAATGCTGCAGCCTGATTCAAAAATTGAAAATCTCCCCCAAAACATCTTTCACTTCATAGATCAGAATTCTCCGACGAACAATAAAGAGTGCTGAGGATACTTCGTCTCTATTTAAGAAAGTTTTAAGAAATGGTTTTTCGTCGACTAACCTCGTTTTCGCCAGATCTGGAACCTGAACCATTTTCGAAGTTCCCGAAGCTGTTCATGAAGTCATTCCGGCCGCCACCGAACGAGTTGTCGAAACTTGAGTTCTAGAACAATTAGGGACTCATGACTCAACACTACGTGAAAGGAACGCATTAAAGGTGTCCGAAGAGATGGACATGATTGATAAGAGCATAAAATTGGCCAAAGGAAGGATTGGTCCTTAAAATAATAGTGATCTCAATGGTTCTGTTTGATATTTTACAAAAGATTCACAAGGGAGAGGTTCTGAAAATTATTACTTAATAGAAAGAAAACTATCAAGGTTACTGGCAAAAAAAAAGGGGGGGTGGATTATGAGCCCTTTCCTTGACCAGGATTGCAAGGTTTTCTTCATTCCCATTTTATTAATGATTTTAACTGGTCAAAATTCTAGATCTTTAAAAGATTCCGCCTGAAACGATCAACCATTTTCTACCTCCTGCAAGCCTAATTTAATTTTGAAAATCTATGGAGGGACTATTCCAAGGGTTTAAGATCCTAGGATGCAGTGTACTGTCAGGGATTCATAGACAGATAGGTCTGAATAACTGAAAATGAGGCACAATTTTAGCAGGTTACATTTTTAACTGCATTGCAAAGTCTATTTCATTTTAGATTTAGTAAGTTCAGACTCGCAAAATGAAGACACTTATTCCCTTTATTTAACGAAGATAATAAAATGGTGTAGAGGATCGGGAGAATCAAGCAGAGAAGAGGCTTGTGGTCTGAAAGTGCAGGATAAAATACTGATACACTCTGTAAAGGTTCTAAAGCTTTATATTTTCAGAGCGAAACATGCATTCTGCAAAAATAGTGCAGCTGCAACGGGATAGTGTAAAAATAACCTATTAATTTCTGAGAGACTTGATGAACGTTTAAGAAGAATGAATCAATCCGAACTCTCAAATAAAAGGCTGAAAGACTACCCAATAATGAGATAAAGAGAAGGGTAAGTATGGCTTCAATAAAATTAGGAGTTTCAATCTTACATTTTTGAATGTATTGACTTTTTCCTGTCTGCATGAGAATCTAGTAACGCAAGAGAATACTTCTCCAGTTGATAACCCGTAGATGGCTTTAACTCTGAACAGAGTTGAGAGTTGTACATGGAATTACTTTTTTTCAGACCCTCTAAAATGCGTGTGGTAGGATCAAGAAAGAAAGCAATAGGTTATTTTATATTAATGCCATCATTCCAAACTCTCAGCAGTTTGGACTTTGTTTGGTGCAAATGTAGGCGGTAAAAGCAAAGATCGACAGTTGGCTTACCTGCATATCCTTTTCCGCTATTAATTCATAAACTAGCTGTTTAGCGTGCTGAAAAGGGGAAACACATATTCTAAGTTAACATACTAGCAACAATAAAAAACAGGAACAGAGAGAAATCTCTGTCCGATAGCCACAAATAGCGTATCATACAAAAATTAAAACCTTAACTGCCACAGCAGGAACAGACTAAGAAGGCGATAAAATGTCACACGCCACAAAAAAGGCAAGAAATAAATGGTTTTGAGTTAATTAAGGGGTGGCACAGAATTTAGAAAATTAAATTCTTGACATTCCCTCCATTTCCTTGTCACATTTTGGTAAAATTCTCTGACAATTGAAGATATGCCCGATGGTTAGAAAGACATAAGTTTAAATAGTTTTAGGGCAAAATTTGTTGTTCGAAACGTTAAACCCATTCTAGAAAGATGACTTGACAAATTTTCCTTGACACTTCCGTCATTTTTCAAACAATTTTTGTCAGCACTCCAGTATTTCTATAGTTTGCATTGACATATCTACCGTCTTTCTCAGAAAAATTAGAATTGAAAGGGAATTTGAGGCCAGCCAATTTTATAGGACAGAAAATAACTTAAAAAGTAGTGATGTAGACAGAAAAAAAGGTTGCTCTCAGAACGTTAGAGGTGAAATAGTTTGATGAGGCTCATCAAATATCATCAGCAGAACGGATCATCCTTTGAGCGAAGCTGGTATTGAAAATTTATCAAAAAGGCATTGATTATGCTGACGGGACAAGGATCACAGATTTCTGTGAAATCATTAATCTCACAAATTTTTTCGACTTATTCAAAGTGCCAAATTAGGTATAATTCAGGCACAAATCCATTTTTTTACCGAAATATTGCAAAAAAAAACAAGAAAAAAACCAAAGAAAACTGAAATATTTTTCACAGCTGCCAAGAAAAAAACCACTTACTATGTTACTTCTTTCTTTAAAAATCTCCAAAAATATATTAAATTGTGTTCTTGTTACCAAAATTATAATAAATAAATAAAGGAAGGGGGGAGCAACAATGAATTGAAGCATTGAAGTGGTATCAAAAGCTGCTATCTCAATTCCTATGACTAAAAATTTGGCAGATGTTTCAATGATGGAAAGGAGATATCGATTGGACCTTAAGCATAAAATACTGTCATAGTTTTCTTGCTGACATACAGAAAATTCTTCAGAATTCATGTAAATAGAAACTTACCTACTCTCTTTAAAATAAATTAAGATGATTACCAAATGTTAGCACAGCGCGATAGAGGTAGCAGGTTTGATACTAGGTGCATCAATTCTCTTTTCACGACCAAGTTGAAACTCGTGATTTCTGTGCGTTTTTACAATTTTTTGTTTAAGGCTATTCAAAAATGGATCTTACCTCTACTTTTTGTGGGTCACCACTGATCCTGAGAGGTTTTTCATTTTCTTGGGAGGGTCCATCTTGAACAACAACCATTTTAGCACCAGACTTCTCTTGGAGTTGCTTAATGGTCTCACCTCCTTTGCCGATAATTAATCCTACTTTAGGTCCAGGAACCATAATTTCAACCTGCGAATGAGAGGACTACACGAATCAATGACAGTCTGCTCATGCACTTGGAAATAATGCAAGGTGGATAAAGAAAGGTGGTCGCATTTCGAGTTGAGTCGCCATTTTAAAGGCTGTGACGCACAGAGGGTACATGCTGTGCCATGCAATCAGGATGTACCCGAAACGTACCCAATGCCGTGTGACGTCAAGACGCTACGAAATGCAACCACCATTCGTTATCCGCCTTGGAAATAATGTAGAGTTAATAAGACCATGTTCTGTCCTACAGGACAGGGACAATCATGGAGAGCAAGTCAGTTGCGAAGATTACAGAATTAAACTTCCATGATAATAGCTCAGAGATAAGAGGAGAGTTCGTCCAAACGTCAATCGATGTCTAATATTAAAAGAAAAGCACACGTCTCCTTCGTATTTCCAGTTTATCATTGCATTGATGGGGAACTACCAAACTCTATGCAGTTCCAAGAAACACTGAAGACTCAGAAATCGTTTGGGTGACTAAAAATCAGCAAATTTTACTTTCAAATACGTGAAATTCTTTAAAATACAGAAATGATAAACACTTTTTCATTCTCATGTTAAGTTAAAGTTAGGCATGACAGTCACAAGTGCAATTGCTCTTGAGGTTGCATTTGGGTCCAAAACGAACAAATTTGAAAGTTAGAAACAGGCAGAAAAGGGCGCCATTTTACTAAAAGGCACAGCTTTCATTGGAGCTCTAGCAGCATAATTCCCGCTACGGCTGTTTTGTCGATATAACATTCATTTTTTAGCACTTAGGCCTTTCTCATAGGTCTCGTTTTCGTACAAATGAAAGAAGTTTTGCTGTTTCAGCTGCATCAGTAATTTCATGTAAATTGGATTAGACTAGATTGAGTTGATAGAATGTGCAAATCTACTCACTTGTGCTGAGTTCTGATTGACAGCAGGGCCTAGATTTAATTCGTCTAACCGGGCACCACCCGTGCCTTCCGTTTTACTACGACTTGAGATGATCGAGCCGATGAGTTCTTTGGCCCTCATTCGACTCTGATCGTTCCCTGTCAGCGTGCATAGTCGCTCTGGAAGACCACCACTGTCAGGAGCCATTTGGATCTTGCAACCTGATTCTGCTTGCAGACGGCTGATTTGTTCACCGCCCCGGCCTATAACTTTGGAGGAAAAACAAACCGACATCATTAAGGAGCGAGGGACAAATTTGTGTGAGGTATCACTCAACTTAGATATGCTTTGAGTAGACTTCAGAGTCAAACTGGTTTTGAAAAGGAAATGTAACTGCGCAGAGAGAGAGATTGATGTTTTTTAATCAAGCATTTTGGAACAAGAAAAAAAGAGAGGAGAAAAAAGGGTTCACTCAACAGTGAGTTATAAAATCTGGATGGTATTACTAAATCCAAGCTGAACTAATTACTGAAAACTTTCAGAGTTTGAAGGCTTTAATTATTTTACTGTCTTGAAAAGTTCTGCCTCCTCCATAAGAAATTTTTTTTTTTGGGGGGGGGGGGGGGAACACCCCCCTCAAGTCCCATGCTTCAAGGCACCACTTTGGCTAAAAAGCTGAGACATTCAAAAAGACTAGGTGAAGTATAGCCTGTCCATCACCAGACTTTCTCTTTCTTGGCTAAATTGCTTTCAGAACGTTAGAGGTGAAATATGTTGAAACATTTCATCATTTAGATCAGCAGGTGATTTCATCACACAAGCAAAAGTCCACCATAAAGCCAAGTTCCATTCACTAGAAATTGAGGGTTTTGAGGTTTGGAAAAGATTCATTGATACAAAATATCAGGATGAAAGAAAAGAACTTACTGAGGCCGACCATCTTGTCGGGAACTTTGATGTCTTCATTGGTAACAGGGCCCAAGGGCAGACCACCTAACCCTTGGATGCCCGCTGCGGCTGTTGCCGCCACTCTGGCTGCTACGGCTTGCGCCTGTGCTGCTGCGGCTGACAAGGCCGCAGGCGAACTAGCCGTTGCCGGCTTCTTGGATTCCGGTTGGTCCGGCGAGAAATACTCGTCTGTCAACAGAAATAAAAATTATCATTACCGAGAGGACGCTACTATTTTATCTTTCACATAAGGTGGATTGTGTTCATTTGAGAGAGAATAGACATGACTTACTGTAACATAACACATTACAAGCATGAGGGAATTTTTTTAAGGAAACATCTTAGCCCTCCATTGCTTAGCTGGCATCAGGGTGGATAATTACTTATTTCGAAGGAAACGAATTCAGAGCAGACCACAACAATGCACGTTGAAAACTAGGTTCCATCATCTCCTGCTTGAAAAAAAAAAAATGTTCGGCTCCTGGAACTCCAATGATGAAATCGTTACACATTTTCAAACATCCAGGTAATGAAAAATGGCAAACAAAAGACAAAATATACTTCGAAACAAGTGATGGAGGACAGTGCACAGAAAGTTAAGACAGGAGACACATTCTGGAAAAACCACCCTTCAGTTCCCCAGGATGAATTTTCAAAAACCAAAAATAATTCGCTCGAGTATATGACTTCCGAAAAATCTGTAGTAAATGAAAAAGTAACTTCACTGGATTCGGAGCAAAATACTTTGACTGTATACCGCAGTTTGCTCTAGGGGTGCAAAAAGTTCCAAGCCATCTCTCAAATCCAATTGGCCTTCACCAATTTTTGACCAAAATTCATGTTTGATTCTTCACAGGGACAAAAAAAGGGCCTCATTTCCCCAAAAATTTGGATTGGATTTTTTCACCACTTGAACACTGCAAACGTGAAAGATCAAAACACCTAACATGGTTCTCCAATGTTTTCCTATTCTTGAGAGGGTACCTTTATTTAAACACCGCAGACCTGGTCATGTGGTGTGAAAATTTCTGCACCCCTAGATTGCCATTTTAGACAAATAGTAACAGAGAAAGACTAACATCACGAGATTAGAAATCTGCTTTTCTTGAACTGACTGCTTGCTCCTGAAACTGGGCATTGTTACAGTTCTTATGTTTCTAGACCAGTCTCAACAGTCAATGACAAGGAATTAGCACCTCGGTGCAGTGAAAAGAATGACTCAAACTTGCCTTAAGGATAAAAAGGGCAGTTCTTCAAGAAAGTGTTACAAAGGTGCGATCATTTTGGCATACAAATTTGTGACGTTCCACCAAAGAAGAGATCATTGTTTGCTGAGCAAAATTCCTCAGAGAACCGATTTTTCTTAAATGAATGAACTGAAGTCCCTGGAAAACTTCTCTCAAGAAGTTGGGACTCTATAAATTTTTGTCCCGGTAAAAAGTAGACCAGTGCAAAAAATATCACAGAACTTTTAGTGTCAGAAAGTAGAACTTTAAGGATGGATTTGTGATTTCTAATCTTCGTATCGTTAAAACTTTGGCTTGAATTGATTTTGTGGCATTATGAGCTGGGATTTTTCTAAGGCTACCTCACACACTCAAGTACGAAAATCTTAACCTCGACTGTTGGAGCACAATGGTCACTTCTGTCGTGATACGCCACACGTTAAAAGTGTTTTACATGTCAAGTCACAATCCAAGAACCAGCAAGTGGGAAAAATTTGGGATAGGTCTGCGAAGCGACAGCGTTCAAACGGTCGACAAATTACCTGGGTTATCGTCAAGCGGTCTTTTCTGTCCTTGATCTCCACCAGTGCTTGCGGCAGGGTTGATCTTTGCCGCTATCTGAAAAAGAGCAACAACAAAAACAACACATTACAGAGCATGAACACATAAAATTGGCCAGAAAATTACTGTAGGGAATGAAAAAAAAAACGAGAAGTAGAATAGTAACACACAGATGATTACGAAAAATGGCTTCATTCACCTGGTAAAACGACACACATACAACCATTGTTGAATTATCTTGTAGAATATTGACGATTAATCAGAGAGATTTTGTGCTTAATTTTCCTCCCCAGAAGTATAGTAATGGAAATAAGAATAAGGACAATGAAACAGAAATGCTTTAAGAAGACAAGACACACTTTACTTATGGGTTCACATAATTTTTTTTTTTCTTGGTTCTTTATCCTTTTCTGGGCATTCCTGTTTGTAAAGCTCTCAAAAGTTCTTTACTGTGTGTTCTTTGGCCAGAGCTATTCTTTGCTTCATCTGCGAAAAAATATTTTCTCACTCTCTGATGGAGAGTTGATAACATTCAGAAGCCTGAGTCCAGAGACATATGTCAGCATTGCTAATTTACTGCTCCTACCAGATGGTGGATCTAAAAGCATGAGCTAGTGAACAGCTGGTTATCGACTTAAAGCAAACGCAAGACTGAATTATTTTTGTTCCTTTGGGGGTTATTTGATTTTGCTCAAAACAGGAGCGATGAAAACTACCTTTGTAAACTCGATGGAAGCCCGAGGACGCATACAAAATATAAAAAGTAAGACCACCTTCTCACGGAGCAAATTTTAGTAAAAGGAAGCAACCTTTTTTTTGAAAAATTTTTATGTTAAGTAAAGGAGCTGATTAAAGGGGAATTTCCGAAAATGTGATTTTTGCAACTGCTGAGATGTATCTCTGAAAAAGAGTCATCTATTCTTTTCGGTTCGGACAAAAACCCAAGCTGCCACCACCAAGGAAAACAGGTACGCTGACATAGACTGCTCAGATATGCGACAAAGAATATCAGCATAGTGGGTCTATCACTGCATCACCAATCCCATCATTTGTTAAAACAGAGCGTTAAAACGGTTGACAAGCAATGCGACACTAATACATAAACAATCAACAACCCAGTGTGTGTAATAGAGGGATCTCGTGGTTTTTCAATGGACAGGACAGGATGTCTACAGAAAAAAACTCCTGAAGATGAAAAAACCATTTCCTGGCTTAAGTATTTTTCGGACAATGGAGGAGCAATGTCTTTTGTTTTATTTGCAAAATGACTTAGAAGCTCACAGTTCTACTTCCCGAAGTTATAATTTTCGAGCAGCTTTTTTTCAAAAATTGGGTGATTCAAGATCAAGCGAGCACAGAAAATTTCTGTCACTACAATGACAGGGCCTTCATGATGTCAAAAATTGTCCGGTTTTAGAAATTTAGGGATCAATTTTTTTCATTGATCTTTTCTGGATCTCAATCCTGTAGACACCCTGAAAACAGAGCAATTCCATGGCTCCATTTAGTAAACAGATCATCTGACAGCAAAACCCTGCACCCTCGAAGCCCTGGCTGTCATCTCACCAAAATCTCGATGAGCAAAAATCAACAACACTTAGAGACAGTTCACAGCACTGACCCAAGACAAAAATACCGATTATGAAACAAGAGAAAGGAGACATTGACGGGAAAACGTTCTCACTACTTCATAAGTAACTAACAGGACAAAAATAAACTGACAACAGATGATTTTCCTTAAGTATCTCACATAAAATTCACATGGATGTCCTAGATAAACTGCAGTGCACGAAGAATGTAAACAAGGAAATGGCTTTGTACTTTTTTTTTTTTTTTTTTTTTTTTTCTCCTTCTTATTGAAGGACCTCAACGTCTGTTAGTCGCAATTCCCAATAAAAGGCAAACAGGTTCGGATACAAATCAAGCTAACCAGGACATTGGACATTCAACTTCTATGAAATTGATACGCTCAAAAACCAGAGGCAATTTGGCCTTAACAATAATGCATTGTTTGTTTGCAAATAATTTACTTTTTCATAGGAGAACAGTCACACAAATTAATGTTTAAATGTTTGTGTTTTTCTAACTAGTGTAAAGAAAAATCTCTGGAAATTTCTGGCAAATCTTTGAGATGCTTCTCCTATGAAAAAAATAAAATACTTTTAAGACACACTGAGATAGCGCGATTTTGTTAGGTTTCTTCAAGTGGGATATATGGGACGAAACGAGCTACTAAAAATAAGAGCTGAATGATAAGAATGAAAGTTGTAACTGTAAGCCCCTGGGGCATCAGACAGCATTCCCATCATTTCGGAAATCAGTTTTATTCTAATAGTGAACGCTCAACTCACTGATTTATACGGCAATTAACAACAGGGATGTTAGTATTTTTACAATACTTGTGCAAGAACGTTGAATTTTGGAGAAAAATTTGCAAAATGTTGCATTATGAAAAATGCAAAATTTTGTAAGAGCATTAATGCGAGAACGCGACGTCACAGTGCGTATACTGAATCTCTGGTTGCTTAAAACCGCAGTGGGCCAAAAGAGCTTTCAGCACTCCTGGAAAGTGAGGAGCAGATTGCTGAGAATTGGATACACGTTGGCTTGAGATGAAGTAGATTTGAATCATCAATATTAAACGATCAAAATTTAAACAGCTTGAAGACATGAAAATAAAGTTAGCCCTCGAATTGACACAAAATGACGCAGACATATATGATGAGGAAACTTAAGAAAACTACATCATATAATTTTGAAAAAAAAGAAAAAAAAATCGGCTAAGAAGGATAATGCAGGTACAGTGATTCATATTACACCGATGAAATGGTAATAGTACTGTGATGGACCACATCAATACTGCGCATGCATGGAGAAAACTCAAGATTTAAATCAATTGGATTGTTGAAGATACATATAAATGCTGAATGGAATGAAAGTCAGGTCAGTTAGATTTCCAAGAATCAATGATCAACAAAAAGAATTCAAAAAGGGAAAAATTATTACAAATAAAATTAAAGGACTGGCAATTTACATCAGACAGACATTGAGGATAGACAGCGCATGTAAAGCTCAGAGTTCAAGAATCACATGATCAACAACAAAAAAAGAAAAAGAAAAGAAAAAATTAAATTAACATCGAATGAGAAGCATTCTCTATTATGAGGCATCTAATAATTTTGATAAAAAGAAAATTGACGAAAGTAAGAAAGAAAGTCGTGAGAGATTGCAAGTTGTGAATGAAGTCGGTCGACTCCCCCAAAAATAAATCATTTCAATGCTATGCAATAGAACTAAAACGATTAAAGTGTTGATATATCTCTTCGAAACTGGGTTAAATATTTAATTGCCTGAAAACTTCACACTGAAAATGACGCCGTTTTTAAACCTGAAGACACAAGCATGAATAAGTGATGATATTGGGCACCAACAATTAAAAATCGGATCGTAAGAAACAAAGGCCATGAAACATCAAACATCAAAAACAACGGTAAAAATTGCTTAACTTCGGCTTTCATTTAAACATTTCAATTGCTCTGTACGAAAAAAGGATTAGACTGAAATATTATTGGGAGGGTTGCTAAAAAATCATTCAATAAGTAACGGATAAACATAATTGTAATATACATACATAAGAAATTAATATAATTCAACACCTTTTGAAGTTTCAGTTGATCTTTGCAAGAAGATTTACATTGGCATAGCTTTATTTTTTTCTCCCCATTCTTTCTTGCATTCATTGAAGAATATAACTTAATAACCCTGCAGCTTTTCCACGTCCTAAAATTTTTGGACATCTCACTATTTTTCAGGACACTAGCAACCCTATTAGGTATGTAGTAAATTACGGAAATACTTTCCAGAACATTCAAATTTCCTTTTGACAAGTTGCAAATAATTTCCATGCCTTGCAGAAAAAGAAGTTAGTGATCCTGAATTTTGGATTGGCTTTCATGAAAAAGAAATATTTCACCCTCTTTGGACAAGCGAAATGAACTTTTCACAAATTAAATGGTAAAGACAAATAAATGAATGCACACACAACAAGAAAATCAAGGAAACAAAGAAGAAGTAAACTAAAATTTAACACATTCAAGATTAGTCACAAAAACTGTCTTTTTAAGACTACTTGTCGAAATGATTTTCTAGTTTAGTCGACACTTGGACAGCAAGAATGTGCAAAGGAATGACAAAAGAATTACAGCAAAAGTAAAGCGATAGGTCCTTTGACCAGTCACAGAATTTTGTCTTCGCAGCTCATACTAATAGATTAGCTAAAAGCAATAACGCTGATCTACAAGCCCAATTTGTAGATAGCAATTTGATGATGTCACGTTGCAAAGAACAATATTGGTAACATCATCAAAAGCATTGCAGAATAATATGATTCTATTTATCTTGGATTCACTTCAGCAATTCCACTTCCACCTAGCATTTTAGGAAGCCACTTAGCGCCCTACTTTTACTTTAGTTGGGCAAGTGAAATTCTCTGAAAGCTGTACAGCCTTTTGATAAAATCATTATTGAACACGAAATTATGAAAAGAGCAAGGGTGAAAAAAATGACTGGTGCTTGTATTTAAGGCGCCACTAATAGTATTAAATTTTCTATAATAGAGAAAAAAATTACTTTTATTTGAAGTGCAGAAGAAAAAATAATAATAGGCAAGATCAGTGTTCTCCCTTCCCTGGGCGCCATTCGCTAAATGCGTCTTGATAAGTTTTCCAAACTTGTAGTGGGTCACTAAATCTTGTGTTTTTTATTAAATATTATGAAAGTAGCAGGTGGTAAGATTACAGGATGATGTATTGCGTATTTTTGGAGCCAAAATTCCGGGCAAGTCCCCTTTTAAAAGTCTGAGGACTCGAAGGAATTTCAAACGTGCCGGAATGGCGAGAAAATAATGAAGGTGATAATTCGGTTGGGCGCCAAGGCGGGACATCTTACATTTACGGATAAGTTAAGCTCTTTTCAAACCGCGCATTTCTCGGTTTTAGAGTTTCTTCACCGCATTTTTAATGTGCGCATCGTGATCGTGTTCTCTTAAAACTTGAGGGGGGGGGGGAGGCAGAACACTGGGCAAAACTGATCAATAAAATCCCCTTAAAACTATGCAGGCGAGAGGTTGATGTTATCCACAGAGTCAAATACTCTGCAAATGACAGTGAAGAGATGGAGTTCTTAAGAATTTGTTTTTGTTTTTAGCTAATTAATAGATGTTGACCAGCTAAACAGCATTCTATGATTGGCGTTACTGATTAACTTCATTCAAAAAGTCAATTCAATAGGGGCCATCCAAAAATTACGTACTGCCATTATCCTCTCATTTCCATTGGGTTTTAGCGTAAACAGGCCTAATTTCTTTTAAAAAAAAAATGTATTGCACTTGCTGTGACTCTTTCTCTTCCCAATTACGAAGACCAAAAAAAAAACAAAAAACTCTTCATAAGCATTGATGGTGACTCAAACAAACAGGGAAGATTTAAACTTGACAAAGGTAGAAAAATTAAATTTTTCAAAAAAAATATTTTTAAGTAAGCAAGTATAGGGAAGTCACTGTCATGAAGTCTGGGTGGTGTAGTTGAAATTAAGATAACAAATTAATTAAATGATAATTGGTGTGATGTAAAATACGAGGGGAGAAAAGAAAAAGATGAATTTAATAATTAGAGGGACTAGGAGCATATATCAACAATCTGGCTGTAAATCTTTTTATGAAACCGAGCTTCACACGTCTTCCTACATCTCAGAGTTTTACGTAACTTTTGAACAGCCCCATGATGAAGCGTCATTAATTACAATCACTATTTCACTAGATCATCAGAGACCAAAATGTCTCAAAAAGGAAACAAATTCTGAACGGTAGTAGATGCAGAGCGGTCGTGAGATTTTACTTGGTTTTCGAATGGGGGTTCTGTTCGATAGGCATAAAAATATGTTCGAAAATGAATCAACCTTTGGACTTTCTTTAAACTCAAGATTCTGATGAAAAATCTTGAATGTGTTAAACGAAATGAAAAATCCAAAATAAATAAAATTCATTTACTTTAGTTACATTTTCGAATTACTGCCAGGTAATAATATGCTCAGCCTCAAGCTTAAGGTCTCCAACTATCCTACTTGGTCAAGAGCTACTGCGAACCACCAACTAAAAAAAAGAGGGAAAAAAATAAAACAGGGACGAAAAATTCAAATAAATTTCAAAAATATTTTTCCCAGCACGAGTTTAGTTAAACTCAATTTTCATAGGGTGCCTGCTGAACCTAAAAAGGAAAAAACCACGTCTCTACCAAGCTCTCACTTTGAGGATGATCATTTTCATGAGAAATTACTTCTTTCAAAAATTAGGGAGTGGGGGAAATGTTAAAGTAATACATAATCAGGGTGTCTACAGCTCAGAGGAAAAAAATTTTCAGTCTTTTCCAGGTCTTTCTTAACCAGAGTAATTGAAATTCTCTCACTTTGTGTATCAAATATTTGCACACGTAAAATTGGAAATTATAAGTTCTAGACATTCCCAAATTTTAATACAAACGGCAGAAATATGAGAAACTTTTTCCCTAAGGTAATGACCATTCGATCAACAAAGATTGGAATTCCTCATTGATGATTGTTCTTTTATTAATCGTTCTGAGTGACTCGGACAGGATTTTTACTAAAATTTCATTTTGGATTTTCCCGATATTATAAAAAAGATTTTTTGACGCAAATAATGACACTAGTTTGATTTTACAAAACAAAATATTTGATATATTGAATCAGATGTTTCACTTTGGCGTGCGTTCGTATGCTTAAAGTTGATAAATGTTTAACGCTCTCAGAATTTTCTGGTGTCAACCAATTTTCTTGGTATTTTCCTGTTGTTACTGGCGGTAGCCACCCTATCAGAGCACTGAACCTGGGATCGGACTGAGATTCAGTTTGATTGTGCAGAGGGGGCTGTTGTTTGTTCAGATTTCTAATTGTAAGTTCAAGATTTTTTAAATTTTAGTCTTAATCATGTAATGCCCTTAATTTTCTCTAAATTCTCTGATCTGATAAATTTGCCTGACAATTCCAGGTTCTCCAGAACTGCAGACACCCTGACTATGAAATGAATTCGTTTAAATATTAGATCACTGATCTGGTGCTGATCAGCCTACATTTCTCTTATCGACACTGCTTAAAACAAAACCATGACCTGGTGAACGGGTTGAGAACATGACCTATCTCATTTGCCTGAAAATTTTCAGGGTGTTCGGGACGATTTACTACCCATACATTTATACACTGAGGCTCCATCAGATTCTATCAAAACAGGATTCTCATTAGAATATCACAAGAACACTCATGGGAATGACTGGGAGAAAAAACGAGCATTTGAAGCACTGTTGAAAGCAGTTGGGTCATAAAAAGTTGATTCTGAAACCAATAAAATTTTGAAAATTTCTCCCGCGTAAGAAGTTTACAGAGAGGGCGCTAGAACTTGACGGAAACACAGGAAGCAATAGGTGCATGTGCAAACAGGGAACTGCGCAAATTGCAATTCAGATTACAGGGTTGCCAAAGCTCTCACATTGCTCACCGCCAGTGACCAAGTACAAGTTCTCCTTTTCAGATATTATCTTAAAACACAGTTAAGTACATGACTTTATATTGAACTCCTGGTGTTTCTAATATTTTGATTCGATAAGTATAAAAATACTTCAATACTATTCCACTTGACACGACCATGTACTCGTGTCTTGAGCCTCATCGAACATTATGAACATTAGTATCTTGATAGTGCCTAATGGTACAGGAGGTTTACAATATGCAATCATAGTTAATGTCCAGGGTTGCCACAGATTTTAGGAAATTAATTTTGCTGACACATTTTTGTAAAGCCCCTGGCAATTGAAGATATGCCAGATGATTAACAAGACATAATATGAAGTAGTTTTCACACAAAATTTAATAAGTTGAAACGGCAAACCCATTTTGGCGAACAAAAAAGGTGATGAAGAAACTTCCCCTCACATTCCTAGGTTTTCCCTGACTTTTTAAAATTCCCAGTTTTCGAGGTAATTCTTGACTTACTGTGGCAACCCTGTATACATTTTTTAAAAAAAGTGAAAGGTTGTCTTGAAAAGTTTCAAAATTCACTTGGCAGGTAGTTTTTTCACTTTAAGATCCGCAAACACCCTTCAGATGGAGGGAAATTAAGAGAAATAAAAAATGGCAAATTAATACTTAAAGAGAACCTAAATTTTGTGAGTGACAAAAGCTAGAGGAAAAAATTATAAAAGACATCACAGTATATGGCTGATAAAAGATGCATAAAATGAACAGAAACCGCAGTCTCTCTAATCATTAAGGCTACAAGTAAGTAGTATTATGACTACTTTTGACTAAAACAGTAAGAGGAGAGCAAATCAGAAATTTTTGAATGAAAAAGGCTACTGATGTGGACACATAGCTACCTTAATAGAGTGCTCTAATATGCTTGACCACCCATCTCAAAACTCTGATGAGCTTTTGGTCAGCTGACGTTGTTGGATTAATAACGTTCAATAATAAAAGCTGCCTCAATTAAACTGACATAAGTCTTGACTCTAAGTAAATACAAACTGGGACCAGTTAAGAGTGAAGATGCAAAACAAACGAAGAAAAAAATCTTTTAACTTATACCATGGGTCAGGTTATGAAGCTAAACGGCCTACAGAATTTTGAATCAATGTTGAAAAACAGACGGACACAAAAAAATTCAGCATTTCAAAATTTCGACCATCATGTTAGGTAGACAGGTCGCCCTGAATGCCAAGAAATAAAATTTTTCTGACAAAACAAAAATAACATTTTGAGATTCTCAAAAAAAAAAGAAATTACTAAACCAATTGTGAAACATGAGACATGATTTGGAATAACTCAGATACTTAAACCCAAAAAAAATCCCGTGCTCAAATTAGCTACTCTGAAATCAAAAGGTTAATTCTGCATCATTGCCCATCAAGATTGCACATGAAAAGGAGGTTTCCATCAGTCTATGAATGCTACCTTCTGCCAATGCTGAGGTGTCGGAAAAATCCACTCAGTATAGCTAATGTTATATTCCAACTGGGAACGAATTCCAGTGGGCCTTTTGAAACTTCATTCTTCCGTTCAGTACCAGAATGGAAAAATTGTAGCATTACCTATTGAACTTCTAAAGGTACATTTCTCGTAAAATAATGAGAAAGCGGAAAACATAAGGGAATTATATTGATTATTCATTCGTAGAAAAATCAACTGCAAAAAGAGATGTGTCATTTATCTTTCCTAGCCAATAAGTGAGGTGCATTGAACGGACCTGTTTCTTGCACTAAGTACAGCTCGATTGAGTGATAAGTCAGGGAATTGCGTCGGTCAAATTGCAAAAAGTAAATATAGTCTCCCGGAGCAAGTTTTCAACAATGAGCTACCAGGTAAAAAAGAAAAAAACAGAATAGAAAAAAAGAAAGGCAGGCTAAAAAAGAGAGATACAATGCCATCTAGATTACTACTGGGAAGTGCTAAATAAGACAAAAATTTGCATGGGATAAGAAAAAAAAGCACAACTTAAAAACTAGGAGGTCTATAACTACTTCATTTCCAGTTTAGACAGCAAGCACTGATTATGACCGGCTTACCTGTCCACCTTATATTGTAACCCGCACACCAAGGGCAGTAAAAAATTTAAAGTTCTATGGTGTTTAAATCATGAGCGATAAACTTTTGGAAAAGAATATTTCCCTATGCAAAATGGGTCAATGAGTACTAAGTCACACTTGGACAACCAAATCATAAAATAGTAAAAAATATTTGCATACACCTTTCTCTCCTCTTTTGAAGTAAATTGTTCCACCCGAAGAGCCTTGGCTACCGAAACTCTATCAAAACATATCATACCGTGTCGTACGGATCCACCAGAATGATCAAACACATTATTTATAGACTGTCATACGGAATTTTAGTGGAAAAAAATCCAGCAGCCATGAATTGCGGTGAGCAAATACTTTTCCTTGTCCTCAGCCGCTGAGTGAAAGAAAAGTGAAAAAACTTAACGCCAACTCTTTCGTCGTCGATTAGTCAAAAAAGTGAAGATACAGGAACTGTTGTCATAGGGAATCCATTCATGAAAAACTACGCATGTCAACATTAGCAATTCTCTTCAAAGCACGAATGGGGGTATTCACCACTCTAACACAATGACTGCTAAAAATATTTGCTTATCTTCTCCACCTTTTGCTGGCAACCTATCTCAAATTACATAGTGCACGAGATTAGTTTTATAATCCTCCAATAAACGAGAGTCATTCCATACTCATATTCATAAATGGAAAATCTGCCTGATCATTTACTTAATCCGCTGAAAGCATGACCAGTGAGGAAATTTTTATCCCCAACAACTTTAAAATTAATTTTTGGAAAAAACTAACAGTTTCACTTGACTGATCTTTTGTACTACAGGAAACGATCAGGGCATCCCTGACAGTTACAACGCTCATGACTATGCAGCGTTCTTTTTTTCTTTTTCTGCGTTGAAGAAAATTCTCCATCAAGTTGCCATTGCCAAGCCTAAGTTTGAGACATGTGAGGAAAAATTTCCTCATTCCAGGTGAAAGATCTCCCTGAGGAAGGAAACACATCTGTGGATCGCATGAAACATTCAGCCGAATGATACAGATTGCTCCCTTGCTCATATTGAATTTTTCTCAGAGGGGTACACAGAAGAACAGAGCACATCGAAGCTGAACTCTTGTCAAGCACATATTTGACAGATGATACGTTCGTGTTCGATGACAGATTTAACCTGAGATCATGTCCAGTTCTACGCAGACAAGAAGTTCAAATTGACTCAAATTAGGACAGGCAGTACATATTAATGTCTGAGTTATGAATTGTGAGAGGAAGTACTTGGTGATTTCCGCAAGTTTAGTGTGAACTTAGTATGAGAAAACATGTGCTTAAAGTCTCACCCTGTGTGGTGGATCATGGACTGAACAGATACTAACGATGCATTCATGACAATGAACTTTGTTAAAAAGCTCACCAAAACTAATAAAAGATGGGTTTGCAAAAGAGAGTTGCTGCCCTATACTGTATTTTCCCTGTTAGCGACAGTTCTGCAGTTCGAAGGTTACATCTTTGATGTAAGACCGGAACAATCGGAGACCATCAGGAGCCTGAAAGTCCATCAACCATCAAAGGAACATTGATGTTTCCGTCATAAAGCTTGAGCCAACAAAAACCCTGACATACGAAAAGTAGTAGATCACTTGGCACTGAAAGAGCGCCCAAGGCCTACATTACTTATTAACTACCAATTTCACCGAAGAAGAGCGGGAATGCTGGTGGAGGATGTAGGGTAGGCTGCTTTAACAAGGAAAAAACTTATCTGATTGCTACAAAAAGCTTAGTGGAGGACCAGGAAAAGATAGATAAGAAGCCTACTGTGCCTACATCGACTACTGACTAGGAAGCCGCTAACTTCGGGTTTCAGTACTTTCAAATGAGACATTCGCCCAGAGCAATGATTAAAAAGTTGATGGGACTTATAACTAGTCACAACTTTAGATAGGGGAGCAGTTCAAAAGGAAAACTGGTATCCATTGTTCGAGAAGAACTTGAAACATAGACATGTGGTTCTTAGGCACAGCCATCCTGGGGGTGCAGGTGAAAACAAACAATCTTGATGTTAAGGGAAATACTCGATCAGTGAGAGGGTCTTTGATGCGAGATAGTTGAGAGCCGATCGAGGGAGAAATGTATCAACCTAACTACACCTTAGGCGAGGATTTTAAGTAGATTTCGATGCCGAAAGGTCGAGAAATGTTGGCGGTAAAGTAGCAAATTCCCACGACGGCACCATGGCAGGCGCTGGGGTTCAGGCACCCTGCGACTACCGGACTAAAAAAGCGGATAAGATCGGTTTTGATAAAAGTGATAATTACCTGTCTAGCACGTTGAACTGCCGCTGCGAAAGCTGAACTATTGTTAAAATTTTGAGGCGGAGTGACCGCTGAATAATCACTCATTGTGAAACATGAAGCACAGAGTAAAAATGGCCGCGGACTGAAAGGAAACGAGAATGCCGAAAACTCTGCCGTTTACGGAAAATGGTGCCGAAGCCTGCACGGTCGCTCCGTTCCCCGCGTTGAAAAGTGGACCGCGGGCTTATGGCCCGAGATGCGATGATGTGGCTACACGTGTCAATTTTGACATATTTCCGACGGATATTTTTTCCTCATGAGGAAGAGAATTCTTGTGAAATATACAACGCTTTGACATGTAATTTGAGTGAAATATCAAAATCAACGATCAAAAATATAACTATAAATCACTGGAGCATAATCAAAACACATGCATCGAATGTGAAATTGAAATGCGTTGAAAATTTTAAATGGGGAGGAGGGGGAAGCAGGCTCAGTGGGCGCAGTAGGCACGCGGGGGCAATAACCCACATAGTTGCCAGATTGTATAGGTAGAATAAATCGTCACCTTCCGTCCGAAGTATCACAAGCGCCAAGCGAGCATGCGACGTTTAAAAGTTTCCGTCGCTACTTAATTTTTTTACGGAGAAATTAATGGTTGAATCTGTTTAAGGATGTTCCTGAATCATTATCGGTAGCACAAAAAAAAAATTCAATGAAATTTTCGGACAGCTTCGTTGAAAAATATCTCTGAAAAAAATGAAATGGCGGTGGAAAATTTGTAACGTCGCATGGCGCTTGTGATACTTAGGCCGGATGGTGACGAAATCTTGAAATCTGCATGATGAACGTTTCTTGAAATTTTCGTCAAAAATTAAAAGTCGTCATCGGAGATTCAGTTCATGCGCTATATCCCCCAAATTTAATGGAATTTCATTATAAGTTTTTAAATGATTAATAATTTACACCATATTTTTTCAAATTGCAGCACTGTCGTAATAAAATAAATGTACCATTGCTTAATTAATGTTCGCATTATGCATGCAACCTGCAGCCTAGTACTCTTACTTAGATCACCACATGAGTGAACAGTATATAGTCATCTAATTGGCACGGATTATCACACAATTTTTTTTATTTTATTTTATTTTTTTTTTTTATTTTTTTTTTTTTTTTGGTCGATTTGACCCAAATTCGTATGAGACAGAAAGAAATCTTCCAGGTGGATCTACCACTCGTATTCAATTACACGATGGAACACTGCATCGTCGAACTTTTCTCTTCATACTGACTTTCTTTTTTCATTTATTTATTTTACCGTTGTGTCCTATAAACCAAAATAAACTTTTAACTCCCCAGGTTGAATGAAAACTCTATGGTGAAAAATGATAGCATTGTGTCCTGCAGCAATACCTAGTCGAATATTTTCGCGTAAAATTAACTTCTCTGACAACATTAATACTGAGCCACCTTTACTTCCTTATTTCAGCGGAAAAAAAAAAATACTGAATTTTTCGTAATGAAGAGCACATCTGTGGTACACATGTTCAAAAAGCGAGTGTCAAAGAGCTCGCATCCATGTACAATTTCAGATATATTGGAGTATTTTTTGCATTTATTTTCCTTAGTTCAAAGAAAAATACGATTACTCGCGATACGAATCAATAATATAAAGGTATCAAGAAACAGAAAATGATAATATACATTTTAAAAGGAGGAAATTGCGGTGGCAAAGTATTTTTACAACTTGCACTATATTTTTGAAGCGTCAATTTAAATTTCCCGCTGGTTGGTTATTCCAAAAGTTCCGATCCCTCGGTCCGCGTTCAATGTTTCGCCGTCAACCAATGAAAACACCTTACGCACACACGCCGACAATACGTCAACAAATCGACCCAACCTGCACGAATTTCCGAGTTTTTCTTCTCAAAACACCTCTTTTTCCATCGAATCATTCTATTTTAAGTGTTAATTGGGAATTCTCAGCAATGTTAATTTATTCTATAATCTATTCTTTGTTAGTTTTTTCGAATACTTATGCTCTAGACGTATTAAATTCCGACGTAGTCGTCAAAAATGTAGGCCGGTCTATTGATATCACAAGTCAGCTTGTGAAGGTAGTTTATCAATTTACCTTCGAAAATAAAGGTAAAAACAGTGAAAAATATGTTCTTTTTGCAGTGGAACCGCAGTTCAAGGACAAAGTTGCTTTTGTCGGAAGCCAGGTAATCCATATAAATTATTAATACTCGATTCACCATCCCTTCCAACTCACCAACTCTTATCACTGTTGTAGGTGGTTATCATCTGCAATTTCCCTCTGAAGCCTTTGACATTTGTTTTTTCCACCAACTTCAATCAAATTCTCTTCAAAAGCTGTCTCCGACTGTATAGAACTCAATATTGCCATTACTCTCTCCTCACATGATGCGTAAAGGCTTTCGTATGGACGAACAGCTTTAGTGATAACATCTTTTTTTGGCAGCTAAAAGTCAGTATGAAGTACTAGTTCTCTCCTCCGCAATTGAACTGTAGAGGTTCAGGAAATGAAGCTAGCAAATGGTGCCACCTTGGTAGGGACGGAATGGTAGATAGCCTCAAGTATAGTTTTTCTAGTAAGACTCTTAGGGCGGTAAGGCGTCACCAAGCGCTGTAACAGCGACTCTTCCGTCCTCATACGCACCTGCTGCAGGCACTATATTGCAATGGTAAAAAAATTTGATGGATTCAATGGTCGCCCAAGAAAGTGCCATAGCACCTCATCCATGCGGCTATAATCTATTGAGTTGTTCAGGTTGCCGGCCATCTGAAATTTTAAATTTTGTTACGGCTGTCTTTTTAAGTATTCCTGAAAATGTTGCTAATGTTAGCCTTCTACTTAGCTGCTCTTTCAGAACAATGTCAAATAAAAAAAATTCATTTCATACGCACGTAATAGCAGCCTCTCCGATGGAGTAGATCATTCCTGTGATGAGTTATAACATATTTTTCTTCTCTTTTTTCAGATCAAGGACTTCAAATTGAAGACAGTGGAAACTAAAATTCAAAACCATGAGGATAAGTCATTCTGGAGGATTGATTTGAAATCTCCGCTGCTACCAGATAAAACTGTATCGGTAAGTAGAAGTTTATTTATTTCACAACTTGGTACATTGCAGCAGTAAACGGCAACGGGATGAGCCCCATAGATTCTAAAATTCATACTTACATTCACAACAACTCATTGTTACACTGAAAAAATTTATTTGAAACTGAAGAAACTTAAGTGTGGTTGAAACATTTTGGAGGCTCAAACCCAATCTAAAGGTTTCCTCTCAGCCTCATGTATGGGATATTACATGAAAGTTCTTGATCTCAAGTTTTTACTGAAACCAAAAATTCCTCTGCAGCCCAAACCAGTCTTGATTTGAGCCAAAAGTCTGAATTTTTACCTGCATTTTTCTAGTTTGACGTCGAGCTTATAGCAGTGAAGGCACTTGTACCCTACCCAGCAGAAATAACTCAGCGAGAAAAGCAGCTTGTGAAGTTCAGCGGAAACGCATTTGTGTACTCTCCATACAAAGTCCTGAGCCAGACCACCACCATCGCAACAGGAACCAAGAATATCGAAAGTTTCTCAAAGTTGCAGCCTTCAAAACAGGTGGACAAAGGAGTAAGCTATGGTCCCTACGAGAATACAGAACCTTTCTCTGAGGTAATTATTTTGTACTTATTTTTTACTATGATGTCCAATGTTTTACAGTAAGTGCACACAGTAGTGACAAATCTTTCAGCCTCTTATTTTAATATCATCTCTAAAAAAGGATTTTGGTGCTCTAAAAGTTGAAATTTTGATTTTTGTAGGTAACCACAGTAGTCAAATCGGTCCTGTGAACATTTTGGTGTAAGGAGCACAAAAGTTATTCATCCAAAATAATGCTGGGTATCAATAGAAGAAATCCAAAGAAGCTCCTGATTCAGAAATATTGGTCTGTAGTGTAGGAAATAGATTGATGTCATTGAAATTTTTTATACTTTCTAAGACCCCCAGTGTTTTTAAAAAAAGTCAGGAAATCTTACGTCACTCCATAGATTTTATTTTTGGCTGTTATAAATTGGTAAAAATGTCTAAAAAATTGCTAAGCTCCGAACAATTTAAGATTTGAATTACGGATTATTTCTTTTTTTCAGGCTGGCATTACCGTTCACTATGAAAACAATTCTCCCTTCCTCATCATAACACGACTGGAAAGGACGCTTGAAATATCCCATTGGGGTAATATTGCTGTTGAAGAAGATATTGATGTATACCATCATGGCGCCCAACTAAAGGGACCATTCTCCCGCTACGAATATCAAAGAGAAGCGAACAGTGGTGTTGCTAGTGTGAAATCATTCAAGGTCAGTAAATAACCATGTTTTTTAGTAGATTTTGTTCAAAATTTTGAAGCATTCTTTGTGTGAAACTTTGGTATCCAGGGATGCAAAAAGTTCTTAGCCCTCCCGAAAATTTGGTATAGTTGCGCCTCTACATAAAACAACACGCTTAACAGCTTCCTTCCCCAACAGTAGCACGCTTGAAAGGCATCTAGCTCAAATAGCAATGCGCTTCCCTCTTTTTTCCCCATAAACAAGGGGAAAAAAATGTCTTCCCCAATTCTCTTGTGAGAGGCCACGCGATCATGATCGCGTGATCGCACCCCTGCAGGTATCTAGACCCCAACTTTAAAGTCTACCGCATGTACCTGCACAAAATAAGCACTATAAAAATGCAATTTTGAAACGTAAGTTAAACATTCAAAGCATGCTTAGAGGTCATTATTTTGTATTAGCTTACGTCTCTTCATTCAGCCTCGTCTTTTTTGCCCTTGAAGTTTGTCACCTTGATTTTCATTTTTTAGGTCCTTAAAGAAAGTCCTGCTTTCTCAAAGAAGTGTAAGAAGTACATAAAATTGTTTCTAATTATCATCTCTTATTTTTCAGACTGTTCTACCGGCATCAGCGATTTCCACCTACTACCGTGATGAAATAGGAAACATTTCAACTTCTCACCTCCGCGTCAACTCTGATTCTGTAGAATTGGAGCTACGACCAAGGTTCCCATTATTTGGCGGCTGGAAAACTCACTACATTCTTGGTTATAATGTGCCCTCTTATGAATATCTATTCAACTCAGGTAATTACCTATAATTTTGGCAATTACCTATAATGCTGAAACATTTTACAAAAATATGTTTTTAAACAGGGGAATTCTTTTTTTTACATGTTTTTTACTGCAATTTTTTATGTAACAGAAATAAATTGTAAGCTTAACTCATCAAGCACTTTTATTTGAAGTAAAAAAAAATTTCTCTTGCAAATTTTCCATGCAAATTAGTTTGTTACAAAGTTGATTTATCAGTCAGAATCTGCAAGAATAAAATTTCAAAGCTATGAAGTCAGAGACAGAAGAGAGGAAAGAATGGTTCAGAAACCGAACAGCGTAACAATCTGTAGGTAATTTTTTATAATAGTTTCATATTGTTCCAACTTTTTTTACAGTTGATTTTTTCAATTTTTTCAGGAAATAACTATGTTTTGAAAATGAGGCTTGTTGATCACGTCTTTGACAACATGATTGTTGAAGAGTTAGTAACGAAAATTATCCTCCCAGAAGGTGCCCACGACATTAAATTCTCTGTGCCGTATCCTGTCACCAGACTACCGGACTCCAAACACTACACTTACCTCGACACAAAGGGACGGCCAGTTATCTCCGTGAAGAAGAATTTTGTAGTTGAAAATCATATTCAAGATTTTGAGGTAAGCTTCAAACTTCATTTTTTCATCAGAGCAAATGATACGGAATGACTGAAGATTTCTCCGCTATTTTCAAGATCGTTAATTTTAGCCATTATTTTACCTCCATTAAAGTAACCAGTTCCCTGTTTGATTGTGTATAAAGGCAAGGCATTTCATGAGTCCAAAGAGGCAGTCTTCAGCTCTCTTTTCTATCTTTTTAAAATTGGGGGGAAAAAAACTTTTTTCTGGAGTTTCACTTTTGTTTTCTTGTATTTCAGTTAACGTACGTGTTCCCAAGGATACTAATGCTTCAAGAGCCCGTTCTTCTGGTTGTTGCATTTTACCTGCTTTTCTTGTTCGTCATCATTTACATTCGGCTGGACTTCTCCATCTCTCCGGTTAGTTACATCAAATTGACAGGTTCATCTAAGTACATAGTATCTATTTTTTTCTAAAACGGCACAGTATTTAGCCAAAAAGTACCCATCAACAGAAACAAATCAGAAAGTTACCAATCTTTTTAAAGGCCTAAATTTTTTTGACAGTGAGCTCTTGCTTACAAATTGCAAATTGGCCCGCCCAATTTACCAACCCATTTTTCCCTCAAAATTTTCACAGCGATGACTCTTTTCTTCTGTTTACGAATTTGCTTAATGTTGCGAAATGTCCCCAACTTCCTTTTTAGCATTAGCTGGCATTTTCATTTTCAATAAATCTGAACCTATCCCTTGCCATAGAGTTTCTAATCCAGTTGAATTTCATTTTTTATCTCAGGAAGAGCCCAAGAAAGATCGCACAACCTACACCGGCCTTTGCCAGAAACTTATAACTCACCAGGTCAAACGACTTGCCACTTTCACTTTGATCGACAAAGAAGTCAATTCCAACAAAAATCAGAATGCGCTTGCGGTAAGATTCAATACTTATAACTTCATTTTTTTCTCTATTAGTCAATGCTAAGCTATCTTCTGGAGTGGAAAATTTCATCATTTACATACGCTACTTCTCATAATTGGAGATAGTTAATTTTCAAGTCTCAAAACAACTCAAAAGTTTTAATAATATGTAGATCTTTTCATTTCAGAAAAAACTATAGTAAAAGTCACATAACGTTAAGTTTCAGTTGTCACAACAGACCTTAGTAGGAAGTGAGGAAGTTGAAGTCTTGAAAGGTTGAACGAATCTTCAGCGGATGTGATTAACTATTGAACTATCAAACAAATTTTGCTGGAATAATAATTTTGCTTTCTTCGTGGATATTGTTTCTTTAGGTAATTTAAATTTTAAAAAAATAATAATATTGCATTACGTTTGACAAAAGATGACTCAATTACTTTCAGAGGAAAATTTTAGTTCTAGACCTCAAAAAAACCTCTCATGAAAAAGGTAAGTTCAAGCTGAAACCATCTGAATGTATGATTTATTATTTGATTTTATCAATCAAGATTTTGGCACCTTCCGACCAAAGTATAACAAGCGCTATGCAACATTTCAACATTTCTGCCGAGATTTTATTTTCTTACTGAAGAATTGTTCAATGAAGCTGCCCGAAAATTTAATTGAATTTTCTGTGTGGTGCCGATAAAATTCAGTGAAATTTTCAAACAGATTCAATCAATAGTTTTTCCGTAAAAAAATAAAATCGCGGCGGAAATTTTGAAATGTCTTACAGCGCTTGTGATACTTTGGCCAGAAGTTGACGATTTAGTGATGTATGTTCTGATAGTTTTGGTCCATGAACTTTTTAACTTTCTACCACTGATGAAGTTTTTTGTATGATTCGTTTAATCCATGTAAATTTTAGTTGATAAGCAATGCATATGTATAATACAGTACTGTCTTTCTATAATCAGAACTTACGGGTCCAGCCGATCTCCTCATTTTAGAGAGGTTCTTGATAGTCGTTATAGAGAGAGTACTGTACATACAACATATTTTCATGGCAATGGAATTTTTTTCATCGTAGACATTTTTTTTCCTTTTTTACAGGCTGCGTTAAAACCCATAAACCAAGAATACAAATTCGAAAGTACCATCATCAATGACCTTCTAGCTAAAGTTAAAGGTGACGCCAATGAAAAAGTTACTAAGCTGGCAGAGGCACAAAAACTTGACAAGTAAGGAACGTTCTTAATCAGTTATCATCCTTGGCAGTAATATTTTATGATACCCTCTTTTGTGATTTTTTATTTGTTTCAAATCCACCTGACTGAATATTTTTTTCTCATTTACATTAATTCATTGATAATCTTTTTTATTTATAATGCTGCTCTTGTAATTGAATCTTTTGATGGTGAGAGTCACTTAATATGCGTCTTGATTGTGATGTTCTAACTTTGCGTTTCATTTTTTGAAGAAAAACCAAACAGCACCATTGTTCCAAATTTTCAAAGAAGATTTTGCGGAGGATAAAGAACAGTCATCACAAATTTAAAGAAAAGTGCTCGTTCGTTTGTATTGAAAAAATAATCTTCAAGAGGAGAAATGCCTAATTGAGGTTAATGTTTCCCAACTTTTAATTAATTTGCGATAAGAGATAAACTCTTTCTTTTGTTAAATCAGTAAGAATAAGTTTATCCTGTAGCAAATCAATGAGAGCTGATATAACTCAACAAATACAATAAACTGTCTCAGAACTTTGTAATTGTGCAAGTGTCAAATTGCTGTCACTGATATTTTATTTTTATCATCCTCTTTTTCAGAGTCTTGAAAGAGCACTACACCCAAAACATTGAGAGGTACATCTCCGGTTCAATGGGCAAATCGCAGCTTTTGGAAGAGCTTAACTCGAAGAAGAAAACAGAGCTTGTAGAAAAAATTAACAGCCTCCTCTCTTGAATCTTTTCCCACCATTGAAACCCCATGGCAAAGACTCAAGTGATGTTTAAGTTTTTTATAATTGTTAAGTAATCGACTTGGTTTTTCTATTCCCGTCAGAAACATGTGAATGAACAGAAAATAATATCCTACTTAAAGTGACTGCTGATTGATTTAAGAGCAGAAATTTTCCTATTAGTTGTTCATTCTTGAGATATATTTTATTTGGACAATGCGAGGAATTACACTGTTATGCTAAGGGAAATTGCTGTATAAACTTTCAAATGTTGCCTAATTTCCAATCAGAAAATATTTACATTTGAAGAAAGTTATGAATATTTTTTCCTGAAATTTTCAGAAACTTTAGATTGAACTAAAAACAAAATTCTCTGAAAATGTGAAAAAAAACCATCCCCAAATTTTCTCGGGAATTTGTAATTTGTCAATAGAAATTTGACAACGTCTGAAGGCTCATACCGTGTTTTTCCTCAGCAAAGCAGCATATCAGCCTTGAATTGAATATGTACATGTTAACCGACACTATCTCTTGTCAAAGAAATAACAGTGTACAGATAATACATAATTTTTTTTCCAAATAAAATATGTCTCCATGATTTTAGGAATCTCAAGATTCCATTGCTCGTCTAGGAGAGATAGTGGCAAAAGTCAGTTCCAGTATAAAACGGGAAGAAAATAATCAAAGTTGAAATTGTGATCGCATTTAATTGTAGGATTAGTGTTTTTCCACGCAAAAAAAGTCATTAGTGTTGAGATCTGTCGCATTTCTCATTTAATAACAACCACATCTGAAATGAGAAGTTTCGTAATCGTTTTGCGGACTACAGACATGGTATTTTTGGGTCTAGTACACAATTTTTTCACTAATTTTTTAACTTTTATATTTTTTAGTATATTTTCTTAAAGAGAAAATACCATCTCTCCATGTCCTATTTTCATGTTTTCTTAATTTCCTGTTTATGGTACATGATATTCGGCTTATCTTATCCTCCACTCTTTTCAGTAATTTTACTTGTGTTAAGTGTGTTCTTGCGAAATGAAAGAAAACTATCAAGGCACTCATCTGTCAACAAAATGTACACATTTCTCTGAAGCTCGCTCTAAAATGAGCTCCAACAGGGTGTCTTAAGAAGTTTGAGCTCCTTGCGCTGACCTCTGATTAGGAGGAAAACTGGTTGGATTCACTAAGAATATTGACGATTAGACTTATTCTTCAGCTCTTTGGGCTGTTCGTCACCAAGAATTTGAAAATCGAATGATCTTTTCATTAAAATCTCACATTGATGGCGAAGTGTCTATCTCTTTTGCAACTTTTGAAAATCTCCGATTAAGTTTTATTTTTTTGAAGAAACCTTATCTTAATGTTTTCTACACATTCATTTACTTCATCCATCAATATGTAGAACAAAAAAATATACAATAAGTTATTTGAACTGTGACAGCTCTGTTCATACACCAAAAGAAAAGGAAAGGAGAGTCTCAGACTTTTTAAACACCCCGTATTTGCACTGATTTTAAATTTTGGTTTCAAGTAAATGTAGTGATAGTAGTGATAACCTGCTCTGTTGTTGATTTCTCTTATCTTTAACGATACAGCTTGCTGGGTATTGTCGGTTATCACATGATCTCTTTGATTAACATCCTAACAGTTTTCTTTTGTGAATAAAGGATTTTTTTTTACTATAAAAATATCGTGCTTGTTCTCTCTTTGTCCTTCAGAGACGAAATTTCACGCCTTTTTTTTATCGTTTACCCTTTGAGGGAAGAAATTGTACCATGTATTTTTCATATCTATTTTTTCAAAGGAAATTGTGTTTAAATGGTATTCTTTTATGGTTTAGCCAAAAAAAAAAATTGTCTCCTGGTTGTTCATATAACTTTCTCCTCAAATTTAATTTATACCCATGTACATGATATATTTATTTAATGGAATATGTAAGAAATCAGATAGTCTCATAATAGAGAATTTTGTTGAGGAAAATATCCAAAAAGGAGCTTTTTCTAAGCATGTTAGTCTTCGGACGACAGTGAAGTTCCAGCGTGTCTTCAATTGTTATAATCTTAACTGAGTAAAAATTGTTAGAACAAGAAATTTGAGAGGTAAACTGCATTTTCAGATAAAATATCCAATTGAGAGCCAAAACCATCTTTCAGATAGGTTAAGTGAGTTAACAATAATTTTTATTTCAGGTACAACATAACTGATCAATTAGAAGAAATAAATGTATCGAAATCAGAGGAATAAAAGTAAATTAAACGATTAAATTTTGAAGTTAAAATTTTTACATTAGTCAAAAAAATGAACCCAGAGAAAATTCACCGATGTTTAGTTACATCTCATCCAGCGACAAGTTGTAGAAATTGATGGAAGATTATACAATTAAAAGTTTTCATGGTAAAAATTAATTTTGCCCTTAAATTTTTGTCATTTTGAAAACAAAATAAGTGCTATATGCTTGACTGAGCCGATAATTGCTCTTAAGTACAAGCTGGAAGTAGTAATTTTTCATTGCAAAATGAAGTTTGATGGACCGATCTAGTGGCTAGGTCATCGCACACGAAGACACATAACCTTGTTATATTCACATCATGGCGATAAAATTCTTTTCATAGTTCCTGGTGATCAAAATTCCCATCTTTGATAAGCCATTAATAGATTTTTGACTTGTTAATGACAAATTTTAATTAATTAGGTAACTTGATTAATTTACATATAATTTAGACATGAGGTTATGTTCCATTATTTTGGCTCAAACCATTGGCAAGAATGACGTATCCACTAAATCAGTCCATTTTCAGCATCAAAGAAATCATGTCGCACGTCACCATCCATTGGTTTAAAAGTCTAGATTATAAATAAAACACCCTCACTATTCAAAATTCCGTGTAATTTTGATTTGAAATTTTATTGGCTCGAGAGCTAATAGACTTACAAAAATAAATTAGGATTACTGTACAAATATTTACAAGAATTCAAAAATCTTAATGATACAAACAATAAACACGGACAAGATTACGGCTGGGTTTAAAAAATCATTAATAATTACAATTTGTTTTCCCTGGCCGGTCACTCAAGTTAAATATAATACATAACATTATGAAGATAAGATCACCTTTTTCTCAAGGCTACAATTGCTTTCCAGAACACAATTCTATACGGTAACATAATATACCGACATGTCAAGAGTTCTCAGCAGTTCACGAATGCACATAATTTTTTTTCACGTCTATGTTCTTTTCGTTAAAAAAAAAAAAGATTTACATTGTTTTTGGGCGATCACCCTTTAGACAAGGTAAGAATTAAGGCACTATGCAACATATTATCTCCTCAAAATTTGACATAGAAAACTATTTATACACCAGGAAATATTGAGAGCATCCCCTGAGCAAGATAAGTATTTACAATCAACATTGGTTAAATGGCAAAAATACATAGGATGTCATTTGTATAGTTGAACTTCCATTTGATGCATGCAAAAAATATTTTTTGATAACGCATTCAGGATTTTATTTCCGCACTTCCTGTTGTGTGAATTATTTTCTTCATAAGATTTTGAGGGGAAAACATATACCATTTCCTTCTAGTTTAAACCTTGTCTAGAGGTCTATTCTTCATAATTTTGAGGAATTTTGAAAAATATCAAGCAATTTCACTAGATGATTTTTTTCTGCAAAAAGCCATTAGCGGTGAAAATTTGTGCGTAAGTTGAGAACTTTGCAAATGCTGATATGTGTTTCAGGATTTGAAGCATCAATTCTGTCTTCCTGGAGACTCAATGCCACTGGAACTCTAAGCACTTAATTTGACAAAACTCAAATTCTAACGCTTTCAGGAGGAAGAAAACTCATCATGAATTGGAAGGGATTAGTCCCTTCCTTGATAGTGTAAAAAATCATTCTACGCTAGGGATTAATTTCCTTCTTTGATAGTGTAAAAAATCATTCTGCGCTAAAACTTTTGGGAAACAAACGCCCATATAATAAATTCTTTAGATTGAAATTTGTTTTCCGGTCAGAAAAGGTTTCTATCTTTACAATAAAACTTGAAAGTCTCTAACAAATTTCCATTTAGCAAAGGGTATTATCAATTTACAGACCGTTGTTTCCATGTTAAACACCGTGGACACAAACATTTTTTTAGAGATTCCAGGAAATTCCTAAACATGTGCAATGCACTGTAGAAAAAATGCATTGCCAATCCCGATTTGTTCATCAACAGGGTGTCTAGTTTTTTTCCTTATGGAAAATCCTGATTTATCCTGATTTTTGACTGCTAACTCCTGATTTCATAATTTTTCCAAATCTTGATTTTTGGCGGAGTAAAATTAGGCAAATGTAACTTCGCAAAAATAGCTCTATAAAAAAAATCCGATCGGACAGCCGACTTTACTCAAATCCTGATTTTACGGCCGATTTTTCCTCAAATCCTGATAGAATCGAGAAAATCCTGATGCTAGACACCCTGATCAAGGTGCAGTCGTAGAGGAAGCGTTGAAATTCAAGGTGATTTTTTTATAACATTTTACAGTTTTCTTCTCTTTCTTTTTAAAATGATTGCAAAATTTATTCTCAATGAGCATTCTAGGCTAGAATAAATCATAAACGGTGATAGCAGTTTAAAAAAAATTAACGAGATGGAGATGGTTCAAGAGAGACTTTAACATCAGTATCACAGGTGAAAATGGGCTTTAAGTATCGAAGGTAGATTTTAAAAGTACTATTTTTCTTTCTTTTTTCGGTAGAATATAAAGATACAGGCAAAAATCAAGTTTTTTCCAAGAATCGAGAAACATTTGCCAGAGGATGAGAAGCAGAGAAAAAGGTCTGGAGTCTCAAAAGTACAATATTAACTTTTAGGGACAAAAGTGTAGCAGCAAAAATCATTTCTTCTGTACTTTGGTCTTCATTTTTGGGTACTTAGATTTTCAAATTTGACAACAGATTGAATACCTCTGGGACAGGTGGCCATTTTCTGTGGATCTAATTATATTAATCCTCAGTTAAACTCGAAATACTACTTGAATCAAAATCAGTTTGATATAGATTAAAAGAATGCAATGATCTGTCTTCAGTTCTATGGTTCTTTTTCATAACTCTTAATGAAAATATTCTTTGAATGCCCGACACGGATCAAACTTGCCTTTAATTTTAGGATTTCTTAAGATTCAACTAATTTTACTATAGGGGAATTCTACTGCATTGAAGCATTTAACTGCATTGCTTTTATTTTATGAGAAAATCAGATCTAAAGTTAATAGCAGCAATACAGAATCGAAATTCCAAAACTTCCGCATTGAAAAGATTTCAGAAGAGGCGGTTGGTGCTTCCTTGAACATTTGTCACTCTGTCTTGAAACACAATATAAAAATGATAGGTACTTGCGTAGTTGATGCAGTTCAGCAGGCATGGTCCCAGCAGAAGAGACAGGAATTGCCGACAATAGATGTTGGCCATTTGGTGGCGAGATGAAAAATCTGCAAACAAGAAAATCACAATTTCAGGGTGTTCAGTTTTTTTGCATTTCGAGAAATCCTGTTTTTTTCCTGATTTTTGACTGCTAAATCCTGATTTCATAATTTCCAAATCCTGATTTTTTCCAGAGAGAAATTGAAATTTCTGCATGAGCATATGTGAAAGCATAAAAAAATCCGATCAGACAGCCGACTTATCTCAAATCCTGATTTCACGACTGATTTTCCCTCAAATCCTGATGAAGTCAGGATTAAATCCTGATTGATCTCAAATCCTGATAGAATTGGGAAAATCCTGATGCTAGACACCCTAAATTATAATAAATGGCGGTTTGGTAATGTCACGAACAAGACAGAACTTTCATTCTTTCAAATTACAATGAATGAATAAACAATCATTTATGTGGCAAGATCTCTTAAAATATTTAATTTCCAACAGATGACACATGTGCATGGAGCTATCATTACATACCAGCTGCTATAACAACAGGGAAAACGGAGTGCTGATTAGTGGCATCAACCTTTTTCGTCTGCTTCTACAGTTAGGTTACTTGAGCTAATTTGATCGTTTAGGTTGGAATTCCGCTGCAACCGTTTTGGGTCTCCATAAATAACGCAGACTACGTTCGGCGATGAGCTGCGGTCCCTTGTAGCTCCGCCACTATCTTGATCTTCTAAAAATCTGTCCATGTAATCCCTAAGAGACAAAAAGAAATATACATAAGATTTGGTTTAACATACATAGGATACCTATCCTGGAAGTCTATAATTGTTTCATGTACGAGCAAAGTAAATGGACCTGTTTTAACAGAAATGCACCAAGTTGCATTAAGTTTGAACTGAAAAGGTTTCAAGTTTTGTTCCTCTGTAAGATGCAATATCAAGGACTAAATTCAACAACTATTTTCACGATCAAAATATTTTTTCTTGAAAAAGAATTGGACTCCATTTTGCGATTGGGAAGTTCAAATTCTGGCTCAATTTAGAAACAACATATGTACCATTAATTTCCCAATACACATACGTGTTTCTAAAAATAAGCCAGACTTCGTAATTTCTGATTGCAAAATGAAGTACTATTAAAAAACCTGGTCCCAACTGGTTTTTTTTTTCCAGAGTGGAACTTGATGAAATTATGTTAAAGTTCTGTATGAATTAAAGCTGGCAAAATGCAGGTTAAACACGCTTGAAGGTCATTTTATTGATTATTCAATACGACTTTGTTTTGTTTATTTGGTTAAAAATTTGCCGATTTACACACATTTTTTGGCGATGAGTTCCAGGGATGCCCGAGAAACTTTTAAGAGTAAGAGATTTGAAACTTTAAGAATTAGATTACATTTTGGAATAAGGAATTACTATTTCTGACTCACAATGGAAACAATGAACATACCATTAGTTGGCTGGTTTAAGTATAGAGCAAGAAAAATACTTACGTAACTCCTGGATGTAACGCATACTTTTTCTTTTCTAATCTAGCTTTGTTGGCGAAAATGTCATGCCTCTCAGTTTTTTTCCATAGGTAATAAAACTGGACTAATTCACCGACAGATCTTGTTCTCACCTGGTAGTAGGAATAAAGAAAAAACAATGATTACTTTACAGGGTATTAAAAGTGGATTTACAGTTACAAGACTGATGGACTGTTTTTTTTAGATAAAGACTGGAGGAATTTGCAAACATTGACTTCCTTCCAACAAACCCAACATCTTTTTATCATTCTTAATGACTTTTAGTTTACATGAACAGGGTTCCAATTTTACGAACCATGTGCAAGCATCTTTCTTATTTTAGATAGCAAATTCTTTCTTGAATGGAAAGTCTTTCTAAACGATCCATTCAATATTAAATGCTTTGATATTTTTAAAAAACAGCGAGTATTTATTGCTGAAAAGTGGTAAACAGAAAAATTCAAGAACGTTTTGGGCATCTTCAAAAAGATCAATCTTTTTCAAGGCCTTGAAAAAATACAGTAAAAATCATTTGTTAACCACCTATCAAGACTAAATGGACCATGAACACTGCCGATGCAATATGACACCCTTTATTGGCTTAAAAATGAACTAAATTGATCGCAACTTGTTCAGGAAATATGAGTGAGTTTACCACCGAAATCTAAAAATTTAATTTTTTTGCCTGACTCGATAATCGACAAATAGCGCTTTCCTGATAATTTTGCCTCCTGGAACTAAGTTCTTCTTTCCTGCTGATAGTCATGATTGCTAAATATATACGAGACTTACTTTATTTTGTTGAATTTGGTGGAAATCTTTGCCATATAATCTGAGACCATTTTCAAAATTTTTACACTCTTCTTCTGACCAAAGACTCATTGAGTCTGTGGGTTGAACAGCATTTAGTCTCCTTCTACGGAGGGCTTCTTCCGTGTTGTAGCCACATTGTAAAAGAAGATATAATGCCTGAAAGTAACATAATACCGAATAGAATAACGTGTAGTTTATGCCCCGGGAAAAGGAACAGGACAGAAAAAGTTTAAAAAATGTTCTTTAAATACGAACCAGCAGCTTGTAAATTAATTTTAAAAAATTTTAGTATGATTGAGGTTCAAACTTAACAGCCTATAAAACGTTATGATGGTAGAACAGGAACTTCTAGGGATATTACAAAACTATTTCGAATAATCTAAACTCGCTTTTTTCCTTGTCAGTTACTTATCTGTAGTAAAAATGTAACAAACATCTATGTTTCAAGATTTTTATTTTGATGATCGGTGAATCAATCGATAGTAATTCACTGGTTGCCATTTACTAACTCCGATACTTTAGAGCAATCATTTCGATGGTAAATGTAAAAATAAACAGCTCCATTGCAACATTCAAAAATCTCCAATTATGTTTAATTTTTGACAGGGAAAACTTATTTTGTTTCCTTGCAATTTGGTAGAGTTTATTTAGAGCAAGGGATGGAAATTCGTGGAAAATTTTAATAGAAACAGTGGGTTGGTTTTTAAAACAAAGAAAAATAACTGATGAGCAATTACAATGTCCCAATTTGAGATCCAAATTTTTCGACATCAGCCATATTTTTTTTTTTTTTTTTTTTTTTTTTTTTTTTTTTTTTTTTTTTTTTTTTTTTTTTTTTTTTTTTTTTTTTTTTTTTTTTAATTTCTTATTGTTGGACCTGTGATGAGGCTTTGACCTTACTAGTAGATTAGGTTCACCAGTGGATCAATGACTTTGTAGCGAAGAATTAATCGCTAAGAACGGCTTGATCAGCTTTTCTCTTACATTAATGGTGCCAAATTTACTTGAAGTAGCTCTACCGGTCATGGTATCAGCACCACCTATTCAGTTTCAAATAAACCTTGGTCTTGATAAGTGTTGTTGATTTTTTTTCAATTTTCGAAAGAAATCGATTTTTGGCACAAAATAATTGATTCAATTAAATCAATTTTCAGCACGCAATTTTGCTGCTGAATGGTTGTTTTACTCACAAATCGAAATCTTCGATTTTTTATAAGCAAAAATTTTACTCCTGAATGAAAAAACGAAGCAAAAGCCTATATTATTTTCTAAAAATAAGGGGAGCCATCGGAATTGCGCCAATTCAAGGGACAATGAAACTCAACACTCAATGATGTGAAAATTTAAGAAAAACGATTGGCATAATACTTTTCCTGATGATCAATTTTTTTTTTCCAGAGCGATTTTCTTGAAAATCGATTTTTTAGGCTTGATTTTCCTGCGAATCGTTATCTTCGATTTAATCAATTTTTGGGGAAAAATTAACAACACTAGCTTTGATTGATACTGGTCATGCTTTTTTGAATTTACCTGCTCATCATCTTTGATGTGCGAGCCAACAGGTATCATAGCGATGCCTTGAGCACTAGAGATTAGGGGCTCTAACGCTTTTGTAAGGTATTCCTCCAGCTCTTTGTTGCTAAGCTGCTGTGGATCCCACAGCAATTTGTCCTCGTTTTCGTATGGTAACGCATCATCGTATTTACACAGACCTTCAGGAACATCCGCCTGATAAGTCCTACCAATCATAATCGTCTGCAAAAATGTCAATAATTAAGGGTTAGACTAGATCTATAGACTTCTGGTAAATTTCTTCACTGTTCTCAACCCTCTATGGCAAGAATTAATTTTGGATCTCAGATTCTCGGGGATGCTAACCTATTTAGTAGCTTGCATAAAAATCATAGGACACCAAATATTTCTTAAAATTTTAAATATTCGGGGATCAGATATTCAAAAAAAAAGAAAAAACCATGAAAATTTGCAAAATTATTCCACAGAGAAAAGATTCAATTTTTAAAAAAAACCCCAAAAACATTGTTACGAATTCATAACGCTGTGCCATAGAGGGTTAAGTTCCCACGTTCAAAACGTCAAAAATTTTCTTATTCTTTTTATCAACAACTCACTGAATTGCATGAAACAAAACAGGGTTGCCACAGATTTAAGAAAATGAAATTCTCTGACATTTCAGTATGGCGTTCACATTTTTAAGGCATGAACTTGAAACAGAAAAAATTTTGAATATATCTGTGACAGGGTGTCTACTAAAACAGTCTGGGAAAAAATTAGTACTTTTACAGTACTTGTCCAGGACGTTCTCAAGAAATTGAGTACTTCCTTAACATGAAAAATTCAGTACTTTTTCAGTACCTCCCATTGGCGAAATTCGAAAAATTTAAAAAATTTGAATTTTTCACTCAAATTGCAACAAAAGTGACAAAAATTCTAGACCTTGCAGAATTTCTGCAATTTTCTAGTGCTTCCAGGCTGTCCTTAAAAAATCAGTACTATTTCTGGAGTTGTAGACACCCTGGTGATCGAACAGATATAGTCAGCATCAGTTTAATAAAATAACTAGATTTTCCTCCTTTTCCCTGATAATGGCTAGAAATGTCATTGCTGAGAAGTCAAGAGACATTCAGTTTTAAATGAAACAGCTTCAAAAATGGGATCTTCATGCAAATTAAAATGTAAGTCACTAAAATAAAAATTGCTAAATTCTCATTCACCTTCTTCCATTCTTCCTCATCTGGACTGTAATCGTAATCTTCCTCTTCTTCCTCACTTTGAGGACGCGACACTGAAAGAAAGACAAATTCATGAGAAAATTAAACACTAAACACAATCCCCAAAGATTGGGATCAGGGGCTTCTACGAATCAACAAAAGCAGGCTAGATGGAAGAATGCAAATGCCATTAAAGCAATAGGTGGCACCCATTCATTTTAATTCACTTTCTTACAGTGCTAAGTGAGTTGAGCTCCCGGTAATTTTTCCGGACTTTTGGTTACTCAAGAAGAACTGCAAAAATCGATTTTGAAGTTGCCACATTCTAGGTTCATTTGAAATGATATTTTTGGTGGTCTGTTATGACATAGGCACGCAGGCAAGGGAGTCTGCATTTACTGATTGGCTGAAGCTTACCCAAAAACATAGCGTACTTACATCATCACATTTATCGACTTGTGGTTCGTCAAATTTTAATCAGCTTTTTCTCTAGTTGGAAGTGCTTTCCAAAACTTTTTAATGGAGTTCACAGTTTTCATGAAATTTTACGTTGGGAACAACTATCGGATACCCTGCAGAAATGTTATGCGACTGACCCATTGATCTAATTGGAAAATTAATCGACAGTCAGTTTTGCAATAACTGAATCTTCGGTAATAACTAAAAAAAAGTTTGGAACTGTGATGGCACAATTTTTGGCTTCACTTGAACATGGACGAATGCATTATTCAACATATCACAACACAAAGACATTAGCACATGCCTCTTTGCCATTTCCTTTTGTCTTTAAATCTGAATTTAAAGAAAAAAAAAATCATTCCTACTTAATTGTTTGATTGATGTTCTATCCGTAATTCATCTGAGAGGACTACTCACGCCTTAGAGATCGCCCTGAAGCATTACTATCGGGTATATCCTCATAAAGTTTTGCCAATTCTGATGGCTTCTCTTCTTCTTCATCACTCTCCTCTTCTTGTTTTGTGGCTTCTTCAGCCGATGAAGCTTTGCTCGCCATGTCGTTTTCGGCTTCTTTTTCTTGCGGCTCTTCTTTAGTTGAAGTTACTTCGGATTTCGAGTCAGTAGATCCTTCCTCGTCTTTATAGCCATACATTGCCAAGAGTTCTTCCAGGGGCATATCACCCTCCTAAAAATACAAATTTTCCGGTGAAAAATGAGGAAGCAGTGGCGAGTTCAATAAAAGATGATGAGCGGAGAAACTTCCTGACCGCACAAACGTTTTCAGAAAAAAAAATACACAAATTAAAAATAATGTATTTTCTTCAGAAAATACACTAAAAATTTAGGAGGAGAACAGCTTCTTAAAATGAGAGAACAAGGTGTCTCCTTCTTTTTCATTTTGGGAAATCCTGATTTTTAACTGTTAAGTATATTCTGATTTCATAATTTTTCCAAATCCTGATTTTTAGCGGAGAAAAATCAACGGACAAATAACAGATAATTAACTGAAAATAAGCAGATGGCCGATTTTTAACAAATCTTGATTGACCTCAAATTCTGATAGAATTGGAAAAGTAGAGAAAATCCTAATGCTAGACACCCTGGAGGACTACAAACATTATAAAATTCTAAAAAGGTCCATTCATGGGTAGACAGATTTTGATAATCATTTGTAAGTTATGTCCAGCACTGTGAGAGAAGACGGATACGGGTCTGCGTCTAAGGCAGATCCAGCAATTTGGCAACGCCGGATTTTTGCCATTTAAACGTATGTTAAATAATCGATTCTTGTCGGAACGCCTGGCTCCTTCAAGAATCGATAAATTTCCGTAGATTTAAATGGAGAGAAGCAATGATGCCAATTCGCTGGATCCGCCAATGGTCTGCGTGACAGGTATCGGACAGGACTGGTTTCGTACTGCAAGGCACCTTGCAAAATTTGGTGGAAAGCACCTGTTTTTTGGAAACTTTTTCACAATGCCTTGATTCAGCCTCCGAGGCTATTGCAAACACAAATCTCTTCATAAAACGCCCTAAAATAAAGAAAATACATTGCTTAAATACCTTCTGGAGATCAGAGAGTTCTGTTTGATGGTCCTCTTGGCTTTCTAGGGCTTCTTCTTCATCTAGTGTTCTCTCATCATCAAAGTCGTTCACCATCATCTCCACTGGAGGAGTGAATTCGACATCTTCTTTTAGTTTGATTCGTTTTGCTGGAGAGAAAATGGAACATTGTTTGAGATTGTTCAAATTAAGTTGATTTATGGGAAAAAAACTTGGTAAGGTTTTTCCATGAAAAAAATTGAAATAAATTGATGACTGGAGGCAAAATTGCATCGCTCAGATTGTGATGTTGCAAGTATCTGCTTGTATTTTATTTTTTAATGAAAGCTAACCAAACGTTTCTACTTCAGTTATTTGTAAATTTCTTTCTCTCATACTAAAAAAGTCCAAAGAAGTCACAGAGAAATAAATTTGGCTGTAAAATTACTTTGGTATTGCCCTGTTAGCCATGAAGAGGAAACGGTAAAATGCAAAATTAGTTATGGATACTGTGCAGCATTTTTTTTTTTTTGGAAGGGATGAGGGGGGCAGCAAACTGCGCCTAAATAATTTTTATCAGTAATGAATTATGATTCGGTTAATTTTAAATCTTGCTTCTGGAGACTGCTTCTTGCTGACTTCTATCACAAATGACTGTTAAAAGGGAGAAAATTTCTTACTCACCGGGGATGCTTTCCGATTCCATGATTCCAAACTGAAATTAAACAGAACATCATTATTATTTATCATTCCTGATTGAAAAATGTAAACAAACTGTGAGACTATCAGAACTTATGGCAGTATTCTATTGGCTTTAGGATGAAACTTCAAACTAGAAATAAAATACCGCAATATGAATTTAATAAAACTTGAAGTGAATGACCCAATTAGGTACTTCAAAAAGTAATCAACCAATGATGAGAGGAATTTGGCGGCAAGAGACAATTGCCAAACAAATGTAAGGATAAATTAAATGCGTTTAATTTCTACAAGGTGTAAGCAATATAATCATAACAGTTTTTCTAAAATTATTAGTGGATTTGAAAAATTTTAGTTCACATTAAGTATTAAAAGTCTTAAATTTATAGGAGCTTTGTTCCAAATTTAATAGTATAATAGAAATGAATAATGCATGTCATGCATTCAAGAGCGCTTGAACATGCAAGAAAACTTCTGTCTTTTAATTTTGAGTTTTATTAGTCAGTAATAGTGTAAAAAATTAGAACATAACAGTAAATAAAAAAATTTGAACTCACTTGTTTTCATGGTATTAGGAAAAAGTATCATATAGAATTCTTCCAGGATTCTTTCATTCCATTCCGAGATCAAGAGCTGACTGCAGCCTAGAAAATAAACATAATTACGTAAAGATAAAGTCATGGTAAAAGAGTCTGTTTTAGGGTAAATTACTGCCAGAGGCAGAGGTAATAAGACTAACTTTCAATTTCAGCAGACTGGCCTTACTTGCTTTCTTCATTTTTCTCACCTTCAACATAAAGAAAGCAATCCCAACCTTGCTCTTATCTCAGTATTTAATCAATTTCTTCATTCGCATTAATTTTTCAATGAAATAATTCTCACTATTAGTGAATGTAGCTTAGCTCGTCAAGGCTATAACGCAAACTTTGTCTTCGGAAAGTGCACACGATTACCACAAGAGAAACACTTTCCTATATTGTACTGTTACACTATCAACATCAAGAGAACAGCACATTAAACGAGAGGTGAAGAGTCTGGCGACTACAGCCATGGTGTGACGGGCTTGGATTTCTGTCGCAACATGTTTAAGTAAGTTGTTTATCTTTGATGCAAACGTCGATTCCCGCATCTCTGCAATAGAGCAGGACTGTTAGCGTGCTCAACTGGCATTGCCTAGCAGGTATACCATTAAAAATTCAGAGTAGGATAAGAGCAGGGTCCTTTGAAAAATAGCAATGAAATCCAACTCCTTGATGTCAAAATCAACAAATAGTATCATGCTGAAACACTCTAAATACTATCTTACTTGGAACCCTGTGTACATGAACACTCAGAAGTAATGAATCATCTATCAAAAGGAATGCATGCGAAAGAAAAGAAAAACGTAGTGCTTAGAAATGGTAAGAATTTCTGTTGAATTCACTATCAAATTGAATTTTGTTTATTCAGGGAATGGCTGGATCGTTAGAATTGGCGGGTCGAAAACACGGGCATCTTCAAAACAACGTCGAGCTAACACAATGAAAAAACACGCAATTACACTCTTGCGCAACACTGATGTTTTAGCATCAAAGCATGAACTTACTTTTTCAATACTGATTAAAACGAAAGAAATTAATTAGATCACCAATTATTCAAATCTGATAAATCTAAAATTTCATCGGCGTCTCCGAGATTAGAAATTTAGCACAAATATGACGCCATTTTGAAATATAAATTTCCTGAATTTATTGACAACGTTGCCATCTTTTTAGCCTCGCCGAATTGCACCAGTCACCAAATATTTTGAAAAATTCCATTGTAAACAAAAAAGCGTTCCTGAATTCCTGAATTTCCTGACAGTGTTCAATAGTTCAATAATCATATCAAAGCTCTCATACTTCAATTTAATGTACCTTTAATCTTGATGAATCGCACTTATTTAATTTTTCTTCAGTAGTAGTGAAAATGAGCTATTCGAATTTTTACAGTAATTTCAAAGGTGGCAACAGTAAAACAAGCGGAGGCAGCCTCTTCGTGAAGGATGAAAAACCAAATGTTAATTATCGGAGGAAGTACATGAGAATGAAAAGGCTCGTCAAAGCGTATCTCTTTGTAAGCATTCAAACCTTACTTCATAATTTGCTAAATTTCCAAATCAAGGAACACATTTCAAACATATGGCTGTACTCATAGTTTCGAATGTATTCCACTTCTATCACAACACCTTTGAATTTTTTTGGAGGAGATAAGAATTTGTTTGAAGCTGAGGTTTCGTAAAAATGCAATTTCCGTCATGAATTTGGCACATATTGTGACCTGTCCTCACCACCATTGGATCGTCGGAATCAATGACGATGATGGGTTGACAGTATTCCATGACAATTGAATTGCTGGGTGAAGAAAGAGCACTTCTTGGTTGCTGTACTTCAAAATATCCTTTAACCTTTCATGTAGTATGATCAAAGCAAATGTGTGTAATTTGCAACTTATACTGAATACTCTACAGTCGTCTTTTTTATGCTGTCGGTCGTTTACCGATGGCATTGCTGTGATTGCGACTGATGGTCACGCCCATTTTTCTTTATCCAATCACAGACAACTTCACTTTGTCATGACAATAGAAGACAAGAATTGCTGGCAATCACTTGATCGACATACTCCGGACTCAGATGACGAGTGATCGCGGCCGATGGCGTCAAAGCGCCACGTGACTGATGGTCTAGCTCAGTTTGACAAACTAAACTCCACCCATTTCTGATGGCATCAACGAAACAAAACACGAATGATTGCGCAGTGACGGCGACTGACAGCATAAAAAAAGACGTCTTATATTATTTTACATTGCTGAGAACATAAAATTTCAGAAAATTCATCCATTAGTTTTCTTTCTAAAATATAAATCAGCATCGGACATTTTGAAACACTGCAATTGAGAAATGCCCTTTCTGCATCCAACGCCTCAATTCCTGTTGTCAACTGATAGTCCTGCTCAATGAATTAAATTAGACTCAGAGGAATGGTTTTCATAAAGGTGATTTTTTTTTTTTTTTTTTTTTTTTTTTTTTTTTTTTTCTACTTCAAATAGCCCACAAGGGCTAATCCCACGCTTTAAGTCCCCTCCCCCCTCCGTCCCTACTGAACCAGCCCCAGGCAACCATTGTTTGAGACCATCAAACTCGGGTCGCCTGGCCGGGAATCGAACCCGGGACCTCCCGATTATAGAGCAAGCGCTACAACCACTACACCATAGGAGGCCGTGATGCTGTTTGAAGTGGGGTTCACTGCAGGTAAGTAGGTGCGTTTGTGATAGAAACCAAAGATTATTTTGGTGAATCACCCTCGGAGATACCGGCTGTCCTACTGAGCCCTTACCACTGTCACATGACTTTGTTTACATCCTAATTGCTCGAAGCTCCATTCACTGGCTGAAAAGGTGCGGAGCCATCGTAATGAGCATTGAACTGCCATGACAGTCACGGGGTAAAGAGCATTGTTTCACCAGAGGTTCTAGAAAGATCTTCAAACTAGTAACGATCTCACGGGGTATTTTCTGTTGAGGCCCACTGTCTATTACGAATGCACCTAAATACGCTTCATTGATTTAGAGGATGCGATTCCTTTTTAGACGTCAGAATGTTAGCTTTTGCACCAGAAAGTTGGCAGTCGTTTACTTTCTGTTTGTAAGTGACTGCATTGCTGTAGTAAAATAATATGGAGGATTGACCGACACTGTTGGGGCAACACTGCTGTAGTGTGCAGACTCGTAAATCGGTCTATTACTCTTGGCAATTGAAAGTAAACAAGTATCAACTTATCTGATACGAGTTCTAGACTCATATGAATCTATCTTACCGACTACGGACTGCAAGCATCCTCCACTCATCTTCAGTACATTCTGAAATCTCTAGTGGCCCACATACTTTTTTGGATGAAGTATCAAAAACTTCCTAGAAGTTGACAAAACACCTATTGTTTGCTCTTCCTAACCTCAGTATCCAGATTTGCAAGTGTTAGACTCTAGATCAAGTCACTGAATTCATATCTTTCTATTTTAGGATTTAGTATGAATAATGAAATATATTTTGTCCGAGAACACTTAGATCTACCTTTTTTCAGTATGATTCATTCTTTTCTCAGCTCTTACGCCAAACAAATCCTCTTGTTTTTCAGGAGAATGCTGCTCTCTGTGATCATGTAGCTCAAACTCAAGAAAAGATTTTAGTTGCCAAAGAGGAACGGAATTTTCTGCTTAAAAAATTGGAGCAGCATCAGACACTCAGAGGTAACCATCACTCCTCAGACCTTTTCGTTAATCTTGAGACATTAGCCTTTTCAATTTTTGTTATCTGTTCCTGGAGGAGCTCGTCACATAGCTATCAGTTATATCAAATTCAAAACCAAGATATTAGAATTAGTCTTGTCTAGTCTTATTCAATTTTGGGTGAATTTTAGGCTGAGTGTTGTTATTGACAGGAGCATCGATGGTGAGGTAGAATCAAGCATTATTTGAGAAGAATTGCAGCTCAGGAAGAAGTTAGGCCTCTTCGCAGATTCTATCCAATCAATGATGAAACTGCAGAAACGCAAATTTCGGTTTGCTACGCTGCAGACCTCCTGTCATAATTTATTTCTTTAAGTGGTAAAATACTCTGCATCATATCTTGATAATTATTTTAATTTTTCTTCTCTTCATGAAGAACATTCTATGAAAATTTCAATCAATAGTGCAGGTTTTTTCTTGTTTGATTCATTATGTAAAACCAGAGCAGAGATTTTACTGCTTACACTTTCAAGTTTTTTTTCTACCTATGACCGCATAGATTTTTTGGTCCATGTTTACCTGGTTATCTGTCTTTTTTAGAATGTCCATCCCAATTGTAAAGCAATATTTTGTTTTTTCAGCCAATCTTGAAAATCGATTTGGGAACTTAAGAACTGCCAGCCCACTATCAGATCGAAGTGGTGTAGCCCCTAAACGACCAGGCACCAAGAAAAGAACTAATTCGGATGCTATTGGTATGTACTTTCTTGTGTAAATCTATTGGGATAGTTGGTGATCCTTATAATATTTACTCTACAATAAATAAACTATTCTTATATTCCAAAGAGAAAACTCTTGAGAAACCTTTTTAAATTGGTTGATTAGGAAATTCTCTTTGTTTTTGTGTCCCTAAAAATGCCACCTCATACTTCTAAAAGTTTTTTATCACTTTATTTCAGCAAATTTTGACAACAATTTTTTGTAAATTTTTTATGTTGCGTTTTTTGCTGTTCATTTTGTGTTCAGCATCAATATGAGTGATTTCAAGAGTTTAATAAAACTTTGCTACCAATTATTTTTCTTAAATCTCTCCTCTAATGCAAATTATACTTGAAAAAGAAGAAAAAAAGTTTCCTAACTTGTACCTTTAAACAATTTTTACACGCTTTTAAAGTCCAAAATCAACAGTCAATGCTACCTGAGAAGGAAAGAGCACCCCGTGTTCGACGGTGGTTAAAGTCTTGGTTGCAGGTTAATTTATTATGGTGTTGGTTGTGATTGGCTTTTGAACAGCAGGTTACACTGTCAAATTCAAAATATCGATGCCCAAAGCGCGAAGTCACGTATATTTATTATGATGTTTCAAAATTTCTGCTCCAAAAAAGAGAAACAAGTCAACTGTATTGCTTGAAATTTATACAAAATATTCTGCTTACAGAGAAGAAAAATCAAGGAAGTTATCATGAAATTACAATGACTAGCTCTCCAAAGAAAAAATAAAGTATGACAGGGGAAGTCTGCAGTGTTGCAAACGGAGATACGTGGTTTTGCACTATTGCCATTGATAAATAGTCTTAAAACTTTCAAGTTTAGTCCAAACGAAGATTAATTATTCCACTCCTGCAAGGATTTTTTTTCTCCAGTATAAAAATTCCTTATGTTTTTTCCTATAGACAATGGTAAGATGGGTCCTGGAAAACCTAAGCGAATGTTGATGGCCGTGAAAAAGTGCAAACTTCCTCAGCAAATTGCGCTTGACTCAGCAGGAAGACCAATATTCCCTATCGCACTTGGTAACCTAACTGTTTACAGTTTAGGAGAGGTAATTATCAATGAGTTATTTCACTTCTATGTCATTTTTAGTTGGAACTTTCTTAAGCTTTCCTGGTGTGCCAAAGAAGAAACAGAAGAAACTAGAGTTTAAAGGAATTCTCCTTAGGAAGGCTTTAGGAGCAGTGTATTTTTTCTGAAATATGTTTTCCGCAAAATGCGAGTATTAAATTAATCTGATATGATTGGATTTGTGAAAAGTGATTTGTGTTGGATTTGTGACCTTATCTTCCCGGAGACGATTTTCCCAAATTTTTTGCAAGAACGCAAAAACTGCGTTTTTCTGCAACTTAAAAATTCTTGGCTCTGAATGTCAAACTTGCGCTATACTTCCAGATTTTCTTCCTCCGTGCATGTTCAAAGAGTGAGGGAAATTTTTTTCTTAAAAGATACGGTCCCCTTTTTACAGATCCTGTCACAAATACAATACAATACAAAACAAAGAACAACACACTCAACACTCAATGAAAATATTTCACAATAGTACTTTAGTAACCAGGCCTGAGAACCAGATAAACCAATATCAACCGAGTAACGATGCATAAGTGTCCTTGTAGAACCAACATATCAGATTTTATTAATGCGCTGGTTCAATAATTTTTATTGTTACATTTTTGAAAAGTAGAGTCTGTACTTAGTTGCTAAGAATTTTCCTGTATTTTTTTTTAACGATATTAATGCCTCCAAAAACAAGTTCATGATGGTTTTATATTTTTCGCTTCCATTTAAACTCTTATCGCTGAGAAATTCAAGATTGGATCCAAAAACATCTCTCGCAATGAGGCAGCAATCCCAATTGCATGTTACTTCTGCTATGATCCTTGGTCCTTGCAGCAGTTATGAATGTACAATTGCTTTGAACATGAATCGCAACGAGGCAAAAAGCAGTCAAGATTGCGGTCGCATTGCGGAGGATACTTCCAGAAGCTATCTTTGCTTTTATATTGTTAAAAAATTCAGGGAAATTCCTGTTAACCAAGTGCACTCTCCATTTTTCAAATAAGCAACAATTAAAAATTACAAGATGAGCTCATTTGCTAAAAAAGATGCTGCTCAAGTCAGTTTTTAGGACAATACTAGTTATTGATGGCAATTCACTCTTTGTCTGAAAGTGAATCAGTGGTTATAAATTGATGTGTATTTATGCAAGCCGTAATTTCAATTTGCTTTAATTTACTCTGTTTACATTTAATACTAAACAATGGTGTGGTAAACCCTATAAAGGCCATCGTGATGTAGCAAGTTAAATATTCAGTCCAAATACATAGTTTTATATCTGCTCATTTATTCAATTTTTAACACTGCTTTAATATCTGTAGGTAATTTACACAAAACCGACATTCCACTCAGAAGAAACTGTGTATCCAGTCGGATTTGTCTCAACACGAGAATATACCAGCATCTTCAGTTCTGAGGCGACTTGCACTTATACCTGTAAAGTCTCTGATGGCGGAATGTTTCCAAGGTATTGAAGATTTAAAGTTTTTAAGTTTTTTCCGATCTTTCAATCAAATAAGTGCGGAGAACTGCACTAGAGAAAGTATAAAACTACATAATGAAGTACATTTTTGCATGCAAATGGACCACTAGACAAGGTTCGAATTTAAGCATTCTGATACATGTTTCTTAACTAGAATTACACGTAAAACACGATTTTTGCATCAAAAATTACTGAAATCAATTTCTAACTAAGATATTAATGTTTTTATTTTACATTGGTTACGGTACATTTGAATCGCCTAGTCATGAGAAACACTATACTATACGTGAGTCAAATCGCACACTACAACGGTTTTGGCAGGCTTCTCAATCAAACATTGTTCATTTCCCACCCTTTATTGGTCAAAATGTAATCAATTTGCCACAGCTGAGCCAAAGTGTCAAGATTGAGATTTCCATATTTTCGTATCGCAGAGACTGCCACAGTAACGTTTAGTTTACGATCTAACTCAAGTAGACCGTTGAGTTTTCATCAGCAGGAGGTTTGAATTCACGCGTCAAGAATCATTAAATATCTCGGTTAGGAGTCATTTTCAGTAATTTTCGCTGTGCAAATCGTGTCCTACGTTAAATTTTGGTTGAGAAACATGTATCAAGATACTCAACTTTGTATCTTGTCTAGTGGTCCATTATCAATATTGTGGAAACGTTTTCCACACTCGCACTCTGGCACCCTCAGCATGACTTGATCTTTTTAATATTCCATTTATACTTAAGAGTTATTACCCTCATTCAACATACAAGAAACTCAGCTTTTGGTCAGGTTATACATATACTTTTTTTTGTGTATATCTTCCAACCATTTTTATATGATTTTGGCACACCAAATTGGTATGTTACATTTTGTGTCGCTTTCATTTCTTTTGTCTGAAGTAATTTTTCAAGGTGCAAAGTTTTTACATGGCATATCCAGTCCTTCTAACATAGAATCAATTCTTTCCAGGTTCGAAATATCATCAGAAACAGACTTAGACATACCAATCGTTGGCCAGTCACCTGACGAGTGTCATTCAAAACTCCTGGCCCTCCTAAGACAAAACCTAGGAATACATTTAGTTAATCTTCTACCTAGAGGGGCAGATTTTTTCGGATTTTCTCACCCGTGTATCCTCAACCTTCTACAAAGCTTCCCAAACACACGCAAGTGCAGTAGATATATTTTCACTAAATTTGAGGTAAGTCCAAGTTTGAATTCCATGTTCTTGGATTTGATAATAATTATGTAGGAGAATCAATGTGGTCCATCCTTAAAATTTCTGTTACCTTCACAGTGACAAGAGACTCTCCACTGGCCTCTTGGCGACAGGTGGAAGCTTTCATTTTCAGGGATTCAACAATTCCTTATGGACAGTTATAAGGGAGCAGCAGTCATCACCCTAATTTCGGCCGTTGACCCTCCCACGTGGTGGATGATGAGCTTTGGGTGACGTCATGAGCCAAACAAGTATCCCAAACTTCGGCCATTTTTGGCTTGTTCGTAAAACGAAACAGCCAACACGAGGTTGAACATCAACCATGTAGGTAAATTAGCAGTGGAATGCTGAAGTCCCGAAAGTAAAAGCTTCCACCATGGCCAAGATACTAGTGGAGGGGCTCTTGTCTGTACCTTCAGGAAATTTCTTCTCTTTACAAAAAGATATGTAATTTGTGTTTACTGAAATCTTTTTAAGGGAACTGTATCATCTTGAGAACAACATAAGTTTGCAAATTAAGGATAATTGGACCTCAGTTTGCAATTAGGAACCACAATTCCTGGCTTTCAAGTACTTATGTACGCAGGGGAACTAATGGTACAAACGTAGTTTCTAAACTGAGCCAGAAATTGTAATTCCTCATTGCAAAATGTAGTCCAATTGGTCATCATAATTTTACAAAACAAAGAAAAATCCCCTTTGATTTTATGTAATCTGATGGATCTAAAATTCAATCTCTTGATCGACTTCTGAAATTTCTCTGTATATTTTCACCGAGTGCCAGTTTTCAACTTGATTATTTTAGTTTGTTCGAAAGGATTGATGATTCTGCAGGCTGCCGAATCGAACTACAATTTTTGGCTCATCTGTAAATCCACTTATGTTCATGGAAAAAGTAATGGTACATACGTTGTTTCTAAACTGAGCTAGAAATTTGTGTTCCTAATTGCAAAATGTAGTCCAACTGGGGCTTGCTTTTCAACCTTTATGATGCACCCACCAAGTCATAACTTGAAAGTCCTTTAAAAGTATGCTTGTCTTACTAAGCAACAAAGGAAAAATTACAGATTCTTAGAAACGTTTTGTTTTTTAAATAATATTTTTCGTTTCAGTCCACAGAATTGTTTTCTAAGAAAAATGGGGAGGGGGGAATGGTAATGTTGGATTCTCTCATATAAGTCGGCCTCCTTGTATGAAATTTGATTTATTAGGTGTACTTTTGTTAATAGAAACTGTGTGAAAATGAATGAAACTAAAATGTTCTAAGTTGCAAGCAAACTTAATGCACATGGTTCCTTTTGACTTAATTTATTTTCACGTAGTTCTTTTTAGCATAATTATGTTCTATTTTGCTTTTTGGTAACACCCAGAAATTCTGGAAACATGTAACTATCTCAAGCACAGTGTTTCAATATTGCAGATCCTGTTTTACCTCCAAGAGGAAAATAATCTACCCTCATGGCCTAAAATTCACAGAAACGCATTTTATTTTATTTTGTTCCTTTTGGCTCTGCAGCCATTCAGAATCTTTTATGCAAAAGTGATTTTTCTCTGTTAATTTTTAAAATGCATTTGACGATTTGAATAAATTTTTTCCAGCCCTGTCGAAGTGGTGAGGTCAATGATCCAACTGAGAATAATCCATCGATTAGTCACACAGCTCTGCAAAGAAGCATAATTTACTCCAGAATGAATTTCAATTGAAAATGTGGAAGTGCTCAGATGAGTGCAATCGAATTTTACACCACCACATTTAGATCTGTGTAAGTGACTCATCTTTTTTCTTTTTTGGATTTGTTCAATAAATTTTGAGGCATGAAACATCGAGTTTTATTCTCAGCAAATCACAGGAAATAGCATTCATTTTTCTGACTCAACATCACATTTACTTTTCTAAGTCTGGCTCTTATCGCAAAAAAGTTGTAAATGGTTTCTTATACTCTCGTTCGGGAATAGTTGTTATTGCCGTTATTCAAAGCATTGACAGTCAGGACTCTACATTGGATATAACATTAGAATGAAGGAGACCAAATTTGATTGAAGTTTTGTTTATTCTATATAAATTACAGCTGAAATCGAAAGTACAAATTAGTACAAGAACAACTTAAGTCAGAAATTACTATATTCAAAGAAGTAAAATCACAGAAGAATGTTTATCGTTATTGAAAAAATGAACAAAGCTCAGAAAGTCAATCCTTCTGCTCGGTTGGGAGTTAACATTTTTTTTTACAAGCGGCCCTCCCTGAATTGACCAATTACAAAGCTTATCCAGTAGCCAGTCGGAGCTTTTAAATAATCGAGAACGGTCTGCCTGACCTTAAGGGGTGTCAATCTTACAGTGATCAAAGTCATCTAGTTTGGATCACTGTGTGATGGGTAATCTGTTACTGATTGTCGTTTTATGACTTTAATGCTGATTATTGCAAGGTGATAAGCAGTTTGTTCGACTATTAGCTGGACAGCATTAACCAAAATCAGCCTAACTGTGTTTGTTGTTGCCTAATTTTCCCTCATGTTTTACTTATTCAACAGAAAACTAAAAAAAAATATGTTTTAAAACTTCCTGCGAATTTTTCAAAGATCATAAAGATTACACTATACAAAATTTCACATTATAATGATGCATAGATTTTTGTTTAAAAAAATTAAACATGAGAAAAAATAAGGCAACATCTGATGTATTTAGGCTAATTTTAGTGAAATCTGTTCAATGACCGTTTCCTTGGTTTTGCATGGAGAATCTCAATCATTTATGAGAGAGTTTGAAACATGAACAATTTAAGAGAAGAAAAAAAACTGCATAATTTTTAAAGGTCTTTTTGTTTTTTAAAACATAGAAAAGTTTCAAAATAGATAGTGCATTTTAACAAAACTGAACTTGAGAGAATTGCATGTGACAAGTTGATATATTTGGGCTTTTTACTTTTTTATTCTCCGACAAATTGATTCTCATGCAAAAAACAACCAGAGTCCTAACTTTGAGAGAAAATTCTCAACATTTTCCAGATTTTCCTTCAGGCACCTCTTCATTTCAGTCAAAAGCGTTTCGATAGTTGATCAATCAGTTGATAATTCTGCATTTTAAGACATTTGCTTTAAAATTCCAGAAAGTCGCATCACACTGTGGCGTGTCAGATACTAAAATACACAATTTTATCAAGAAATACTTCGAAATAACTCCGAAAGTATGTCTCAAGTGAATATTGCGGTAATTAGTTTTGTCTTTCGATTTAGGCTGTTCATTTAAGACGTACTATTGCAATTATTTTAGAGAATGCCCTGATCAAATGTTGTATCTTAATACCTGACGCACCTCAGTATTACATGGCTTTCAAGAATTTTTAAAGAAATTACTGAAAATCGAGAAATTGAATATTTGTTGAAAGAGCTGAAGATTCTCTAAAACATTTGACTACTATTGCAAATATTAAGTTGTCTCTCGCTTTCTGCTGTTCACTTGGGATGTAGTTTTGGAAGTATTGTAATATATATCCCTATCCAATTCTAATTAATACTTCATGCATTTACACATGATGTAACATTCAAGACTCTTTGAAAAATAATGTTTCAGAAACCAGAAATAATCAGTCAGTTGACTATCAAATGCTTCTCAAGGTACGGTAATGCCGTCTTAACCAAAATGATAAAATTGCCCGTTTTATTTCTCTTCCAACAATTTAGGTCCTGACATGGATGAAAAAAGGAACAATTATCACTTTTTGAATTTTAAAGTTTTGTGGTTTTAGAAACAAAGTTAGAAAAAGAAATTCTACGTTTTTTAATGAAACTCGTTAAAATTTCCAGGTGAAACATTTTCAGTAAAAGAATTCTATACCCAAGGTCCAAATAAGAAGAGTCATTAGAACTACTGCGAGAAAATTAAAGTTACAACTTTATTTACATTTCTCACCTTGGGCATCGCATGAAATTGCTCATTCCAGAAAAATAAATGTCTTGAAATAAGTGTTTAATTGATCAGACAGGTAATTTGAATTGTTTTATTCGAGGATTGATATCAAATTTTCATTAATTGAATCGGTACTTAGTTTCAATGAAATATAACATTTGTAATTTTTTTTTTCCTTTCATACAGTTATGGTGAAGTAAATAGAATCATTGGCGGTCCAGCTTAATCAAAAGCGAGAAGTACACAAGATGTATGTCCTACGGAACGAGGCTTTTCAAATTAGGAGAAGATCAGGTGAAATTTTTTTTATTTTCTACCGATCTACAAAATGACAGTTTGGTTTTGAAAGAATTTTTGTTTGATTTTTGCCAGTGTCCAATATGTACAAAAGAATATCCAATCGTCTCAGCTTGAGTCTGATAATAGATTCATCCTTATTGGCTCTTTCCAATTGGTCAGTGCTTATATGATTGCATAGTGCAAACATTACTGAAAAAGACAGCACTGTTTTTTTTATGAGTTTATTTAGTTTGAAGTTTTGACTGTGTACAATTTTCAAAACTTTTTCTTTGATCGTTTTTTATATTCTTAATCATCAAACTGATGAATGTTTCCCGTTGAGACGGAGTGTAAAATTGTATTAATTGAGTGATATGTCGACGCTAATCGGAAAAAATTATATCCAGAAAATATGCATGAAATTGATAAGTTAGTTTTAAAATTATTTTTTCGGTCGAAAAACCCTGTTTAATTGATCTTTCTATCCAGCAATAAAAAATTTGTAACTGGTTTCAGAGTAATAAATGAGACAAAACCTAATATTCTCTATTTTATTTTCACACTCATCAACAGTTGTCATTCTGAAGAGGTAAACTTTTAAATCTTACTAATTTCATAGTATTTGAAACCACTGATGTTTTAATGCCAGTTGTTTATAAAATGGCTTTTAAATTTAATTTTTGGGTTTTTTTTCTCACCTGTCAAGAAGATAATACAACCCAGAGTTCTGTTTATACTGTCTCAATCAGAATCAAAGCAGTCTTTTTAAAAGGGACCCATCTCCAATTTTGATGATGTTTTAGGAATTTCAGGCCCAATGCACCTTCCCATGGAGCCTTTTACCCTTTTCCTATTTCCATAAAAGTCAATTTTGACCAAAAGTGGAGGTATTCTTATTGAAATGACCACCTCAATTTCTTCATTGGTCTAATATGAATCCGCGGTTCTTCTTGAAATGAGAGACTTTAAAAAGTCATTTTGAAAAGGACTTATCTCCAATTAGGTAAATTTTTCAGAGTCGATGCGTTCTCCCATGGAGATTTCATTTCTGTGCAAAAATCAATTAGTGACGGAGTGCCTGTTGTGAAATGATTACGTCAATTGTTGCATTGGTCTAGTTTGGATTCATGGTTTTCCTCTTTTCTTCCTTTTAATCAGTTATTGACTCTTTTTAATACTTTGATGAATCAGTCATCATTCAATAGAAGTTAAAAAAATTACCAAGAAAAAGCCCCATAGACGTATAATTGGACCTCTGCCCCCTAAAAGAAACCAGATGTACGTTTATCCAAGGTGTCTGAAAGTGCCAAAAACAGATTAAAAAAAAAGACCTTTCTTCTCTGTAACCATCCGTACGGTTGCTCCTCTAGACCACTTTCATTCATGACTTCAGCACCGTTCAATTCCAATTTTTTTATTCAGTGACGCAAGCCAATCCTAAAAAAAACCTCTCATGGACAACATCGGATGTATTAACTTTGCGCAAGACCTGAGTAAACTTCCCTCAACTTACTCAGGTTCATGGCTGGAATTTAGCGATTTGTTAAGTTCGAGAATTGACTGTTGAGTAAAATATCGACATCTTTAAAAAGCCTTCTTTGAAAAAAGCATAATTGAATTAAAACTAAAATTAAACCTAATTTCAAACGCATTTTTTTAAAAGCTAAGCCATAATTATTGCCTTATAAACCTATTTGCCTTTTTTCTATTTGCCTTTGCCTTATTTGCCTATCAAGCTCTTATAGTCTAAATTTTAGCTCCCTAATTCTAAAAGGTGTCTTAATGTAATATTATTGCTGCAAGCTCTTACGTCTAAGTGTTCAATTAGATACAGATGTTCATCATCAGTTGCTCCCTAATTCTAATAAGTGTCTCTACTTAATAAAGTTTTGCTTACCATTAACTTAGGTTTCACTTACTAGTAATCTATTAAAATTCAAACAAAAGCAGTAAAGCAGTTTATATGTTCATGAGTGCATGAAGTTCTAATTAGTGTTAAATATATTGATAAATATGGAGTAAGTCATAGTGAGAGTTAAAGAAGAGTAAACATTTTAATCAAACAATGATTAAGTATAATAAGGCTCCTTAAAGACAATTTTTCCCTCATGTGAGAGAATTTCTCAAAAATGTTCAAACTTAATCAAATCGGAATAATTTTATTCATCAAGAAATTCCTGGAACTAATTTAATGACGTTCAGCCCGCAAAGTTAATAGTCTCCTCTGAGGTCACAACTTGCTTCGTAAGTGTTTCCCTGCCTCGTTTCATTGCCTTCGTTTTGTTTCGTGCCTTCATTGCCATTTTTCTTAAATCACTATTCAATCACAACGTTTTGTTCAAAATTTGAGTCCGCAAAGGCTAAAACAAACATCTGCTTGGATCCGCCTTTTGAACGGATTAACTAAAAGAGCCAAAATATTTGTAGCCTTGGATGATAGAGTAAACGAGTAGCCAGAAATAGCAGGGGCAATAAACTGCAGGTTCAACTAATAGAAAACAGGACCATAAAAAATTAAAAATTTTAGAAATTGTTTTCGTTTGCTTGGATGTAAAGGGAATGAATTTACCTCTTCAAAACAGCGTTCAAAGTTGAATCTTCCCAGTTCAACCCTCTTTTGTCTCAGCCTTACTTTTAGACACGATTTTGGTGGACCGCCGAAAATTCATCAGAAAGGGAGGAATTTTAAATTTAATTTACACCTAATTGTTTTCATTGCATTTAAGTCTTAGATTTTTTTTTCTTTCAACACACTTAAAAAGTAAGAATACGCAACATTTGCTTGGAAAAGATTCCTTAAAATAGCTAGAAATTGTCCATTTTTCAATCAATGTCAGAGAGAATTACACTTGAACGCCCTCTCAATGTAGGCACTCTGAACTATTGTTAGTGAGAAAAATATATAGACCTGTTGAGTCAGCAAGAGACATTCTATCAAAGTGAACACGCATCGTGGTTGGTTGTGAGATGGAATCCAGATCTAATGCAGAAGCAATACATTGACAAAAATGAAAATACGAACAAAAATCATTTTTAAAAAAGGAAAAAATTACCTTTGAAATTAAAGAGCAACAACTATCCGTTAGCCACAATCAACAAAATTGTAAATCTGTTCCTCATCAAAAAGGGCTGGCAAAATACAGGTGGCTCATTGATGGTAAATAGATACATCTGTCGCTGCTTATAATTGGTCAGTTCAGGGTTTCCTTGTGAACGCCAACGGTAATCAGATGAGAGAGACTGAGAGCCAAACGTAATGAGTCAGGAATATTTGCATCTGATTTCCTTGAATCCTTAATTTCTTTCACAGCAGTCTCTTTCTGAAATTGGCCAGTAGAAAAATTCTGCATTTTTTTCCTCTTATATTTCTTTACTTGTTGAATTTTCAACATTAAATGAAGAAAATGATGTACTGAAGTTTAGAAATCAATCAGTGTAGGTTGGTTCGGGTTTCTTGTTAATATTGATCACGACAGCTCTTAAATATTATCCAGTATTCTCTTTCAGCATGTATTATAATACTTGATTCTCAGGTTAGATGTTGATTTTTGAAGTTTTGTGGGTTGCTATCACAGTGTAATTTCAGAGAGGAAATGTGTGGGAAAATGTATTGCTGCAGACTAAATCCACTGACCGAAAAAATTAGTTTTGTGCTCTCACCTCCACCGGATTAAAATTCATTTTTCAAAAATTTTCCCTAATTCTTTTTTAACGTTTCAGCTTATCATTAGTCGCAAAAAGAAGGAAAAGAACCTATCTTAAATTTTAATCAATTATTTTCAGCGTGGTTACATGGATAAGCAAAGTGTCAAATCTCTTACACAGATCCTTGACCCAAGTAGCATTTTTTATTGAAAAATTTATAATTTAGCAGTATGAAAATTTAATTAGATTTTAATTTGTCAGCAGTAACTAAGCAATCTTTTACAATTTTATCGCCAAATCGTACGGCAAAACCATTCGTCAGAGCTTTATTCTATGAAACCTGGAAAGATATCATCATGATTTAATCACTGTTACCTTGTAATTTTTGCCAAAAATTTACAGAGAGAAAAAGAAGAAAATGCAATCAAATCCAAAATTCATCTCAAATTGAATTCAGTTTAAAAGCTAAGAAGCCAATATTTTCTGACTCGATTCGAAGGCAATGAAATGCCAAGAATTTGACGATTTTGCTGCAATTTCGTCACAGCATTGCCACTCGGATATTCTCACACTGAAGGTGCAAATTAAATCTTAGAAAATGTGAAATTTTCGTAATTAATTAACGAGAAGACTGAAGCAAAGAATACCTAGTCGTTACCTATGGATAAATTTGATTAAAAAAGAGGTAAGTATAAAGTAACATATGTTGGATAGAATTATTTTACAATAATATCAAAGAAGAGTTCCTTGGAGCAAAATGACAAGATGTACGTTGCAATGTTGCTTAATTTCTAGTGACTGAAAATGGACAGATTTAATCTGAATCATCGTAACTGCTTTTCATGTTTCCGAAGTTCCTCTGATGTTTTATTTTTCTTTGAAGTGAATTAAACAATAGAACGTCTCACAATTTTCTGTAAATTTTCCCTTCATCATACAGAATACGCTCACAAAATTTCAAGTCCTAATGTGGCATCTGTTATAAAAAATAAAACATCAGAAGAAAGCAGGCAACGTCTGATGTAGTTATACCTGATCCAGCTTATACCTGTCAAAATAGCAATAAACACCATAAGATACTAATGCTGACTTCTGAAGGAAGACCACCATATGTGCCTTTAGACATTGCCATATTTCCTTCAATAAAACAACAAATTCCCTAGGAAAATTGTGAACACTTTTCCGATTCGGCTGTCATAGAGTACAATACTCCATTTGTTTTCTTACAATTCCTCTTGTGTGTACACATCGTTTTCTACATGTTTGGAAAAATAAATGTGTACCCAAAAATGGTTTCAAATTTACATATCATCTAGGTGTAGGCACTCTGTCCAAAAATTAGGCAATAATGCGATTACTATTTGACTTAGTGCTCTAAGAATCTCAGTTATACAGGTATTCAAAACAAACTTATTCATCCGACAAAAAAATAGAAGAAGTGTACTATGATAATCTTAAGAAAGATAAATATTGAAGTGAAAAAGAGGACAGATCTCCTGAGGCTAGTGGCATTTAGTATTATCAGTAGGTTTAATCCCAAGTTTTTCGATTTCCCAAATTTTTCTTTCCCCCAAGAAAGCAGTAAAACTCAAAATTGTTTCAACTAAATCAATTCAAATTAATTCTTGGAATTAATTTTACTTAATCAGTGTTCAGAAGAATAAAAAAATTTCAAAGTTCCCATCAAAAGAGGATTTGGAATATCAATGGCTAAATGAAAAAAATGCGTATCTCATTTTCTATGTATAAAAATCTCCGATAATGTTTTACGCACTTCAAAGAAAACCGATCAAAATGTTTCCTTGCAATTTTGTGTTCTTTTCTTTAGAATGAATAAAGAAAATTCACAGAATATTTTGGTAGAAACCGCTGGTTACTTTTCTTTTTTAAAATTAAAATAGAACATGAGCAGAGACGTGCGTTCTTGCACTTTGAGATGCACATTTTTCAACTTTAGCCTTTTAATATATCATGCAGAGTGACAGTTTACAAGAGGAGAAAAATGAAGTATACGGGAAGTAATACTTGATTTACCAGGGTTTAAGTTTTTCCTGTGACTTTCTTTTAAAAACTTTTTTCAAGCATAAAAACTGCCATAACCAGAAAACAACACTGTTCTAGTGAAAAGCATATTCTCTCAGGAACACATTTTGACCAATCAAATTACAACCTTTCAAACATCTCAGTGGATGAAATTGAATTTTAGTTAGTTTTAGGTTTGTATAGGGACTAAGAATGTAATAGCAGATATAATATAAGCTGATCTGTTAGCAACAGGTCCGAGATGACTCATCTTGATTTCAGGGTCGTGGAGCATTCTTTTTGGCACGGCAGCGTAAGCCTTTTTTGGCAATTCATACTGATTTTTTCCATAGAAATTTGAGTTTTTAAAAAGTCAGTTTCTGTTTTCACAGTAACCAGTTTTTATTAATCTACTGTATGTCAAATAGATATTTTGAAACAGAAAGAAAAAGTTCTTTCCTATTTTTAGAAATTTTTGGGAGTCAATTACTATTTCTGCTCACTCTAATTTTTACTTCGTTACTTACAAAAAGTTAGTAATATGACAACGACTTTAAAGAAAAATAACAACTTTTTTATCTTCAATTTCGAAGAGCGTGGTGTTCAATGGCACTTGCCTCCCGGAGAGCGTAGAACAATCTTGTATACAGCAAAACAAGTTGACCCTAATATTTACACGATGTTCTAAGAAGAGAAGATTCTACTTCTACTAAGAACGTGAAAATACAGTAGCTTCTGTATTTCAAAATCTGATTGTTTTTTTTTTACAAGGGATCCTTACGCCTAACCAGCTAGTTTCAACTTTCTCATCAAGATCAAAATACATTCAAAACTTGATTATCCCATCTTGCGGGGAACTGTACCAGCTATATCAGTCATATATTCCTTAATCAAAAATGATTTGAGGAATCCTCGACTCCAACAAAATTGGAATACAGGCCGCTAAAGCACAGTTCAACTAACAGGACATACAGTTGGACTACATTTTGCAATTCGGAACTATAAGTTCTGGCTCAGTTCAAAAACAACTTATGGATCTTTAGTTTCCCAATGTACGTAAGTGTTTTTACAAATGAGCCAGAAATTTTCGTTCCTAATTGCAAAATGAAGTCCAATTAGGAGTAAGACTTGTAGACGTTACTCCCAGGCGAAAAACAACTTTATTTGATGAAGAAAATCGTCAAAGGGTATGAACGATATCCACACTAGTGCTAGTGGATTACGTACTGTTCTTGTTGTGTACCAGTTTAAGTATCTCTTAGTGAAAGTTGCACACATGCTACTTTTTCTCACATTTGGCAAAAAGAAAATAAAAAATTCTAACTCTGGAAGATTCTGTTGAAATGGCGAGGATGTTAAATGATCAAAGGTCGGATAATCAAGTTTTGACTATGAATTTTAGCAAGTACAATAATCGGACATAAAATTAGAGTTTTAGGCGTATGTTTTCATGCTTTACGAGTTGCAAAAATTAACGATGAAAGTAAAAATTTATGAGGAGAACTTCAGTACAAAGTCTTGGTGTAGATATCTCGGAGTGTTACATTAAACTTCTACACTGATACTCGAGAAGTTTTTACTTTTCTCAAGAATGCATCATTCCTTTGTGGACTTAAAATTATAGTTTATCCTCACTGACATCTAAAAAACAAGAGGATTTCACAAAATATGTGATCAGTATGACTGTTTACGGTTTTCAGAGAAAATTCAACTGAAATTATAAATTATGCCATCCAGCAAGTAGGTACATATAATGTTGCCATACACTGTTAGACATATATCATGGTTTTTCACTCTTTTCTACAGCATTCATTTAATTATTGCAAGAAAACTTATTCAGTATGCTTCAAATTACTAGATATGTTCTTCTGTATGCGGAAAAATTTCACCAGAAAAGCTAGTACAAAAATATGAACACGTTTCCTCATAATAAAAATTTCGCCTTGAACAAAACGAAAAATTTGAAGTGGAATTATGGCTCACTTGTTTAATTTGTGCGTGGATTTTTTCCATTTTTCCCAGTAAATTTACCAGCTATCATAACTCTGTGCTCCTTTCTTGTTTATCTACGTGTAATGTGATTTTTATAATTTTAAGGGCACTTCAGTTTCATAAGACCTCCCTGGAAGAAATTTGCATTCACTGCATGCAAATTTTTTTCCTGTGATTAATATTTTAAATGTAGGCATGGGTCCTGCCTAAATCTCATCACCATCATCTAAAATCGTTTCTCAGACAAAAAATTAACAAATGATAACTTATCAAATATCTGTACATGATTAGGTACAACTTTTCAACATTTTTGCTGAATATGAAAACGTAAAAGAATGGAACACCAAAAACAGCAAACTCGTCAAAGTACGAAGACGGTTAAAACAAAAGTATTTCTAAACATCCAAATTATGTACACAACTCAAAACTATGCACCTGCAAAAATGATAATTTGTGGTAGGCTGGTCCCTTTTCTTGTTTATTGATCAGTTTCAACGTGGTAAGAAGTAAAAAGAGGCAATAAAATCTACTCTAAATCGAAGCAATGTAAATGAAAGATTTCGTGAAGAATTTCAAGTCAACTTTTTGCAGTTTATAAAAAGTATGAATTGTGATGAATAGGTAGTATTCCAGCTTAGCTGCATTCCTGAAATCCATCAAATATAAAATAACTTAGTACATGTATGAAATACAATGGGTTAGTTGCGTTATTTACAGAATCAAGTTTGATGGTTTAAGCTCAAACTGCATGCCTACAGACTCGATGAGAAGAAATTCTCTGACTTTATCAGTAGCTTCTCCTTGACCAATATGATCAAATTTTCTGACTTTTCACATCAACAATTTGCATGTATAGAACTAAAACTGAGACAATATTGGCATTAATTTCACAGCAAATGAAAGAAATATATGGAGCTTTCTTTTTTAGGTATTACCTAATCATTCAATCAACTAAGATTGCAATTCCGTATAGAAAATCATTCCTCTATTCAGAGTGCAATTCAGAGCATCAAATCCCGAACTAGACCCAGTCTCAGTTTTATTATGAGGACAGCACTGATGTTATATTCTTTCCTTTCTTTTTTTCCAGATTTCAATTACCTATCATGATTTTGCAAAGTTTCAGCTTTTCGTAAGAGCTTCCCTAAATTTCCCAACCTGATGAGATTTCCAGGTTTTTCAAACCTATACTACAGTGCTGAGGAAGAAACACCTATGAACATTCGGGCGTTGCCAAATTGACTCAGATAGAAAGGGCGTTTTTCAAAAAAATTATGAGTATTACTTAAATCTTCAAATTTTTCTATAAGTTACTTAGATTGAATTGCTAATTAAATTCTCCAAAAAAGTAGAAGAAAACTATTCATAAGTTTTTCTGAAAATTTTTTCTTCATTCAAGGAATTTGGCAACGTTTAAAGGCTTGGAGAACGTTTTTCCTCAGCACGGCAGTATGGGCACTCTGCTATTTTTTCCTGGTCACCGCAAATTCCTTGACAGTACAAGTTTTCTAGACCGTCGAAAATCCTGCAGAATCCGTACAAATGTAGGTACTACATTTTGGAATTAGGAACTACGACTTCTAGCTCAGTTTAGAAATAACAGCGTACCTATGTGTCATTAGTTTCCTGATTACGTAAAAGTTCTAATAGATGAGTTAGAAATTGTAGTTCCTAAGTGCAAAACGGAGTCCAAATGATGAGCTTGCTGTCAAATGTAGGGACATACCTGTGATTGTAAGGCTGCGAAAAGGATCAAGCAAGCGGTGATTCTAAAGTGGCAGGTTCCAGTTTCGTATTTGATGTCGGGGATTTCAGGCCTGTCCCGTAACTTCCTTTGCTCTCCCTACGCCCATTTTGGGTTCCGATTCCAGCAACTGTGGAGAAAACCTGGTGTTAGTTACAATATCATCAAAGTCAAAGTAGTTTTACCTGAGGACATATTTCTTGGTAGCAAATTTTTTGGAAGAAAAAATTGAGGATAACAAGTAATGACAGTAAAACAGCTACTTACATAATAAACAAAAATATTAAAAAATTGGTTGTGAAACCAGTTAGAAATAGTTATCAAAAGCAGCCATTTTTACTGATGTATTGCCGTGAAAAACCTCTTAGATACTCAAGGATTAGACTAAGATACTTTTTATTAGTAAAAAATTGATCTTTTAAGCAGGATGGTATTTTACGTGGGTGCCTGGTAATAACAACCAATAAAAAAAACTGTTAAAGAACTTGTACATCTTAAAAAGGCAACTTTTGAAAGAATAATTAAAATTTTTGTTTCAGAAAACCTTTTTTGGGGTATTTTTCAAATAAAATTCAAAAGAAGTAAAATCATAGTAAAAGAAGAGTTAAAAAATTGTATACAGATCTAGTGTAGGTAGTCTCTTAACCATTATAACGTTTGAAGAGAATGTCAAAAACGCTTAAAAGATTAGTGACTAGGGTTTATTTAAAGACTTTTATACTGAAATTGTATTAGTTTTACTCAAATTTCATTTATAAAAATTTTCTAAAAGGGTTTCCTAAAACATAAATTTTAGCTTTTTTTTTTTTCTTAGCGCTGTGAATAGCACTTTTCAACAGATGTTCTTACCAAAAAGGAGACAATGACAATTAAAAATCGCAACATTCTAATTTTGACAGCCCACTAATCACAACAAATCTTGATTTTCTGCCACATGAGATCAAGGCGTAAGATCTTATACTTAATCAGGGCCGGATTTACCTACTCGCCGCCTATGGGCCGCCTGTATTTTGTCGCCTCCCTCTCATTTGTTTTGAAACATCAATAAAAACCATCAAGTAAACGTGCTTGAGGGAGAGGGGTGCATAAGACGAGTTTACTCGTGTTGGACACATTTTTTGCGGGAGCCCTGTCAACACTATTAGCAAAAGTTTACGGAACTTTGTGCGAAAGTTAAGTTCCGTAAATCTGTGAACAAGGCCTTCCATTTATAAGAAATGAACGAAAAAATTATGAAAGAACAAACATAAATGTGGTTTAATAATTATAACTTCCGTCGTCCGTCGCGCGCCATGCTGACCGCACTGTGTTTCACGCGATGCGCGAAGTATTCATGCAGTCTTGTAGGCGCTATGCGTTTCACGCGACCGCGCCGACCGCTGCTGACCGCACTGCGCACTGTGACGCAATGCGTGAAGTATTCATGCAGTCTTGTAGGCGGTAATGTGTGTTAGATGCCGACCGCCGCGCCGAGGGCTTCTCCTTTCCATCTCAAGTCCTCGTCATTATTGCTCTCTGCCTCTGCGCCGCGCCGCTCTAGGCCAAATTGCGTGTTTGGTTTCTCTCTTAACTCGACTAATTAAAGGTGCTGTCTCTTGTATCGCCGAAAGACGACAAAATTAGAAATTATCATACTCTCAGGAAATGAAAGATTTTGTCGCCTTTTCTCGTTTATAATTTTTTTTCTGAATCTGATTTTTTTTTTATACCTAAATTTAAAAAAATTGCAAAATTTGCCGCCATGGGCCGCGGCCCATGTGGTCACCCCCTAAATCCGGCCCTGCACTAAATGCAGGTTTGAGGTAAAACATCTGAGCAGTAGTATACTGTTGTACTGCATCACTAGATCTTTTTCTCACATACACGTAGCATCCACTCTACAAACTAATAGATGCAAAATTGTTTTCCAAAGTACAATACCTTTCTTTCATATTAGCTGCTAGCTGACATGCAAGAAAATCTACTTAATTTTTCAACAGAATTTGCAACCCCTCTCGGGTGAAAAAAAAACACTTAGTTTTGTTACGTGGGTCATAAGGTAGAAAAGAAACTTTTCTATAGGCCAATAGAAACTTGGCTAGGATCAATCAATTAGTAGGTATCAATCTTCTGATATGGATCAAATTCTAGAGTTGAGTAAAATGGTACAAGTAGCAGTTTGAATTGGGAAAAAAGAAAGAAAAAAAAACATTGAACTAATCGATTTTTGTACTTTTGAGACAAATACTATCAAACTAAAATGCAGGTACGTATAAATGAAAAAAAAAAAAAAAAAAAAAAAAAAAAAAAAAAAAACTGCAAAGGTAATCCCTCAAATTTCACAGTTTTGTTGAAGTAGGTCGCATAGGTATACACCTACAATATCCGTTCCCGTCGAAAGGAATGTTTGAAAATAAAAACTCACTAAACAAATGTTATACTTAAGACTTCCAATATGTTTTCATTACACAACTACACAATCATGCATACTATTACAAGAGTAAGGTTTGCAACTTTCCAATGTCTAGTGGTCAATTTTTTTCTCGCTCGCTATTTTATGAGTCCTGCCAGCAGGGCGAAATTTCCGTTAAAAAGTTGCAAATGGACAAAACTACGACAAGACAACTACGGGTAAGACGGGGTCGAGGAGACTAGCGTCACGGAGGGGCTAGGGTTCGAGCTGGGAGGAGTGATTTTTGCCTATGCGATAAAATGAAGGAGACTTGCCGAACTGTGAAGTGCTTTTGCCCGTACGGAGGATGGAGGCTCCTACCTTGCGGGTTGGAGTTGGTGTGTTTTCGTTCTCACTGATTCAATTTTGGTCAAGTATCATGGATGAGAATGCTTCAATTCGTACCTTGTTTAGCGCTCCATTTTTTTCTCGTTTGCTATTTTATGAGTCGTGCTAGCGGGGCGGAATTTCTGTTAAAAAATTGCAAATCGACAAAACTACGACAAGACAACTACGGTAAGATATGGTCGAGCAGACTACCGCACAGTGGATCGAGTCAATTAGAGAGGTCGGACATGAAATTTTTGACCAGAACTGCGAATTTTTATGTTTATTTCGTCACATTTTCAACTTTGAGGGGTGATTCTTGAAGATAATTTCTCGAGAAAACCAATAGGGCCACTTTTAGAACTTCAAAGTCTTGTTTAAACGGAGTTATAAGCGTTTAAAACTTCCACATTTTGTCCGACCTCCCCCAATGACTCGATCCACTGTGTACCGTCTCGGAGGGGCTAGGTTTCGAGCCGGGAGGAGTGATTTTTGCCTATGCGATAAAATGAAGGAGACTTGCCGAACTGTGAAGTGCTTTTGCCCGTACGGTAGGATGGAGGCTACTACCTTGCGGGTTGGAGGGGGAGTGGAGCCTGAGCGATGCGGCGCTGTGCTGCCGGCTCACGCTATGGTGGCTCCCTCGCCGCTCTTCCGGGGCCACCGTGTGCTTGGCGTCGCGGAGGAGCGAGACGTTCATCAGCCGTGGGTTCGGCGTGTTGAAGATTGTCCGGTTCTCCTGCCAGCGAGCCCTGAAACCCATACAACCCTTAAGTTCCATCCCCTAAAACCACCCGGTTCATTTATCCAAATTCATGGACATATTTATAGACAAAATAGGCAAAATTGGACGTATTTCTATCAAACGGAACTATGTGCATAATGACGTGAGCCCTGATATGCACATATTCTTATGGGTCTCAGGGCTCACGTCTTAATGCACATAGTTCCGTTTGATATAAATACGTCCAATAGATAGACATAGCTATTGAAAAAAAGGCAAAATTGATAGACATAGCTATAGACAAAAAGGCAAAATTGATTGGATTCGGCGTGTTGAAGATTGTCCTGTTCTCCTGCCAGCGAGCCCTGAAACCCATACAACCCTTCAATTCCATCCCCTAAAACCACCGGGCTCATTTAACGAAATGGAGATGTTGCATTTGTGAGGAATTTGCGATTTGACTGTTGAATCTTATGTAAAAGTTCGCAAGAAACACGATGGTGCCACTGGTTTTCCCTAAAATCAACTCCCAACCTCAAAAAAAGCTCTCAAGTTGAGGCCAAAATGGAGGATACATCCCACGTTATCCTGAGGGTCCACCTCTACATGAAGACAAACTCTGCATGCAAAGATAGGGAGCAAATACATTGACAGGACTGCCACTTTATTTGGGGACTCCAAAACTGAAAACACGGCAACCCTGCTAATGTATTTGCTCCCTATCTTTGCATGGAGAGTTTGTCTTGATGTAGAGGTGGACTCGCAGGGAAGGGGGGAATATCTCCTCCATTTTGGCCTCGACTTGAGAGCTTTTTTTGAGTTTGGAAGTTGATTTCAGAGAAAACCAGTGGCACCATCGTGTTTTTCGCGAACTTTTACGTAAAAATCAACAGTCGAATCGCAAATTCCTCACACATGCAACATCTCCATTCATAGACACACGGAGTAAAAAACCTCGTGCGTGGGACCCGAAGTTTAGGTCATATGGATCTCTGAAGTTTTCGGATTGAGCATCTGAACACTGTAGGTCTAGCTGTCGAGGTTCGGATCACACATCTGAAACTTCAGTTCTTGCATCTGAAGTACTTCAGATGTGAGAACCGAAGTTTTTCGGATGTGAGAACCGAAGTTTTTCGGATGTGAAAACCGAAGTACTTCAGATGTAAGAACTGAAGTTTCAGATGTGTGATCCGAACCTCAACAGCTGGACCTAAAGTGTTTAGATGCTCAATCCGAAAACTTCAGAGATCCATACGACCTAAACTTCGGGTCCCACGCACGAAGTTTTTTTCTCCGTGCATAGTTATAGACAAAAAGGCAAAATTGATAGACACGGCTGTAGACAAAAAAAGGTAAAATTGATAGACGTAGCTATAGACAAAAAGGCACAATTGATAGACATAGCTGTAGACTATAAGGCAAAAGAGGTATGCTGCCGTGCTAAGGAAGAACACCGTATGAACACTCGAGAGTTGTCAAATTTCTTCCCATAGAATGTTCATTCTTAAGGTATAATATTGATATTTTTCCTTGATATTTTCGGGAACTTTGGGAGAAATTGCGAATACAATTTTTTGAAAAATTGGAAGAGGAATATTCATACGTTTACCAGGAAATTCGTGTGCTATCAAAGGAAATTTGGCAACGCTTGAAGGTTCATACGGCGTTTTCCCTCAGCACGGCAGTATAGACACAAAAGGTAAAAGAGGTATTCTGCCGTGCTAAGGAAGAACGTCGTATGAACATTCGAGAGTTGCCAAATTTCCTTCGATAAACTGTTCATTTTGGAGAAAATTATTATATTATCGTCCTTGCAATTGTCAGATTTTTTAGATCAATTATGGACAACATTTTCTGTAAATTCGGAAGAGATATATTCACAAATTTTCCCGAAAATTCATGATTTGTCGAAGGAGATTTCGCAATGCCTGAAGGCTCATACGGCTCAATCAACTAATAAGATTGCTCCATACTCATCATGTCCTCTTTGTCTATCGCTTTGTCTATCAATTTCAACAATCAGACCACAGCGGGTTGATTTATCGAAATTTATAGACAAAGAAGAGAGTGAGAAAATGGAGTCTATTGTTCTGTAGAAACAATAACAATTCCACCTAGCGTTGCGTTATGTATGATGTGCAGGACATGAGGGTAAAAAACGCCTTCAATAGCGTTTGATACTGTGCAACACACAGGAGTTGAAATATTTGTATCATAGAATTGAACCCAACGTCAAGTGCAAGTTGCCTCGCGACTGCTTTGATAGGGAACCAAAAGCACCATCGTGTCGCAACATCCACTAGTTCTATCCTATTGGTCGAAACGGGTGGTTGTTATGAACTAGGGGGGAAAATAATGGACTAACTATTGGATTCCTCGTGGGTTGCCGTTAATTTGTCTATTTATTACCACCATCTGTCCATTGCAATTACCCGGTACCACCATTAGGTTCCCTCCATTTTTTCCTTGTCGTCTGTGTCTAAGGCTTGGTCTATCAAACCTGGATTAGATAAGTTTCGAATTGCAAAATGTAGTGAAGTTTTTAGATTTGTGCAAAGCAGGATCCATTTCTTTTTAGCGAACGCACTAAATAATATCCAGAAATTTGTCCCCGTCCACTTGTCCTCATATACAACTACGAGGGTCATCCAAAAAGTAAGATTCCCTACCTTGTATCTTCCGAACGAAAAGAGATAAATCAAATCGGTAAAAATTTACATATTAGGCATACTCTAAGCTTTAAAACAAGCTCAAGTTTTTGAAAATCGGTCGAGGGATTCGCGAGAAAACTCAATTTTACTGAGACGACCTCCTGTCGCCGCGTGCCCACCTCCGAGGGCAGGATGCGTGGAAAGTCGCTTACTTCAGACTCGGCTTATCGCCTCTATACATCAAATCAAAAAGGAATTTAAAAGATTTCATTAAGTAGGCCTTACCTTGCTTTTTGAGATAGTCTGCGCATCTTTTTTGACATTTCTGGTATCATTACAGCACCTTTTTCATGCCTTCCGCGTAGAGGGTCTCGTCTTGGCTCCAAAATCAGTCATCGACAGCGCTCTGCACTTCCAAATCGGTTGGAAATCGCTTTCTTCAGTAGGAGTTTTTCATCTCAGGAATAGACAAAAGTCACCTGAGGCTAAATTACGAGAGTATGGAGGATTTGTGAAAAATTTTACCTCGAAAAGCAACTGATTTGGAAGTGCAGAGCGCTGGAAATGACTGGTTTTGGAGCCAAGACGAGACCCTCTACGCGGAAGGCATGAAAAAGGTGCTGTAATGATACCAGAAATGTCAAAAAAGATGCGCAGACTATCTCAAAAAGCAAGGTAAGGCCTACTTAATGAAATCTTTTAAATTCCTTTTTGATTTGATGTATAGAGGCGATAAGCCGAGTCTGAAGTAAGCGACTTTCCACGCATCCTGCCCTCGGAGGTGGGCACGCGGCGACAGGAGGTCGTCTCAGTAAAATTGAGTTTTCTCGCGAATCCCTCGACCGATTTTCAAAAACTTGAGCTTGTTTTAAAGCTTAGAGTATGCCTAATATGTAAATTTTTACCGATTTGATTTATCTCTTTTCGTTCGGAAGATACAAGGTAGGGAACCTTACTTTTTGGATGACCCTCGTATTTCACCTATGTTGGGGATTTTGCCTACACGATAAGATGAAGGCGCTTCAAAGCATCAGGACCGTCTTACACTTACTTGCTGAACAACCGGAGAACAACGCAGATGATAATGAACATGAGGAACATGACAACTAAAATTCCGATCATGGTTGGGTCTATGTACGTCGTTGGGCCCGAGCTGGAGGTGTCTCCTGTGAACATGTTTTAAATTATAAACATTAGACAGTAGACAGTATTTATCACCGTGTATATTTTTTGGCAAAATAACCATTCATATTGAGCAAAGAAACTCCACACCCAAGTAGCAGTGATCACGATAAATAGCGATTTTATCGGTTGGTTATCGCAATTACATCGGTGGCAATATATCGAGATATTATCGCATTAAAAATTGCGATATATGACGATTAAATTCCTACACATCGCAATTTTTGGTTCGATAGAAGCGCGATCAATTTTCGTCGATAAAATCGAGATTAAATCGCCATTTATCGCGATTTTTATTTCGAAAATATCTCGATAAATTGGATTGCATTTTGCAAAAAGGAACCACTAGCATTGCAATGATGCCAAGATTGTGCAACTTCATCCTTTGCAATAAATTTGCGGAAATCGTAAAAAACTATGAAATTTAGATGGTAATTTCTGTCTTAAATTCACAGTTTTTAGCGAGTAAAATAGAAACTATTAATGGATACTCGGGTTTTTCCTCCAAGACAAAAGAAGTTGCACAATCTTAGCAACATTGCAATGCTAGTGGTTCCTTTTTCCAAAATGCAATCCAATTGTCGAGCGATAAAAGCGCAATTTTATCGCGATGAGATCAAGCATAATCGCTCAGATGTTGCTGATGATCCTGGCGATTTTGTCGCCGATAAAACGAAATCTACAGCGATTCTTCCGTTGAGAAATGCTACTTGGGCAGCAGCAATAATTGTTAAAAAACGTTGAAAAAACTTGTAAATATTAAAAATACAACTTTCAAATAAACTGTTAAAATGCTCGTTCCAGGCTACGTTTTGAATACTATTTATGAGCGGTGAAAGTTGAGTAAATTGAAAAAGCTCTTAAGAAATATAAACTGATGCCTTTCAACACAAAAAAATGTTGGAAAAAAATTGATAAAAATCTAATCGTCATGTGGAACGCTTTAAGCAGAAAGGAACCAAGCCACATTAGCTATTGTCAGATTGAATTAAGCAATTTTAATTTTTACATGAAAATGCTTGTGCGGATTTGTGTGCAAATTTCAGTAAATTTTATGCATAGTAGGAAGCTAGTTCCTGAAAATTTTCAAAGGATTCCGCCTAAACCTACTCTAGTAAAAAATAAAATTGCCCAGTTCAATTTGGCCTAGGATGTGGCTTGGATCCTTTCTGCTAAACGCGGTTTATTTGTTACTTTGAATGCTTGAGATGAACGCAACACAAATATGCCATGAACTCACCGATGCATTCTACTGAGCCATCTTTGTGGAAGACAGGTTTCATGTCGAAGCGGCAAACACACTTGCCGTCCTGGCATTTCGTTTGGAAGTACGAGGATTCGCATTGCTCGTCGAAGAAACATGACTCGTTCACTGCAGCCTCTGTAACAGAAAGAAACGGGAAGCTCAGACGCCTGCACGGGGACCTAGATACAACTATTCGTGCTTGATGGATGTGCGTGTTGCGTGCACGATGAAATGAAGGCGCGTCGGTTATCTTTACGTTCGCTGAGCGTGAGCTCGCCTCCTAGAGTTACTAACGGTTGTGACGGGAAATCATCACGGAATAGCCATACACTGCCTCGCTAAGGAAGAATGCCGTATGAGCCTTCAGGCGTTGCCAAATTTCTTTCAATAAAGCACGAATTTTCGAGAGAGCACTTTTGATTGTTTTCTTCCATTTTTTTCAAATAATCTTGTTCGCAATTTTATTTAAATTCCTGAAAATTTGAAGGAAACATATTCATAAATTTTCCTAAAAATCAAAATTTTCTCGGAGGAAATTCGGCAACTCGACTCGAGTGTTCATACGACGCTTTTCCTTAGCACGACAGTACAGCTGCGTTGCCGAAAAGAGCAGTGAGTCGATATGGTTAGATGCAAGAAAGTGCATCTCAATTGCAACGTTGAAAAATATCCGATTATATTTTATACATATTTTCTGCTAGGGAGACTGATTGGATTACATTTTGCACTAAGGAACCACTATCTCTGGCTCTTCCATAAAAGCACGTATCCTCATGGGGAAATCGATGACACATATGTTATTTCTAAAATGAGCCAGAAATAGTGGTTCCTTATTGCAAAATGTAATCCAATTATTAAAAGGTTTCCTTGCAATTTTGTGTGATTATTGACAGAATGCGTGAAACTCGTGAAAGTAAAGGGTCACATGGATCGCAATAGCAAAAAGGAACCAGCGTGATATATTACACTGTCTTTAAAATCATGCAATTTCCCTTTATCTTTTAAAAACACTAAATTTAAAAAAAAAGTATTATAATTTTACATAATTGCATCCCTTTAAAATTAACAATTTTTGGTGGGATGCAAAAACTATTTACTATTTTGACATAGTCTTTAGATGGTTATGAAGAAGCAAAATTTTATCAACATTGTGATTACCCTGGTTCCTTTTTGCTACTTGCGATGCACATAATTAGGTTAGTTGTTCTTTGAAAAAGAAAACATTACAACGTCACAATTTGAGAACGGAGAATTTGCACACAAAAATTTTAATGCTTCATCTGAGAGTGCTTAATGAGCTAAGTTCGCGGTATTTTTCATAATTTTTTTCTGAAATGGGAAATTGGAGGAAAATAGATTTAAAAGTGAGATAATGCGCCGCCTTATGACGTCATCTAGCGGCACTTTCCATTTAAACACATGTATTTTAGCAGATTAGGTTATTTCGTCATATTTTCTCCAATAATTGTCCAATTTGGCAACCAAGGATATCCTCGTACTCAGTTTTCTTAGCAGCATCGTTTTAAAGACCCCAAAATTTCAAACACCTGCAAATTTTCCATTAAAACATCGATATTCTAGTCAGTTTTCACTGAAAAAAATTCTCGACGTTTTTACCAAGGTCCGTTGGTACCTTTACCATCTCACTTTATTTTACCAATTATTGGTAATTTTACCAAGACAGACTGGTAAACTTACCTAAAAACCGGTATTTTTACTGTTTTTTTTCAGGTAAGAATACCACTTTTATTGGTAATCGATTCCTGGTAACTTTGCCATTTTATCTCGGTAATTCTACCATAGTCGATAAAAAATATTGGCGTTTTTACCAAGGTCCAGTAAAATTACCGAGAAAGTTCAATAATTTTACCGAGATTTCTCGGTAAAATTACCAATTCCATAAATGGTAATTTTACCAAGAAAAAACTGGGATCAAATAGAACCCTGAATTCTTGGTAATTTCGCCCTTCTCTCAGTAAATACACCGAGATTTTTTTTTCAGTGTTCCATAAAAAAAGAAAGATAATCGGAAACTTTGAAACGCTGCAATGTCGATGAACATTTTCCGTCTTCAAGCATGGGAACGCCGCGACCTCGTTTTTCCTGGCGGAAGTTCGGCACGACAACTTGGCAACGCCTTGACACCCCCTCCTCCTTGAACTCGCCGCAAGTTTGCCGCATAAACTGGCGACTAAGTAGAAAACTTGGACGAAAAAAGGAAATAAATACGCGAAGATGGTGACTTAATTGGATGCCGCACGCTCGGTAAGAGACAAAATAAACCCTATCCTCAGATATTTAGGCCCTCGAGAGGAAAGGCTTGATATTTTATTTCCCGGTTTGCCTTTTCAATGAAGATCCCGTATTTTGTGGGGTTTAATCCCGTTTGGGGTCAAAGAGTTAAAGGGGTTGGCTGCGCGGTGCGTAATTAAAAAATTAAGGATCTCACGAGCGATCTTCCGGCAAAACGCCGTATGAGCGTTCAAATGTTGCCAAATCTCTGATAGAAAATTAATTTTCTGGACAACTTGCCGATCACCGGAAAAAATGTGATGTTGATTTAACATTCTGGGTGTAAAAAATGTGTGCGAGAACTTACAAAATGCTGAATTAGGTACACGCAACAGCAGTTAATTTTACATCTCGACACTGTTAAAGTAACTGCAATAGCGGTTGATTCAGAATTTTGAAAGTTCTTGCACACTTTTTTTTACATCCAGGATGTTAAATCAACATCACTTTTTTTTTCGGTGATTGGACCGAGTTTATCAGGGAGTAACCAACCCACATTTTCGAAAAAATTAAGTTCAGAATGTTTTCTCCTGCCAAAAACTAGAAGTCGACAAACATAAATAATTTTGTAAAAAGAGAGGTTAAAGTTTATTTGCGACATTGAGCCTTTTGCAGGAATAAAACTTCAAACCGCTTTTTCTCGGTTTCAACTTAATGCGAATTGGTTCCTTTCTGATGAACTCGGTCCAATTGTTTCTTCGAATTTCTCTGGGGTTTAGGTATACGGAATTAAACGTAGCTTAAGTACCTCAGCGTAAGTAGCGTTATTTGGAATACATTTTGCAGTGAGGAACAGAAAGCATTAAACGTATGAAAGAAATGAAAGATTGGAAATTTCAGTAAAATATCTCATGATTTTTCACGAGGCTGTGACATATTTGATAGTTTCCAGGGGCTAGGGTATGCAACCCGCACTCAAAGACACAAAAATAGAAGAAAGTCAAGATTTTTACATTTTGCGAAACATGAAAAGGAACTGATATTTTTCAATATCTTTCATGAATTTCTGAAATATTTCATAAAATATTTCACGTGAAATTTCAAGATTTTATTTTTCGTGAAATTTTGCCACCCTGGTGAGGGCCGACAATGTTTGGCTCATCTGTAAAAACCCACAAATGCATAGGAAAACAAGTGGTACATACGTTTTTCCTAAACTGGAGCCGACATCGTGGTTCTCAATTGAAAAATGGAGTTCCTTCAAAAGAGATACACGTGACTGTTCTGGAAAATCAAAAGTTTTTCGGGGGAAGTTTGGTGTATTTTGCTTGTTCAAATGCGGATCGCATTTTGCAATTTGGAGCTTCAATACCTACATGGCTCAGTTTAAAGACGACGTATACACCATCAGTTTTCCCATGCTCATTAGTGTTTTTATGGATGGGCTAGAAATTGTAGGTCCTAACTGCAAAATGTGGTCCAAATGGCAGTTTTTCCTCAGCGTCTACAACTAGTGGATGAGAGACAAAATTACTTCGCTAATTCGAATGCGACAGCAGAAAAAATCATCTGAAAATGAAATTAGTTAAAGAAACACACTGGAAAAACACATTGGATCGAGAGTCCAGACTCTTGAAAACATTGACAAGAAAAAATACTATTGATTCAATCGGATTTTTACTTGAATCAAAACAAAATCCGCTTAAATTAAGAGGCTTGGTTCTTGATTTAAGCTAGATTCTGATTGAACCAAGAGTACTTTTTCTTGTCGATGTTTTTAAGAGGGTGGACTCTAGATCCAATGTGTTTTTTTTTTTTTTTTCCAGTCCATAAGAAATTTTGGCGCCCCTATACGGTTGATCCTGAACGTAAATGCGCCCTCTTGACGGGCCTGGAGAAGTGGAGAGGGTAATGAAGATAAAGAAAGAAAGTTTACTTTCGAGGGGTGCCCCGGCCGTTAATAGTGTGTACCTCTGACGGTCAAGGGGACAACGTAAATAAAGAATTTGACAGGTGTTTCCGTTGCGGAAACTGACCAATTCGGCAACGATGCCAACAACAAACTTCGTGCTAAGCCCCAGCTCCAAGTTGAAGCTTATTTCCTCTCCCCGGTGCCGGGGTCCCATTTCACCTCCATCTCACCCGATCCAGCGTTGCCGGTTTTCGGGAGATTCTCCGACGGGTCACTAGACCATGAACGAATTTCGACTTACGAAAATATATTTCCGAAGGCAATTCAAAGACATTCACGAAGGTGAATCCAGGGTTTGATTATAGGGATAATTCAATATTAGAGATAGCGCCACCATTCACCACTGAGAATTTCACTTTCCTTTGACGATTACTGAAATAATATTGTTCAAATTACAAAAAGAAGATCCACAAGATATAGCTTATTTTTTGCTCAATTTTTTGAGCCAAAAATATTGGCAGTTAGAATTACAAGCGCAGAGAAAGTACGGTTGAAACTTTCAGCTCAGCGGCGGCGGCCGAGCACGCAACCGAATCCCTTATGTCCTGTCTCTCTCTCTCCCATTGCCGCAATGGGAATTACTTTCCGCCGTAGTTACGACTTTATTTTTGGGAATTTTGAGAAGATTGTTTTACTGAGTGTCCCTCAAGTATGTTGATATATCCCCTGGATCCCCAATCTTGAATTAGTAATACGGTTTTTATTATTTTGGCAAATATATACGGCTATTCTGAGCAGCGCGACGTGATGGCCAAATCGCGAAGTTCGAAGCCTGTATTCACCTTAAGGACGCGAAGAAGTAACTAAAAATCGAGAAATACGCAGCTCAAGGCGCCGAACCGAATGATGTGATCCGGCACCAATCAGAAACGAGCGGAGGATTCATCTCGTAAACGAAAAAAATAGGAATTCGAAGCTATATCCTCAGAAT